TCATACAGGAATGAGGATGGACTTTTCAAGTAGGCCGTGCATCCAATCGCACTCGTCCCTTGAAAGAAATGTCCCAAAATGGACGTCTGCAACATTTAATCATCCGCCTTCCTCTTTTGATCGCCATCATGGGACTCTTACTTCGGTCCTCCGTTACCTCGTGTTTCCCATGTGTCCAGGCCTACAGCATCTTCGTTTACATACTTGAATTTCCCTCGGCATCAGGCGCGAGATAGTATACGCACGCCTTTCAATCAGTCCCTCGCAAGTCCTGTAACAAAGGCTATCACAAGAATAGCAGAACATTCGCAGCGCATCAACCAACATCGTAACTTTATCATGTTCAGCAGCCTTTCTAGCACCTTCGCAGCAGCAGCAAACGCTGGCGGAGCCAAGGGAGATGCCAAAAAGTCCATGTCCCCATCGCTTCGTGCAGATATCTATAGTGCCGTTGATCAGGCAAAGCCCTGGCTCATTGGGGGTACTGTGGGTAGACAAGCCGGTGATGGCGTCGCCTATCAGCCTATAATCGCCAGAATCCACGAGCACTTCCCTGATATGAAAGTGGGATTAGATGCAGCACGAAACGTAGAGCATGAAGTGGCAGTTATTGTCGCTGGCATCACGAACATGATCCTCGAGATGAGCAAGTGGGACGGAATGGCCGGAGCTATGGCCATGCGCACGTGGGTTGATGCTCTCAGTGATGCACACGGCAAGATAAGCAGCGCGCCTACCGAAGCAAAAGGCGGTCCTCGGAAGGACCAAGTTGGACGGGGAATCACCAGGGGCATCAATCAGTTGACCGACGTCACCCTGATGACAAGAGAGTTTGCGGCGAGGATACAAATAATCTCGCTGTTAAAGAGCGGTGAGTTTGAGTTCTAGTATATTCAATATAAACGGTTTATTTACGCCCATTGCTCCACTTCTTCGATAATCACAGTAAACACAAAGATCCATGGCGCGGGGAGTGATGAAGCGAGACAGGGAGAAGCGCTGTGGAGCTCAAAGTTCATTTGATCGATCCTCTTGGAATTTTATTCGCATTTTTAGACGTTCTCGAAATTGGCGGGTCAGGATAGGCTTCGTTGTAGCTTTGTTTTCCGCCGAGCACATTTGCCTTGCGCCTCGCAGATACGCACTAGTCTAGAATCATGGGCTATCGTATCGGACACCATCGGATGGTTATCATCTTTCTTGGGTAAAATTTTCCATGCAGTGATTAAATGGGGTTGCAATGTGTATGCAATGCACCCGGCAGATTGCAATATCAATCAGAAGTGCAACGAGGAGCTTCGAGTAAGTAATTGAATTTGAAGATCCCTGCGTCGGCGTAGTTATACATATCTGTCATAATAACGGACCTAGTACTTCACATCAGATGACTAGCATCACAAGAAGCGCGGCATGAATTGCCCGTAGAAGCTAACAAAACACGTCCTTTAATCTCGGTCGAATGAATGCTAACCTACATGAACGAGACACCAGTCTGGAAGCATCTGGGCCCATCAGAGGACCCATTATGTAGAATAAATATCGAGTATGCAGTAGGTGCTGATATTACGATTATATGTACAATAGTTTTACATGATCTGATGGAAAAAAATGTGAGTAGCGGACATCCTAATTGGGCAAGTGTGCTCACATAATTCCGGATGTCCTTCGGGAAGCTTGAAGATGATGACGACTGAGCCATCATGTCATTTGATGCCGTATCAGGCGAGTCGATGTTAACCACGAAATCATCGAGGGAAAAGTTATCCATGTTAACGTCCAGTCTGAATGGCTCATCCAGCCGGTATTGCGTGCTGTAGTCATAAGATTGGAACATCCCTGGGTCCGAGAAACTCGGAGACATGGAGGAGTTTTGGAATGGGGGCGGGCGAGTGGGGTTGGTCATGTTGGGATAATGATGAGTGTTGTGCGAGAGAGATGCAGAATGGGCTTGATATGACAAGTGCGGTGGGATGGAAGGTGGAGGCGCGCGTACAGATGGCGGGTATCGGAAGTGGTATATAGCAGAAAATATGAGGACAGGGCGTGGGCGACCCGGGTTCCTTGAAGAAGCTGCTGAGTCAGGAGAACGGTACACATCCTGAATAATGGTGTATACGGTGGGGTCTTCGGGCAAGAAATTAAATCCCTGTTTCATGCTAATTTCAGACATGACGTACCTGGAGACTTGCACAAGGTATCCCAATACTTGGGAACTAGAGCTGTGCTGTAGAGCAACGGACCGTCACCGGAAGAACCAGCGAAATACGGACCAACACATTCGAGTTTCGTGTCCTCGCTGTGTATGGGTGCGCCGTCCAATAGCACTATATAGGATGACTTGCCAATGACAGTAGAGGGTGAGACGAAGGTTACGGTGGGATCAATGTCCCTCATGCAGCGTGGTGCATTCGGGGAGGGTTGGGATGCCGCTACACCATGAAAGGACTTGTGTGAAGAAGATGGTACGCGTGAACGTGAGGATGAGCTCGAGAATGAGCTGGCCTCTGGCAAGATGTCAATGTACACTGGAGTACGGTTGTCAGAAGGGTTGTTTCGTCTAGAGGATGGCATGGCAGTGTCACTGTATTCTGCAGAGGAACCAGTAGATGAGGAGGCAGATGAAGTTTCGCTTCCCGAAAAGTCGACAGATATATAGTCGAGCGGAGGCATGGATTCACCCTCAAAAACATGGTTATGAGGAGAAAACCTCCGTGGCGAGCCGACTTCACTCCGCGTACTGAGATAAGATCGGGTGAGGGAATCGATCACTGCCAAAAATAACCAAAATAGAAGAATAATTAATGATGCCGTCTCAATGAACGCACAAACAGCTCGTACGGGACGGATACTCACATTCCCGCCCCTCGGATGTGTCCCTAAATTGCTGTAGTCGACTGCCTATTTGTTTGGATGATCTGTATTTTCCCGTTTTGTGGTAAATGTACTCCGAGATGAAGCGATTGCGCATAGGGAATCGTCCTAAAATTTGAGTTTCCCGCGAGTCGACGGGCTTATATTGATGAAGACCTGGTGGAATCATGTGAGCTAAAGCTGTGATCAGCATATGTGATCCGCACCTTCCAGCATCGTGGCTTCGAGATAAGGTGGCCATACAGGCTCGGTATTGCCCTTCAGAGTCTTCCAACCTTTCCTGACATTCAAGATCGTCCGAAAAATATTTTCCGTACTTTGAATCGGCGACATTAGCCGTGGAGAACCGGAGGCACATGACGAACTTGTGGTGCTGCCAGTGGATGGCGATGAGGAGCGATCAGAATGTGCGGTATGAGCGTGGACTGGGTAGCCATCGCGCGAAGCATGGACGATGGGTGCAGGATAATGCAACATTGAGGGTGATGTGATCGTGCGTCAAAGTACTAGGACACATTAAAGAGAGGCGGGTTAATATAAGGGGGTGGCGGGGGTGGCCCATACGGCAAACATGGGTTTAACGTTTCCCGGATGGCACAGTGGTATAATTACAGCTTTGGTCGGGTGCACGCCGGGATAGGTGATCATAGATCTCGCCCTTTTTCGCGCATGATTTCGTGGTGGGTATTGGATGCACACTACCCGTATTGGTTTGTGGCCAATCCGGATAAACTTTGGGCAGTGCCGCACAGGAAACTAGTGCCCCCAATATCGGAGGATTATTGAACCAACAACAGATGCATTTACCGAGCAACACTGTATTGTGCGTGTGTCATCCATGCGTAAAAAGACACCAAAACTCACTGCCAAGCCCAATAATTAAATTTCGATGGTAAGCGCGAGAAGCCACTAGGGATATTTGAGTGGGTAGCGCCCTCCCAGAAACATGGCGCTTTCAAGGTTGCCACTCACGCTGACAAGCATGATAGCATCAGATCACTTTGATCTTCCGGCGATGCAAACTCCCCGTACTCGGCAAATTCCGTTCATTTCCCCAACTTGGGTTTAACTTTGATCAAAGTCACAAGGACAAACAAATTCTCGTCATCCCGACCAAGAAAAGAAAAAAATTAAGAATAGGCAAGTGCATCGGCCACAGGTTCGTGTAGGTTTGTCCAACTGTATGAGAACATGAGGCGTTTAAACGAGTAGGGTCAGGAGATGATCCTACATTGTACTACTAGTAGGTACCTTGCGCCCACAATGACACTAGAAGAGATTGATTGGTCTACCGCTTCTTAGCCTGGACTCTGGCAGGAGCTAGCGTTCAGCGCTCAGCCTCATATGTGCAGCTCATTGTCATTTCTCTACAACTGATCATATCCGTACATGCGGCAAATTCAATTCACGGATCTATTTCTTCTCTTCTTTCCGGCTTGTTGTGACGGCCTGTTGCCGGAGTTCAGAAACCGAAAATATATCATCACTGAGAGCTCGTTGTCATGAAATTCGGCCACAGTTAATCATTGCCAACATGGTTGCGGTGTGCTTCATAGACTTTATTGCTGCCAGGTATCGGAACTTGTAAGATCTTTCGCCCCAGACCCTCGACCAAGCCTAGAAGAGCTGCTCAAGTTATCTAAAGCTTCGACGAGTTTTCATTTGGTTTTCGCGAAGAAGACTTTCATGAAAAGATATATAGAGCTTGTTTGTACCAAGTTTGTTCCAAACTCTACAATATTATTCGGCGAACCCAGAATCATATCCGACTTCGTCGGGTCGAGATAATCCACCGAGCGATTTTTTATAGGTCTGCGACTCTCTATACACCCATAATATAATGTAAAAGAAACGGCTGACTGCAGGAGTCTGGCGATAGCACATACATCTATAATTACGTAAAATTCCAGAAAAGATTTTATCTCCCATTTCTAGAATTTCATCGCTAAGCGTTGCGCTGTGCTTACAACAGTGATCGAACCTTTGCCTCACTACCCCAGGATGCCCTTCCAGGGGCGTATCAACTTTGTACAAACCGCCCATGGTCCATGCGCGCAGCGCGCGTACACCCCCATTCCTGGCACAGGCACTCACCCACGTGACAAGCTGAACCGACGTCAGAACCGGTGAGAAAATGTGATACTATTAATGACCTGTGGAACATCTTGTCAGATTATGCGTGCGATATGTTCTTCGTACCGACGAATTTGAATGAATTCCTTTGGACAGAAAAGCGCACCGCTCGCAGTGACCGACTAGCCCTAACCACATGCCTCGCGGCGCCGGAAACGGATCAGATCATCAACGCCAAGCAGCCACGCCTAGTCTTGTCTATAAAAATTCTAACGTGGCTTCCCTGTCACGAGTACTGTAGGTTTCGGCCATGGTGCGCCCCTGCGTGGGACATCGCTTGAAGTCTTGGACGTCTATACCTGTCTCTTTCCCGTTCTCTGCTACTATCCACCTACAATGTCGTCTTCGAGGCCCGACAGTCTTGCAGATCCATTCGTGACGGCGCTCAACACTCCTTTGGACCTTAGTCAATCCCTAGAACCCCCTAGAGCCTCTTATCTGTCCCCAAGCTCAGAGACTGCCGTCAGCCCGCGTGATTCGTACGCTGATACACCAGATAACGTCTCTCCATTGGTGCCAGAGAACGAAAAACGCGATGCCATAGCTTATACCCAAGAATCGAGAGAAGAACCTGTGTTGAGAAAACGATCTATCCTTAGGCGCCCTCTATTTTGGCTCATCGCTTTCGCCGCCCTTACTATTGTCGTCCTCGCTGTCGTTCTCCCAGTATACTTTGTTGTTATCAAACATCACAATAACAGTACCGTTGGAACTTCTGCCGGTGGGTCAGGTGACGGCAACGGCAATCCCCCTCCGCCTGGAACAACTACGACCGGGGGGAACGGCTCCGTTATCACAACAGCTGATGGCACAAAATTCACTTACCTGAATCCCTTTGGAGGCATCTGTAAGTTCTATGATTCATTTATGGCTCGCAGCTGTGGTTTCGGATGAGTCGCTGGCAGTGAACTGCGGTGTACCCTTCTCAGTGACATCAGCAGATCTGAGAACTATGTCTCGGGTACAGTTAAAGGGTCCATGTTCTGCTAACGTAAATGTCAGAGGGCTGCCTAGCGTTATCATCTACTTGTTTATTACTTCCTGACCAGACGTTTTGACCCTACTGATTCTTTGCAGGGGTGGACAACCCAAACGACCCTTTCAACAATGGGGCTTATCCTAACTCCTGGACCCCTCCGCTCAACTCTAGCTGGACTTGGGGAGTAGACAAGGTTTATGGGTCAGTGTCATTTGGTCACGTGTCTGAGACACATGTTGAACACGGATCGTGTACAGTGTCAATCTTGGCGGACTTTTTGTCTTAGAACCCTTCATTACACCTGCCCTTTACCAGAAGTATCCGGGCTCAGTTGACGAGTGGACCCTGAGCACGCTTATGGCGGCAGATACAGCCAGCGGCGGACTCCAACAATTAGAGACCCACTACAATACCTTTATTGTAAGTTCGTTTCGCTTGGCTTCTTCGAACCCGAATAACGCTCGTAGACCGAGCAGGATATTGCGGAAATTGCTGGAGCTGGACTGAATTGGATACGTTTGCCTATTCCTTTCTGGGCAGTTGAGAAATGGGACTTCGAGCCCTTCCTCGAGAAAGTGTGTTGGCCGTGAGTTCTGCACTTCTGAAACATTGTATGAACGTTCTCTTATCATTCTGATTGCGGTGACGTTAGCTACATCCTGCGAGTCCTTCAATGGGCAAGGAAATACGGGATTAGAGTGAATCTCGATCTGCATACCATCCCTGGATCTCAGAACGGTGCGTGGTAGGGTGTGCATCGCTACTCATATTGTGCAAACTCAATATTGGTATGCAGGATATAACCACTCTGGCAAATCCGGTTCTGTCAACTTTCTGAATGGAGTCATGGGACTTGCCAACGCCCAGCGTGCGCTTGATTACATAAGGATCATTACTGAATTCATATCCCAGCCTGAGTGGGTTGATGTTGTCCCTGTGTTCAGCATTGTCAACGAGGCCCTGCTCTCCACCATTGGGACAGACCAAATCATATCATTGTACGTCTTGATATGCTTGCATGCGCTCTAGTGTGTCCTGATAGCCGGTTGTCGTTTTAAGTTATCTCCTTGCGCATGACATGATCCGCAATATCACCGGTTACGGAGAAGGGCACGGGCCTTACATCGCCATTCATGACGGGTTCTTAGGGACGGCAGCTTGGGCAGGCTTTTTACAAGGTTCTGATCGAATCATACTTGACATCCATCCTTACTTTGCATTCGATGCTCAGACTGATTGGCCACCCATTGCGACTGGTACTGGTTTAAGCGCCGGAGGCATTTGGCCACAGCAGGCGTGTAGTGCATGGGGTCCTGACATGAATACCAGGTATGCATGTTCCCCACCGCATGACAGCGTTCTCACTTTACCAAAGTCAGACCGCATTCGGTGTAACCATCGCGGGCGAATTTAGCGATGGCTATAATGATTGTGGACTGTACCTCACGGGTGTCGGGAATACTGTCAGCTATGGAACGTCGTGTTCTCCCTTCTTAGACGCTTCGCAATGGAACAGCAGCATGATAGCTGGTCTTAATGAATTTACGCTGGCTAGTATGGACGCTTTGCAGAACTGGTTTTTCTGGACCTGGAAGGTTGGTTTGAATCTATGCTAGTCAATGCGAGCCTCATTGGTAACTCTTGTAGGTCGGAAACTCATCTACGACCAATAGTGTCCAGTCTCCCCTGTGGTCTTATCAGTTGGGTCTCCAGTATGGATGGATCCCTACTGATCCGCGTACTGCCATAGGCACTTGTGCAGCGTTGGGAGTGACTGGCCCACAATTTAATGGGGTTTATCTACCCTATCAGACAGGAGGTCCTGGGGCTGGCACCATCGTTGCGGCCTCAGTCACATCTTATGGCCAGTATCCACCAACACCTATCAACGGTCTTACAGCTGGAGCAATCCAATCCCTTATACCCACCTACACATCCACTAGTGCAGTTCCAACTCTTCCGCCTCCCACCCTCTCTCCGAGTCCTTCTCCATCTGTCAACGTTGGGAACGGCTGGTTCGATTCGAGAGATACGGGTTTAGCGCCAACGCAAGTACAGGGTTGCACCTACCCAAATGCATGGGATGCTGTTAGTTCACCCATGCCCACGGCACTTTGTCCTTCTACAGGTGGTGCCACTCCCGTCACCCCGCCCACTCCCGTCACCACGTCCATTTCCGTCACCCCGCCCACTCCCGTCCCCACGTCCACTTCCGTCACCACGACTTCCGCCACCACGTCACTCGCCTAGCCGTTGGCTGTCAAAAAACGGCGCATCAGGAACCCTTGGCATTACGGTGCCGAGTTTCTGCGCAGTCAAGCGTTCTATGGAGGCGCCGTTGAGCATGCCAAGGTAATCTGAATGTAGTCGGCCGCCGGCTTTCTTGACGTTACTCGGACATTGTTGTTTTGGACATATTATGCGAGGGCTGACAGACTGTTATTTTTATCGTATTCTAGTCCTCGATTGCTTATCGCATTGCGTTTGTTATTGCCACAGTTAACGTTTTTGTATTTATGAGAATTAACTGAGAACTCTGACCATTGACTATGTATTTTCAGTGCATGATCCAGATTGAGCAGGCCAACTCGAACCTCCTTGTCTTTCCGGTTTCAGTTTTCGAACTTTGCATCTTCACCTGCAAATACAACGTAACCAATCGGAAGCTAGCAAACGCTCAAGAAAACACTGGCTAGTGGTGCCCATCGGTATGCCGTTGCCTTGCCGTGATATATTATAAATATATCCGTTTGTATATGCGCTTCTGAGTTTCGAAGGCAGGACATGCCACGCTGATCTACATCCGGTTCTATGGAAAGTCAAAGCAGTTCGACGGTGGGTGCCACAGCGGTCGGAGTAAGCCTTGTGGCCCATCATTTTTGTCCAAGGGGCACAGTGCTTCTCGGTGTGGTAATCTCACAATCATATATCATGAGTGCATCGTGCTGACTTTTAGTCTGGGAGCCTGCTATGAACTCTGGGAGAATATTCTTGTTGAAGCTGGAAAACCCTAGGACCTGCCGCGTGATACCAATTTCAGGGTTATGCGGCGGAGAGCCATCATCACAATTATCAGGCGTTAGCGAAACGCCGGAACTCTGAACCCCTTCCGCCTGGTTGATTAATTACCGGTATTGTTCTTTTTTTTTCCACCACATTCGTCAATAAGACTACGTATCAATCCGCGGGGGGAAAACAAACACACGGTAGAGTTTTTAAACTTTTGTCCACTGCTAGTTCACTCATTAGACCCCTTCAATTTAGGTGACAGCTTGGGGCGACGGTTTTCAGATGGGCCGGTTGACTGGAGTCTTGGCGCTTCCTGGACAAATTTCACGGCTTCAAGCATTCTGTTTTAATCGCCCCCTGCTTATCGTTAGTCTCAAATGACTACCTGGCGGGTCTGGTGTGGATCAAATTTTTTTTGGACTGCGCTGTTCCTCGGTGGACGTGGGTTCGTGGTCGTCAAATTAACAACGTCAAACACCCTCGAAATATCGTCGCACCAAGTCCATCTGTTTTTTTTTCATCTCACAATGATGTTACCTCTCGTCAGATGGGACACCAGTGCCCCTCTTTGTGGAGACTGGGCGATGGTGATACTTGATACTCAAATAGGTCGCCAAGACGCCCCGTTCAACTCCGAAACTCGAACGTCTTCTGGTGGGCCGCCAAAGTTGAGCTTAGTATCTTGATGCAGCTTAGAGCATTGCCCACGACAAATACGTCTACACGTGCTACTTCTGGATGGTGTGTAATGAGAAGACTGCTTGCCAGTTCGGAATGACTAGAAGGACTATGGAAATAGCGATCAAGCGCTAGTGCATTGTGGTCATCACCTCCCCAGTGTTGCGAGATCCACATCAAAAATACTTCTTTCACGCAGTGGCAGAACAAATCGCTCCAGCGCTGGAGATATCGTAACGAGCTGGCCGCCGTGAGTATGTTCATGCGAAGCGTATTTTCCTTCGGCTGATTTGAATGAAGGTCCCCAGAACACCCAACTGGAACACCCAACTTCAAGTTTACGTCAACTCGCGAGGGGAATCATCGCCATACGTGTCTGCACGGTCTCCAGTCACCACCGATGCCCTAATCGTCATATGGGTCAAGCTTCGTATCTCCACAATTGTGTTATGGCAAGTCTAGAACCTGACTCGATGTGTGATGGATATTGTTGGTGTGGTATCTCCGTTCAGGAAGGTAGTTCACCGCATATCGCGCGGCAATTTGATACCTCTTTTACACCAGCTACAAGGTTGCATTTTTTGACGCAGACCAGTTATCTGCGAGCCACGTCTCACAATCCGAGGGTCCCAGAGACTGTGAGCCTAACTATTTTTCACGTTCATCGTCATTTTAGGCTAACCTGATTCGACAGTACATAAGGTTTGATTGCTGTATCGAAAGTTGTCTATTAACTGTTGTCCATTGGCTTGCCAGTTGCAGGGGGAGGTTGCGAAGCTGCAAAAGCTGATCTGGCTGCTGTTTGAGGGCGGGGTGCTTGCGCGAGGGCACGAGACAAGGCGCTGATGCAGGATATGCGGGTGTGAGCCCAAGTAAACATTTGTTGGTATGCTTGACACCCATATAAAAGATGGTATGCGTCTAAATGGACGAGGACTTTGCAAGTCCAGTACGATGTCAGTAAGGACCATAGATACTATAGACTATAATATACCCCAGTCGAGTGTAAAAAGGGTGGCGAAAAGAGATGAAAAGCGTAGCGAATGTATCCGAGTCATAGGCGGGATTTCTGATAATATTGCAACTATGTTGAAGGAAGCGAGCGAAAGTTAAACCAAATGAAAGAATACTGTCTACCGTATATATCGACGGGTTAGATTTACAACATTCTCAACAAGCAGGCCTGGCTGCGTGTTAGCGCTACATATTTAGGCAAATATCAAATATCAAGTGCCCGACGTTCCACTGGGCGAGTTCTGATATCCGCATTTCTGCGACACTCTCAGATCTCGACTCATTCAACGCAAACCACACCGCAGCACAAATTGAATCTGCGACACACCTACTCTCTTTGTTTCCCGGCATCGATATCACAATCGACCAGTACCTCACAGAGTCCCAAGAAAAGCAAGGTGCGAAATGGTCAACTATCCAGCTCGGACTCGAGGCTTCAACTTGGGCCACCTCTTGAAACTGTTCGTATACTCTTCAACTTTTGAACTACCAGAAATGCATGTTCTCCGGATTACGTGCAGCAGAGAACGCCAAGATTCTACATGAGAAGCGTAATGAATTATTGGAACATCACTGTTCCCCGAGTACATTCGTGGCAAATACTCTGCATCAACGTTGTAGCCATGAGTCATCGAAACAGAGCTCAGAGCGTGCCGTTCATTTCATCGAAGAGAGTCGACAAGCGACCGTGTGTATTGCCAAGAAGGGGGGTGGATAAAGATGCCCGATTCCTTTGCGCGTCAAAAGATTATCGGGTCGTCTGTGCAAGAGACTCAGTGTAGAAGGAGGAGTCTGAACGGCTGCTCCAGACATGATGGTTTTGATTCCTGACTTAGCTTGCTCAGTAGGATTATGTACAGCAGAGAACGCCAAGATTCTACATGAGAAGCGTAATGAATTATTGGAACATCACTGTTCCCCAAGTACACGTCGTGGCAGATACTCTGCATCAACACTGCAGCCATGAGTCATCGAAACAGAGCTTAGAGCGTGCCGTTCATTTCATCGAAGAGAGTCAACAAGCGACTGTGTGTATGATTGCCAAGAAGGGGGGTGGATAGCAATGCCCAATTCCTTTGCGCGTCAAAGGATTATCGGTCGTCTGTGCGAGGGACCCAGCGCAGAAGGAGTCTGAATGGCTGCTTTTTGATTCCTGACTAGCTTGCTCAGTACTTACTACTAATCAGAGAACCGAGAGGTCTTTATGCGTTACGTTGATTGCGTCCCGGGGGCATTTACGACGTAATATATTGTTTTTAGCGATGAAAACAATAGCGACTGGCTTGGACAAGCGAAGCCAAAGACAAAGCATCTAGCAGAGCCTCGCGAGACAGACCATGCTCTTAGCACCTGCTGCAGGCACAGGTTTCCTAGGATAAGGGTCTGTTAGCTAGGGCAAGAGGAATGCTAGGATGGCGGGGATGGCAGTGGTTTCGAATCTGCGAAAATTCTCGTTAGGGGGCTACGCTTACTGATGCTATATACCCAGTGGGACCGTCGCACCACTGCAACCGCGTGCGATGACCGGCCAGCTGCATACGGTAACTGTGACTTAACAGGAAGGTAGCTTGCGGTCGGGGTGTGGCTGGCGGGGGGTAGGAAGCTTCGGACCCCAGGTCTCGTGGCCTTGATCAAGTACACCGAAACACTCCCTGTCGGCTGTTTCCGAACCGTTTGAGAATAAGTACGACGTTTCCGTCGATGCTAGAAGAACATTCTCTGCATATATTGTAGTGTAATAAGTAGTATGTAAGACAATATAACTTTCTCACTAGTTCTCTGATGGTCCGGCCGTGGCCCAGGCTAGTAGTACTACTAGTAGGTTGGTGCAGTGTGAACTGAGGGAGAGGTAAAGATGTATTATTGGATTTCAGCGTTTATGTAAAGCGGCGAGCTAGCTAGTGTTGTGACGTACTGCTATTCTTCCGTTGATTTCAACCTCCGACCTATAGATCGCTCCGGTGTCGCGCATCATTGTCATCATATACTTATAAGTACTTTAGGTGCTTTGAAGTGTAAGTAGTCTGCATCAACTAGAAGAGAAGACACTAATATTTTAGATAAATATTCTTTCTTGTTAGACTTTCCACAATGAAACGCCACCATGAAAAACACGTACCTTTGCTACTAGCTAGGTTGATGCATCCCAAAGCGAGGGCCTCGGCCATATCACCGTGACAGACAAGTGTCCAGGTTCACATGCACATATGGTCTTATCTAACAAGGATAGATCCCTGCACTATCCACCTATGCAACTTTCAAGTTGGGATTGACTGAGCCAGGTCCCGGAACGATCGTCGCGCCCTGGATCATATCTCATGGCTAGTATCCACCAATCAGCATCTGTTTTAACCTTGTCTTCTCTCCGAGTGCTTCTCTATCGGTAAGCACCGGGAACGGCCGATTTGTTTTTTTTCCTTTGTGTGGCACCAAGAGAAACACAAGGGCACGGGATGCTGTTACTAGTTCAGCGGCATGAGGTGCCGCTCCAGTCGGAATTCCCCTTTTGTCTCAGCATTGACTAACACTGAAGTGACAAGGTGACATCATGACCCGAACATCCCATATGTGTTTGATCGCAATGCAGTCGGCTGCCGGATTGGAGCGCCAACTGGTCGTTGATCTTCTTGTTGTACTCCAGGTTTAAATACCATTCTACCTGAAGACCTTAATCATTAACCATTGGTACGGATCCATGGTCTAGTCAAGTGCACGACCACCTCCTTGTCTGGGTTCGATTCTCAAAGGTACCCATTGTATTTTTCTCCTGAAAATTGCGCATCTAAAACCACGGGTTGTTCCGCTATCAAGAAGTCAGCCGCACAGCATCGCATGTCTGCCTTGCCGTATATCCGTGTGTGCGGTTCTGAGCTTCGCATGATGCGATATCTGATGTACATGACATCCGAGGGATTATCATGGTGAGGTAAACAGTTTTGGGTACAACAGTCTGCCAGGTAAGCTTTGATGGGTCTGACATACATGATATACCCCAAAGGAACTCAGATTTATTTGTCCAGCTGCGCTCCTGCTGCGTGAAAATATCAAGGTTTGCGACTTAATCATCAGGCGTCTGTGGAACCACGGAACCCTTTTCCTTTCAGATTAGCTTCAGGGAAAGTTCAATTTATACTGTTTGATCACTGGCATCCACAAAAAATACTCCACGCTTTGCGCATCCGCGGATGACCACAATCACATGCATAGTGCCTAGCCTCGTGTCTTACTGCTGATGATCCTCTTCTTTTTAGGTGGGAATGACTTTTTTCTTCTGATATTTTGCGATCCGAAGTCCTCGCATTTCGTGGCCAGCTTTTCTCACTCAAATTACTCTGATAAACGCTCCCCTTGTTGATCACAAGTATCCGACAACCGGCTCCGTGTGCTTGCATTGTGGAAAATTGCTCTGTCCCTCGTGGACGTGGACCCGAGGTCTTTCCGACAAGTAATACGTATAACGTCAAATTTGTTATCAAGTCGCTTTGCCCATGGTATGCAGTCTCGTATTCGACTATGCTAAGCTCTAGCAGGTGGCCGTAATCATCGAATCAAAAGATAGAACGCTTAGCGATAGCGCATGCTGCCCAATCGTCCAGGGATACCCGGATCTTATAGATAACGAACGGCTTTTACTTCTGACAGGAGTTGGATTCTTGTATTCTACGAGCGTGGACAGTAAACGCCGGATCGAACGGCAAAACATTCGTAGCCTTTTCTGCGCAATCGTCGAAGGGTCGATTCGTAAAGAACAAACTTCTTTCACTCACGCCTGGAATTGTACACCGGGAGGGTGGTACTCGAAGCGGGACTAATGGGTTTGAGTCCAAGGTACGAATTTTTACTCGGAGAGAACACGCCGCTGACACATGGGCTTCTTGTGCTCACACACTCCAGTGAGCGGCTACTTCTAGCTATGGATTCAACATAATTGATCAATCCAGTTCTGACAAAAGCTATCTCGTCGTATACTGGATGCTTAACCCCAGATTAACAAGTGTATGTGTACTCGAGGATGTCAAGCTCGACGAACATCTTACCAGCAGCCGTGGGCCATGTCAGTCTTCATACCCTTGCAGTATGCTGCCAGGATGGAGATAAGCTAGGCGGACCTCTACTAGAAACCTGTTTAATGCCTTTCATCAAATTCAGCCAGTCTCCGCATGGAACTTAGAACAAGCCTAATCAGTGTGACAAATATTTCTATGTTATGGCTGATGCGATTTTACCACAAGAAAACGGGGTCCCTCTAGATACAGGTGAGTTGAATGACTTACATCTTCACGATGCGAACCCCTTCATCACCCAATGGTCCATGAAAACGAAAACTGCTCGTCAAATTGAGGTGAATGGGGTGCCTGTAGAGACAAGTACGCCACGACCCTTACCTCTTGTTCGTAATACAATATCCAAGACCCCTCGAATGCAGAATTCAGGAGCAACAGTGCACTCCGATTCGCAACCTAACGATGTGAACTGGAGCTGCTTCGTTACGCAGTAGCCAAACAAAGCGGTTCCACATGTTTCGGAGGACCTCAAGAGTCGATATGACAAAGTAAGTCATTCATGATATCCCAAGTACATCTTCCTCGTCACTCGCATAAGCGGAGATCTCAAGAAAGTATAGCTGGATACAAACGTCCTTGTGCTAAGTGTGATGTGAATTTTCATACCATAATGCCGCGCGCTTATGCAATTCGTTCCTAGATTGATGTTCACTGCCCTCATACCCTCATTACCAACAATTTGAATGATGAGCTTTTCCCGTACCCCAAAACAGGGTACGACACATGTATTCAAAGATTCATGTCTACGTACTTCAATAACATCACGGAGAGTGTGATCATGAATGGATGCAGTCCTGACCTTCACCTATGTATAATATGTACACGCTCACGAGTCACGACGCCTTCATTTGAACAGCTCCCATAGCAAGCGATCAATTTAAAGGTGTGTGGTTTACCCGAAAATTTAATTAATTACAGAATTCAAATTAATTCAAGGGGGAAAGAGAACAGGGATCGCAGAGATACTGTAAGGATCGTATATCCTCTATGCCCCGACTACGTGACTCTCGTTATTCTCTCCCCTCATTCCTACTACTCTACCCTGCCAGGTTCAATGTCACTCCCTTCTACCTCCGTTTTCTCATAATCGTTCGGCCTAGGCGTACCCGAGGACCCTTAGAGCCTCGCGACTATAAGTATAGCATGCACATTCGTATTTACTATTTAGAGAAGAATCTCATGCGCTGATTCCCCACTCAGAACACGTCCGAACGCTCTCAAAGCCTCCTTTCATTGTCACTCTGCCGTCTAACTATACTTCTCTCAAGTCAATCATTAGTTCACTTTCCCCTCTCGTACTCGACACCAGCCTTACAATACTAATGGCTAGAAGAGTTGGATTGATAGAAGAACAATTCGAATCTAAACCTGAGTAGTATCCCAAACAAGATCCCAAAGACTCCACCTGGAAATCAATGTAATCTATAGCACAGCACCATCTACGGGCGAGTCAGCTATTCTCGATCGTGCAGACAATTTTTGACGTGTGCAAACGAGTAATGATGTATGGTGGCAGGTGCATACTACAAGGGCAGGTAATGAAAGACAAATGGCGGCAGACAGAAAGAAGCGGAAATGTGGAGGGTACGTACAGACATTCTGCAACAAGTAACAGCAGGTATGAACAAAAAAATGAGCGGCAGCAGGTGCAAATGAGTGCTGACTGATGCAAACAAGTTGGAATAAACGGAAATGCACATGGACGAGTGAAAACGAGTCCAAAGACAACGCGCACAGACAAGTATAGGCACGAAGCAAGCGGGTTACCGAAGTACCACAGATATGCAGTGCATATGTACAGACAGGACAATAGTGACTGACGAAACAAATTTCTACACAATTGCTATCAATCTGCTGCAGAAAAGCCACACAAATAATACTAACATGCATTGATATACTGAGTGTCCTCATATATTTGAGATGCCAAGCACCATCATAGGTGTGAGGAATTAAAGGCCGAAAGCATATAGAGCAACAGTTCAGACCATTTGCGCGCAGGCTGGTGACGAGAAATAGAATGTTGTTGACAGACAAATGGCAAGGAATTACTGAACAAGCCGGTCAAAGATGTCTGTATGCGGGAGGAGAGCAAGACGAGTCAAGGAAAATGAAAGCACAGATGTGCTCATCAAAAGCTGTAATAGAAAGAAAAACTGTAAAATTACATACCGCAGTTGGGCTTCCTTGGGTATCTGTGTTCTTGTGTGAGTGGCAAGGGATGTCGATCGGAGTGCTTCAAAGTTCGAGGAGGTTACTGACATCGTCGAAGGCGAAAATGGCCAGCTCGGGGCGTTCCGTTAGGTTAGGTTTTGAATCCGCACATTCATAGGTGAGCCGCCCAGAGCAACGAGGTGCATAGTATTAATAGTATAGCTCACGGCAATTGTGCGCGTGATGGATGCCAGTGTAAGTTTGGAAGACTTGAACACATTGCCACGGTGACCTTGGAAGAAGCAGGCATGAGCAGGCAGGCTAAACTGGATTCTGGTATCCCGTGTGCAGACGTCCCTGCACATAGTACCAGGCGGTGTCAAGCGTAGAACGGCCTGCACGCATAACCGGAGTTTGAAACTTATGGTGACGGGCTGCTTAACGATGTGAACCTGTTGGGCACTCGCCGGTTACAACTTGCGGAGTCTGGCTCATCGCGAAGCCTAGTTTCAAATGGTGAGCTGGCAATTGAATAAAGGGAGAAGTCGAAATTACTGACTATATCTCGTTTCTCCTTAACCACGTTCTGGTACTTCGGAAGATAGTGACATTATCGGCAAGGGAACCACACGAAGGACACACGAAGAAGGCAGGCCAAGATAGGCAAGTCAAGCGCCCAAGCGCCCTCACTGATCGTGATGGTCAACATGGAGGTCGATGCTAATGTTGATGGTATAAACGCAGTGGACAGGTTGCGAACACGAGTGTAACAGGCAACTCGACAGCCCAGGCCCATACTTAGCGTGGCTAAGTAATAAGTTGACGTTTAAACGGATCTACGACTGCCTCAAGGCTGGCTGGCAACTAAATTAGAATGACGGACATTGCAAGCTCAGAGGCAGAGCATTTAGATTTTAGGAACCTCGAGGCTAGCGGATGCAACGAGCACGCATCCATTAATAACCAGCAGCTACAACAGACATCGAAACCACGACCATCACACCGTCTGTCAGAGGAGCCTAGGACTACGCTACTTGTGCCACCACCAAGATCAGCACTTCGACCTGGTCGTAATTCTATGATAGCGGAAGAAGCTAGACGACGATCAAGAGAACTAGAAGGTCTAGATCTACAACAATCACAACTAGAACCAACCCTTGGATCATCACATCCTATCGCAGCGCCTCCTGCCACGCGCCAACAGCTGCCAAAGATGTTGCCAACCCTCCATTTAGCGCCAGAGTCAGAGATGGTTCCCGTCCTTCGCACTCCTAGTTTTTCATCTCTATCACAACTCTTGGAGGCTCTCGGCTCCACACCCGATCTCAACTCCGTTCTTGGAGTTGTTGACGAATTCGAGGACGAATTCGATAGAGAAAGGGAAACAGAACACCTGGTTGATGATACCCTTGCTACTGCCTTATACACCAGCTATACCGGACCCGTCGCTGCTTATACCGATTCCGTCGGTGCTGATACACCTAACGCCGGCCATACTCCTACCATGGAATCGGCTCATACTCTTATACAATCCACTCGTTTCCCTAAAGACAAGGAGCTCCCCCTCCCTCCTTCCACTCTACCCCTCTCCCTACCTATCAAATCAAGACTACGAACTGATAACCGCCTTGAGCTGTCAGAGGATCGGAGTGCGATGTCAAGTCAACAACGCTCAGAGGAGGATTCGACCACAGCCCCCCCTATACCCGCACCAGCCATCACAAAACGCCAACATGCTCTGCTCGAACTTCTGACCTCTGAACGTGCCTATGCAAGTGATTTAGCACTCATCAGGGATGTGTATATGAGGTTGGCGTCTGGTGAGTCCTTCTACTTTTTAAGGCATTTGAAAAGTATTCTAATCCATCCCAGGTCACCCTCCGTCATTCGGTTTCTCATGTACACGCCCAGTCTCGGGTTCAGAAATTTCAAACCCTGGGTCTAGCTCAAGTTCCGAATCCACCAAGTCGAGCTCAGGTACATGCTCATCCTTGTCTTCACGCACAGTTAGCACCATCTCCACTTCCGACGTATCCGTCTCGAGCCTTTGCCCACCGACAATACAGCTCAACGTGCCTTCTATTCAATTGAATGTACCTACATTTACCCAAATAGGTCCTTCCATGACTCTCTATGGTCATCCAATTCACTAACTGCTCATTCAGTAGGTCCTCTGACTGATTCCAAGGTTCCAACACAGCTTTCAAGTTTACGCCCGGTGGGCGAGCCTCCACTATCTGTCGCTGATACACGTATTATTTTCCGCAACATTTCTGAACTCGCTGTCCTTTCTGACATGCTCGTGTCAAAGCTCGAGATAGCCATCGAAGAAGGAGGCAAGGGCGTAGGCGAAATCTTCCTGGAGGTGGTGAGTTTAATCTCTCGATATTAGGTGCGACTTCACACTGATGCTTAACATCACTCAGGTACCCCTCTTTGCACCCCCATACACGACGTACATCACCGCACACCCTCGTGCACTTGCACACCTCGACGCCCTCAATACACCACCGCAGCTCACCCCTCAATTCTCGCGGTGGCTCAAGGAGAGCAAAGAACTCGTCGAAGCACACACGCATGCTTGGGACCTACCGAGTTTGTTAATCAAGCCGGTTCAGCGGTTGCTGAAGTACGGGTTACTACTGGGCGCCGTGATCAGTGCTACCCCGGAGCCGCTCGTTATCGTAACTTCAGAGAGCATAGGCGAGGCCTTTGGGAAACTGAGGGAGGGAGCTGAAGGGCTCGATAAACTGAGAGAGGCGAAGCAGAAGGTGGAAGAAGTAGCTCGTGCTGTGAACGAGGGACGAAGGCGGGTAGAAGTCGTCAGAGAGGTCCTCGGATCTGGACACTCCAAAGATGGCCCTGGAGCAGGCAGTGTAGGATCCATCGGCATACCCAAGGTTGGCGTGGTAAACGCCTCCGTCTCACGCATGCGTTCTCTACGCACTCCAAAGCCCCTTGCCTCGTCCGCCAAGTCACCCTCGAAACAAAAAGGCTCCATCCACGTTTCAGAAATAGAACCCGACTCCGAAAATGCCGAAGCTGCCCTCCTTGTAGCCCTCGAAAGCAGGCTCAAGTCGCACATCACTACGCTCTCCCATCTTGCTCGGGACGCATTTGGCTATGCCCGGACTCTCCATACGCTGTTTGGGGCACTCGTCAAGTGGGGATGGGCATTTTCAGGCGTCATTGGCGTCACCGTCAGCCCTGAACTGTCCCAGAACAATCCCAATCTGAATAACACTCCCCCTTCTTCACCAGACACTTTAGGAACCGGCCAAAGCGAAGCCTTCGATGCCTTCCTCTCGCTCTGTACCGGACTAGTTGATCTCGTACAAGAACTTGAGCACGAACTCCATGCACACATCCTTCCCTCTCTCCAATCCCTCAAAGGCACATCGGTTGCGCCACTCAAGCTTCTCAGTGCACTGCACACTCTGCAGCCGCTGCATATGCACTTACTGCATCTCCCAATCACGCGCAAGAACCGCCCGCCAGAGGCGCTGCTACAGGCAAGCCAGAGCTACGTTGCATTGCGGGGGCAGCTTGCGCTGGAGTTGCCTGTGTATGTAAAGCTGCTGGAGCGTGGGATTGATGGGGTGGTGCTAGACTTAGCCAGGGCGATGGATGCATTTTGGAGAGTTGTAATGGAGCGGTGGGGAGAGTTGTGGGATGCGCTGCAGGTGGAAGGGGAGGGTCTTGAGGCTGGAGGTGCGGGAGCAATGAGAGACAATATGGAGCATGCGGACCGACCAGCGGGTGGAGGCGAGACAGTTCGTGTCTGGCGTGAGCGATGGGGTGATGTGTTGGGCGTGCTTGGGTCGTTGGCGATTGTCAATCCGCCCAGAAAGATGGAGCGGCTGCGTCCTGTGATTCCACAGTACCAAGTACCGCAGCAAGTGCAACATCGTACTTCACCACAGCAAGGTGCAAAACTAACAAACCTTGCTGCTGTGATTGGCTCTCTCGATTCGCAAGTATCACCTACGCGTCCAAGGCAGCATCAGCATCAGCACCAGGGGTCATATGATGCCCGTTATGCGTCCAAGGAGTCATATGATGGTCGGTCTAGGAGGGATGAAACGAAGTATGCGCGAGAGAAGGAGTATGATGCGCGCCATTCGTCTGGTTCTGGATCATACGACACACACTACCGATCAAATGACCCTCGCAGCTCACAGAATTCCTACGACCCCCATAACTCGCAAAGTTCTTACGAGCCTCGCAGTTTTCAGAACTCCTATGACCACCGCAGCTCACAATCATCGTCTTCCTCGTTCAATCCAGCGTCGCGTGCGTCACACTCGCACCCCAATTCTTACGATATCACTGGTCGACGACGCAGTGGGAGTACGAACAATATCCCCACCGGTCCTATTGCCCGCAAACTTTCCGATGAGTCGCTGCGTTCTGGGAAATCTGGGAAATCGGGCAAGTCATACAAGAGTAACCTTGGTCCTGGTGCGAATATTTGGAGGGGGATCGAGGATGTACCACCTATGCCTTCTGCCCTACAACTGCCATCACAATTTCGCAGTGGCGTCTCTCCACCGCGCCTCAAGCCCACACGAATGAAGAGTCTGCCTGGGCCAATAATTAGCAACATACCCTTTGGACTTGATCCCCCACCAAGCCCGTCGTCATTCGCTACGTTCGATGAGGAGCAGGAAGACAACGACAGAGATCGGGGGCGTGTCCAGCAGAGACGACCAAGCCTCAAAAGTAAGATCACAGATACATTCCGGCCATCACACCACAGGACGCGATCAAGTTCTGTCAAGAGCCTCGGAGCTCCGAGCTCACTTGCACCAAGTTATTATACCACAGATAGTGCGCTGCCTGCATACCAAATGCCGCCCACCCCAACTCGAACTCAGTCGCCGCATACCCCCACTCGCCGCACCACGGACTTGCAAGGGCTACGCGCGCTCTACCAATGTGCCGCAATACACATGTGTATTCCACCTGCTGGAGTATCGTATCGGGGTTTACCGTTCTTCGAGTTGCGATCTGGAGATACGTTTGATGTGCTCAGAGAGTATGGGCACCCCAGCACCCATCCAGATTTACCATTATATGTGGATGACGGGGAGGATTGTTTGTTACTAGTTCGGGAGCTTGTTGATGCGGAGGGAGGAGGCAGAGATGCGAAAGTCAGGGGAGAAGTGGGCTGGGCGCTGGCGAGTTTTTTGGTCCCTCTGGATTAAGCTTATCTGTGTGTCGGGGATTTGGCGGGCGGTTGCTTTCTGCCCCTCCGACATTTGATATCGAATTGAATTTACGATTTCGAGGTGATTTTGTTTTCTGGTTGTGCTTTCTGTTCACACATCATTTCCCACTTCATCTTATGTAGTATACATACGCATGCGCATCAACAAGTCTTTCCAATTTTCCCTTTTCTCCTCACCGCATCTGCGAGACCTCTTTAACATACGCATAATACACCCTTGTATTGAATTTTCTGTCGATGTAACACATACATGCTTAATCGAATACAGCTCCAAGTTCCCTGCTCAACATTACGTGTGTATCCATGGGTAGTAAGTATAATACAACCACGCTCAATCACCGATATCCCATTTCGGAATTCCAGGTCTCAGAGGCAGTTTCCTCCATTCCTCGATCAGATCATAAGTAGAAGGGAAATCCTTTACTGTCACCGACTGCCCCGGTTCGGAATCATATGAAGCATTCGAGTCACTAAAAGTCGACTCTCCTGAGTCAGCTGCACAAGATTGGACCTCGGCCTCAGCAGCTTCTGCTTGTGCAAGCTGAAAAGCACGTCGTACAGAGTGTTTAAATCTATTGAAAAACTCGGCAGGCGTTAAAGGAGTCGAAATTTCTGAAAACGTCAGTGGGTCCCAGAATTTCCCGTCCGGAATCTGTTGTGTAACCATCAATAAGAGTGCACCTAACTATGCAAATACGATGCGCACCGGTGGACTGTACTGAGGACTCTTACGTCGCGCCTTCAAACGCAATTGATTACGGCGACGAAGATCGTTTGGAGGAAAGCCAAGCATTTCTCCTGGGCTGGGGGAGAGATCACCGTAAGCGGTGATTGTGTGCTCGTCTTCCAGGTCGGTGTTATCCTCGACGCGTTCGTCCTCATATAGGACAAAGTGCAGGCTCATGTGCGGGAGTATGGTAAATTTAGGCTAAACAACTGGTGAGCGAAGAGAGAATACTAGGGAAGGTCGATGCCCACCATTGAATTACAGACGGGTTAGCAGTGAGGAGCCTGATGAGGTCCTGCACATTTATACTGCCCATATCGTCCGTCCACAAGCATTGACCTGTGCATGTGCCGACTCCTAGCCACCAAGGCCACAGACCACAATGGTTGCCACAGCGCATGCAAATTAGACATTATCCAGTCAAAGGGGTAACCACGAACGCTTGGCAATTGAGACGCGTAAACGACGCTGTAGTTGTGGGCCTCCCGTCATGTACATGAGCCTTCGATGTCTGTTGATAGCAAGGGCAGCAATAACTCAAAGTTTGTATGACACACTTTGGAGCATCTGAGGCCACTGATGTATCCGAGTTTCCACTAGGACTCACAGGGGACTGCCAGTAAATACTACATGATGGGTCAGAATCGTCAGATTAAGCTGGTGAGACGTGCGCAGGCCAATGCATAGGCCTGCAAGTCTGCAGATCAATACGAAAATACATTGAATTTGAATTACTCTCAACTAAATTAAATATCGAAGGTCGAGATAGAGACCGGCGCGAAAAGTGTTGAGTTATAAGACAAAGTCGAGACATGGTGGTGTGCAAGAGTGCAGACATGCACAACGTAAGTACCGTAGTGGCGTGTGACGGATGGACTGGTCCAGGCCGATCACTGACTAAGTGCGAGCTACTAAGCCCCCTGCCACGTACATTATCTGAAACATGAGAGAATCATATGTCTGTTAGAATAATCACGAGCCACTGAATACCTTACTGTATATAAGAAACCTACCTAGTATTGTAACAGTTGGCGCTCTTGAATCCTATCTTATATCTGGTTACATCAGGAAAACCCCAACTTACTTAATCTTGCTTAATCAACTTAGCCACATTTGTTTCCTCTCTCATGCATCATCTACCTAGTAAATTTTGTATTTTTTTAGTGTAACCTGTAACAAAATATGTATGCTAATATGACTGAACAACTTTTTCCTGAATATGTCAAATTTGAATTTCTAGCAAAGTAGGCTAAGTCACTAAGTACGACTTAAGTCTGTTTAAGGCAAGCTTAAGTAAGTTGGGGTTTTCCTGATGTACTTGAACGTCTGAATTCTCTACCCTTGTGATGTCTCTAAAAGCTTATCGCTTCTTACCGCCGTCACATATTTTTTAACCTTCAACAAGCTTAACTCTTACACTCGCCTTTGATTCAGGAACTCTGGTTTGGCCAACCCGTCGTTTTGAATATAGGCAACAATATCATTATCAACACTACAACTATGTCAACTACTCGTTACCGAACCCAGTCTCGTGCACGTCAAGCGCCTAACGACCAATCGACCCTGAACGCGAAGACAGCCTTGCTGCCTCGCGCTAATAGTGAGTCCTCTCTATCTACCATCTCTGCCCCTCCGGGGGAAGCAACGCCACAGGCGCCTTCCCCTGCGTATTCTGTTGACACCCCCATCCGCTTGTATAGCGATGTGGTGTTGACGCGTATTCCCTCGATGCCTGGCGCACTCGAGGCGACCCCTATCGGGGCGTTGAAACCTTCAGGTCCGAAGCCCAGAAAGTCGGCTTTGGCAAGGGCAGACACCATAGAAACATCTGTAAACTCAGAAGTCAGTAGAGAAGAATATAAGAGACCCAGGGTCACCTTTGATCTGCACGATGAGTCTGATCTAACGTCCAGTGAGAAATCCACCGAGTCTGGTGACGACCAGCCTAGCGAATGGACAAACATTCAAGGGAAGCACGGGAAAAGAGTCCCGTCACACGAAGCCTCCGAAGAGAGGCGAGCTTCCTCTGAGTTGAGCCAGGAACAAGAAAACCTGGTAAAGTTAGCGGAGAATGAGCTAACTGAAAACAATCGTAAGAAAATTGAGGCCAGGCAGCGCACCTTGAACCTCAACAGAGAAAGTACCGAGTCCTGAGGTGAGGGTACCTCCCGGGACAAGGGAAAAGCTCCTGACCCCCGAAACTGGGGTGATGTCGAGCTAGAAGACGGAGAAGTGGACCTTGACGCCCAAAGGGCGGCACTAGAGACCTTCCGTCTGGCCCGAGAGTACGAGGAAGCCGAGCGTGAGGAGCAATGAGAGGTTCTCCGATCCCTCGATGAATCTCGGGAAGACGATAGCTTGATCTCGGCCCCCCGGGATAAGGGGGAGTACGTACCCTGTGCTAGAGCTGAATCTGCTGTAAAAGCTATTAAGGAAAAAGTATCTAAACAGTATGAAGCCCGCATCCAAGAGTTGGAAGTGAGGCTTGCCTTAAACGAGGGTAGCGGTGGGAGGAAAGGTCGAAAGAAACCATCCAACCCTGTAGATGGTATGGTGAACCAGGTGCTAGAAAGGGCATCCAGCCCCCCACCAGCTAGATCCACGCCACAGGCAATGGAACCCATCCAGCAGGTGGCACCTCGGAGCTATATTGGACAGGCCCTCAGTAGGCTGAAAACTCAAAGAAGAGTAAGAGTAAGAAAACAAAGAGAAAGAAGAAATGTACCTCACATGACCCAAGTGACAGCGAGGACTCTAGTGACTCGAGCTCATCGTCGAGCTCGTCCGAATCCTCCTCTGAATCGTCTGAGTCCAGTGAGTCGTCATCGGATGACTCCAGTACGACGTCCTCGCGGAAACGCACTAAGAAGAAACATAGTCGTAAGAATAAGAAAAACACTTTAAAACCCATCCCACCTGTGAACTACGACAGCTCTCCGGACTCCCGAGCGTTCCATCAATTCTTGACGGAAGGGACCGCATATGTCAAAGATGGGCAAGTGGAGAGGAAAAGGAGGGTGTTCGTCCTAGCTCATTACCTGAAAGGGCGAGTGCATGAGTTCTACACGCGAGAGGTGTCAGGAGACCCATACCGTTGGAGACTCCAGAGGTTCTTTACCGAATTGTTCAACCACTGTTTCCCTATTGACTTCAGGATGAAGCAAAGGGAAAAACTCAACCGGAGTTATCAGAATGAGAAAACCGTTAGGGAATATATCTATAAACTAAGTGAGCTATGGAATATGATAGGAGACGTAGCAGAAAGGCAGCAAGTGACTCGCCTTTGGACCGGTCTCAACCCTAGTATCCAAACGGAGCTCTGGAAGAAGGAGCTTAATCCGGAGTCATCTTCGTTCAGAGAAGTACAGAGCGCGGCCGAGATCATAGAGATCGCGCACTCTGTACCCACACGGTCGAGAGAGCGACGAGCCAAGGACGGCGGTGGTGGAAACTCCAATCCCAAAGGGGTGAAGGAGGACGGGGGGTCTCAACCCAAGACTAACGACCGTAAGGAGAGGCGGGGTGACCGCCGACGTAACGATCGAACCGGAGGAGACCGTAGGTCCCAGGGCAGTGGACAATCTAAGGACACTGGTAGTCAGTGAAAAGATGGTGGAAGGACCAAGGACTCACATAATGAAAGAAGGCCTGAGAAACTCAGCCCAGCAGAGAAGGAATGTCACGCTGCTGAAGGGCTATGCTACGTATGCCACCAGCCCAGACATATATCAAGGAATTGTCCGCAGAAAATGACTGTGAAGGCTGGAGGGAGTAGAAACGCACCCCCGGCCATGCAGCACTACGGTATGGACATCCTCAACAACGATGGACATCCTCAACAACGATGGACGAGAGGCGCCACTAGATGACCCGTTGAGATCTAACAATTTGTCGGGGTTAGCGTGTGCCTCTATGACCTTAGACTATGAGGGAAACATACCCGATAGAACCCCCAATCTGGTGCCCACCACCATGGGCAACCCTTTAGCTGAACGAGCAATGTACCTACTGAATCTAGGCTCTGGGTACTACCCGGGCGATGACGAGAACAGGCAACCAGACCCAGACCAGTTCCTAGTGTATTGAGTGTCGGACCTGGAACATGCGATCATGGACCGTGAGGATAGGCGTGACCCCGAGATGACGATACTCACCACGTTGTTGCTGAACCCATTGTTCTGTTTGGAGGGATGGTACTTCAGACACGTAGGCAAACTAAGAGGTTACTCATCCGACAAAATATGGAGGCTGAGGACAAAACCCCCAGGACCCTCTATAGGAGAAGTGCTGGGGCCAAGAGCAGCCGTCATTCTACAAGCAAATGGACCCTATAAAAAGGACTTAGTGTATTACTCACATCCTGAACGCTTCGAGTGCTTACGATTGCATGACAGTTCGTATGAGGTTCGGGACTATGCCAAAGCATTTCGAGTCCCAATACCTGTCCACCTGTTGCTGCGTGAAATGTTTGAAGTAGCCCGCTGGTTCAAGTCTAGGCTGACCCGAGCATATGGGAAGCTATGTGATGAAATAATGAGAAATGCACCAGAATATGACATCCTCCGGCTTCTAGAGAGAGGGCCGATGACACCAGCTGAAAGTCAGATAGACGAAGTGGCGCGAAGAATTTACACACCGCCTCCAGACGCTAAGATCATGTGTAAGGACACCCACCTGTTCGTAGTTGAGCTTAATGGGCAGCAAATTCCAGCAGGGACTTACCCTGCAATACATAGGACAGCTGCAGTAGCCAAGGACTTCAAACGCGTGATACCGAAGCCCTTGGTAGTCACCATCCATATCAATGGACAGCTGGCCTGAGCGTTGATTGATTCCGGATCGCTATTGGATTTCATGTCAGTAACATTAGCGGATCAGCTCAAAATACCTCGCATCGAGCTCGCTAAACCTATCGTCGTGCAACTAGCCATCCAGGGATCTCGGTCGAAGGTCAACCATGGAGCTACAGCTCAGCTGAAGTACCAGTCGATCGATTCGAAATGATACTTCGACATTATTAACCTGCAAAATTATGACTTAGTGCTGGGAACCCCATTTCTGTTCCAACATAAGGTGATGATCGGGCTAAACCCACCTAGAGTCGTAATCGGGAGTGTTGATCAGCAACCCATGAAGGGCGAGCAGGTGACGACCCTGGAGTCGCATATGTCCGAGGTCTACAAGGAAAACCTGGACAGAGTAGGGGCGCGACTGAATGAGTTAGCCAGGCCGTCGTGTGCTAAAGCAAGCGAGACGAACCTACCCCCCTTGCGTGCAATAAATCACACGATACCCCTCATTGATGAGGGGAAGATCTACCCGTGGCGACCGTCATGCTGCCCTGAACCTTTGAGACCTCAGTGGGCGGTGTAGAGACTCATGCCTCTCATTGTGCAATATGGCAGTTTTCACTGGGGAGTACATGGCACGAACTTGTAGCATCACTCTGTGTGCTACCTGCAGCTATCTCTATATGAGGCGCAGCTTTCCCGCGCTGTAGCGCCCTATAGCGCCAGCCATCCGGAAGCATCCATCCACTGTCCACCAAGTTCCCTAGTGCGTATATTTCCATTTCTCACATTTGCATATCGTTCCATCTTTATTTTTATCATGGACCCTTACTTACATATATCTTTACATACCTTACTCGGTAGCGCTTCAGCTCCGCATGACAGCGCTTAGGCGCCATACTTAAGCGCCAGCAGTACATACTTACTTACGAACTTACTCTCCCACCAGAACGACAGAGGACTTACTGGTTACTACCCACTATTTACCTAGCAGAACATAGTAGAAATCTATTTGTTTACACCTCGCATCTCCCTTCTCTTGTCTTACATCATATCATCACCTAAGCAAACTCACTCTTACTCTCTCTTGTTTCCGCATACACGCGCGCGCATTCCCACGCTTCGCGCATTCTCGCGCGCACCTGCGCTTTCCCGCGCTTCGCATTGGCCAACCAGTAGCGCTTTCAGCGCATACCTCTAGATCCTTGCTGCACTCGCTTCCCCTTTAGGGTCGAACGCACTTGTCGTCTCAAGTATAGCAGACTAGGCAACGCACGACCTTACAACAATTATAGATACAGTCAGGAGCATTGTTCATGCCTCGCAGTATCGTTGAACCTTCAGCGGACAAGCGGAGATCGTACCTGGCCTCGGGTCGCTGGCAAGTCACCAGCGCCGGGAACACTGTTCCCACGCTGTTTATCCATAAGCCGGGATCAGACAAACTGCGTACTGTGGTGGACTTGCGTGAGCGGAACAAGAACACTAGGAAGTTGACCTCACCTCTGCCGGACATGGAAGGCATCCTGCACCGAGTTGCTGGGAAGAAGTTCAAGTCCATCCTGGATGGACAAGACGCATATGAGCAGATAAGGGTGGTGCCGGAGCATGTGCACTGCACTGCTATGACTACGCCTGATGGGAACATGATTAGCCATGTTCTTCAGCAGGGGGACTGTAACGCGCCCACGACTTACCAGGCGTTGATGAATTACCTGTTTGGCGAGTTCCTCGGTACTTGGATGGATGTGTACCTTGATGATATCATAATATATTCGGATACACTGTCTGAACACATCGACCATGTTAAAACTGTCCTTAAGATTTTGGACAGAGAGAAGCTTTACCTGAGTCAAAAGAAAATCCAGTTCTTGTGCGACGACGTCAAGATCCTGGGCCGAATTGTGGGTAGAAACGGCATCCGCATGGACCCAGAAAAGGTAGACAACATTTTGAACTGGAAGACACCGACGAACCGGGACCTCTGTCGGGGGTTCATCGGATCAGTGGGGTACTTAGCAGATGACATCTATCGAGTCCGTATCCCGTTAGGTGTGCTGTCTGAAGTGACTGGGGACGCCGTACCTTTTAAGTGGGACTACACCCAGCAACGCGCCTTTGAAACAATTAAGCAGTACGTGGCAACCTGCGCACCCCACTGTTGTGTGCCCTTGGTTTATGGGCTGGAGGCACCGACCATATATATGATGACGGATGCCTGCTTAGGTGGGATTGGAGGCGTAGTAGCCCAGGGCGCCGATTGGCGCACAGCAAAGATAGCGGCCTTTTACTCAGCTAAGCTGAACCCGGCACAATGGAATTACCCTGTGCACGAGCAAGAGATGTTAGCCGGGGTTGAGACCATGTTGAGGCACCGGGATATCCTACAGGGCGTGAGGTTTGTGTGGCTCACAGACCACAAGGGGCTGGTTCATCTGCTGAACCAGCGCAATCTATCTGGCAGACAGGCGAGGTGGATTGAGAAAATCGGCGAATTTGATTTTGAGGTGAAATACTTACCAGGTGTGGAGAACCTGCTGCCGGATGCACTGTCTAGGATGTATGCATTTGATGCTCCCGGGACTGTGTGAACCCCCGGCGAGTATACTGAACATGACGTTGGCAATGCCTTCACGAAGGTCGCTCACCTGGCGTTGATGCCCTTGCTTGTGGGTGAGGAGGCATTGGCGACTGAGCCTCGGAGGAGTGCACGCGTGGCCCAATGCATCGCGAGTACACCAGACCGACCCGTGACAACGGACCCGATTGCCATGGGGTCTGACAACTTAACAAAGACTGCTGTAGGGAAGGGGATCCTGGTAGTGCTAGAAGTTACCCTTCGTATCTCACAACTTACAAGGGCTATCGCGTTTTGGGGAGAAAGAGTTTGCAAACTTCGCTGCGAAAGCCGATGGACTTTTCAAGTGGGCACGTCTTGCATGCGAATACATTATGAAAGACCTTCCCGGCGTAAACCCAAGGTCTCGCTTTGAAACTGTCGTGAATTGCGATCCTGGGAAATGGACCAACAAGCTGTATGATATGTATCAATTCATTTTGGCAGAAATCTGGCCACAACACGAGTATGGCGATGTCGAGTACCAGGAAGCATTAGCGGGGTTTCGTTCTGTGATGGGACAAATACTCAGCACAGCTGAACCCCTCTCATTCGATTCCCTCAACGCCATGCGGGACTGTTTTCTGAACCACAACAAACATTACAAACTGGACATCGTACAGCATATGGGATCCCTCCTCAGTGGCACAACGGACTCATGCATCCCCGTCAGACCCCTGCACACATTCTTCCAAGAGTTCCTCACAGACAAATTATTCAGCGGAGACTTTTTCATTGAAGTGACGAAGATGCAACACCACAACTTAGTGTTGGCGCCACTTCGAGTGATGGAACATGGCCTTCGCTTCAATATGTGTGATTTAGAATCATCGTACTTGCCTAATCGCGAAGATACTGGACTGCCTCAAAGAATCAAAACATCCATTCCCCTACATCTCTCCTATTCCTGTCGACATTGGGCTACGCATGTTCGAAAAATGGACTTCAACGATGAGCTTGCAGAGGCGATTAGATCATTCTTCGATGACGAGAGACTGCTATTCTGGATTGAAGCACTCAGACTTCTCAATGCAATCAGAGATGCAATTATTGTGCTTCCACTTGTTGCCAAGTGGCTGAAGGTGAGCACATGTCTGCATTTGTGTCAGACGAACTGCTTATAAATCAATACAGGGTCGTTCTGGATACGAAGATTTGTGGTCTATCATGCTGGATGTACAAAGATTTCTTCAAGTGTTTGGCAGCACGCTGCATTTGTATTTATCCGCGCTGCCATTCTCACCCATCAGCTCCACCATGGCTACCAATTTTACTGCAAAGTTTCTGAATAACCTTCGTCTGGCATCCGGCCATGATTTGAACTGGATGATTGCCCAGACCGTAATCAGTGGGTACACTGGAGTGGTTTTGTCAGTCTCATTCTCACCGGACGGGACTCGCACTGTGTCTGGTTCGGAGGATAAGACTGTGTGACTGTGGGATGCGTGGATGGGACAGCCATTGGGTGAGCCCTTGCAGGGGCACACTGATTTCGTTTACTCAGTCTCGTTCTCCCCGGATGGCACTCACATCGTGTCTGGTTCTGGGGATGAGACTGTGCGGCTATGGGATACAGCGACAGGACAGCCTTTGGGTAAACCTTTAGAGGGGCACAATGGAAGGGTTTTCTCAGTCTCGTTCTCACCAGATGGTACTCGCATCGCGTCTGGTTCATACGACAACACTGTGCGGCTGTGGGATGCAACAACAGGATAGCTATTGGGTGAGCCCTTGTAGGGGCACAATAATTGGGTTCGCTCGGTCTCATTCTCACCTGACGGTACTCGCATCACATCTGATTCATACGACAATACTGTGCGGCTGTGGGATGCGCGGATGGGACAGCCATTGGGTGAGCCCTTGCAAGGGCACACTAATTGGGTTTACTCAGTCTCGTTCTCTCCGGATGGTACTCACATCATTTCTGGTTCGGAGGATAAGACTGTGCAGCTGTGGGATGCATGGACGGGAAAGTCATTGGGTGAGCCCTTACTGGGGCACACTGAAGGGGTTTTTTCAGTCTCGTTCTCACCAGATGGTACTCGCATCGTTTCTGGTTCGGAGGATAAGACTGTGCGACTATGGGATGCAATGACAGGACAGCTATTGGGTAACCCCATGCAGGGGCACACTGGAGCAGTTTGGTCAGTCTCGTTCTCATCGGATGGTACTTGCATCGCATCTAGTTCTGGAGATAAGACTGTGCGGTTGTGGGATACAGCGACGGAGCAGCCATTGGGTGGGCTCTTAGGGGGCCACACTGGGAGGGTTGTTTCAGTCTCGTTCTCACCTGATAGGACTCTCATCGCGTCTGGTTCTTTCGATAACACTATACGACTGTGGGATGCAACGACAGGACAGCCGTTTGGTGAACCCTTGTATGGGCACACTGATTTCATTTACTCAGTCTCGTTCTCCCCGGATGGTACTCGCATCACATCTGGTTCAGGGGATGGGACTGTGCGGCTGTGGGATGCATGGACGGGACAGCCACTGGGTGAACCTTTAGAGGGGCACGATGGAAGGGTTTTTTCAGTCTTGTTCTCACCAGATGGTACTCGCATTGCATCTGGTTCTGGAGATGAGACTGTGTGGCTGTGGGATACAACAACGAGACAGCCATTGAGCGAGCCCTTGCTGGGGCACACTGGAACGGTTTGCTCAGTCTCGTTCTCCCCGGATGGTACTTGCATCACGTCTGGTTCATACGATAAGACTGTGCGGCTGTGGGATACAGCGACAGGACAGCCATTGGGTAAGCCATTGGAGGGGCACACTGGGAGAGTTGTTTCAGTCTCGTTCTCACCAGATGGTACTCGCATTGCATCTGGTTCGTACGATAAGACTGTAAGGCTGTGGGATGTAGCAATGGGACAGTCATTGGGTGGGCCCTTGCTGGGGCACGATGGTGTGGTTTGGTCGGTCTCGTTCTCACCAGATGGTAATTGCATCGTGTCTGGCTCGGCAGACAAGGCTTTGTGGCTGTGGGATATAGCAACGGGACGGCCATTGGGTAAGCCCTTGGAGGGGCACACTGATTGGGTTCGCTCGATTTCGTTCTCACCGGGTGGTACTTGCATTGCATCTGGTTCGGACGATAGGACTGTCCGTCTGTGGAGTGTAGTGAAAGTGCAGCCATCTCCTGAGTCCAGAGAGCCATATTCCTCTTCGCTGCATCAAAGCACTGCACCTCTCACACAAGAAAGCCCTGTCATACCAACCAACACTTCTAACAATCACCTCATTTGCTTCTCGTCCAACCTGGAACACGCTCTGCCCAACCCTGCTGACTTATGCGAACTCACCCCTCATCATAATTCTAATACAACCCCTTTCTTGCTGCAAATTGATGGATGGATGATGGGCCCCAATTGTCGGCTCCTTTTCTGGGTACCTCCCGCTTCCCAACATGCATTTTCATCAGGAAAACCCCAACTTACTTAAGCTTGCCTTAAACAGACTTAAGTCGTACTTAGTGACTTAGCCTACTTTGCTAGAAATTCAAATTTGACATATTCAGGAAAAAGTTGTTCAGTCATATTAGCATACATATTTTGTTACAGGTTACACTAAAAAAATACAAAATTTACTAGGTAGATGATGCATGAGAGAGGAAACAAATGTGGCTAAGTTGATTAAGCAAGATTAAGTAAGTTGGGGTTTTCCTGATGTTATACCCCTTGGACTTCATTGGTGATCCCAAGAGGAGGCGTCGAGCTTGATTTGAGCTGCATGGCACATGGGGCAAACTGGTTGAGTTGCCAAGATGCATGAGTTCTTAGTCTTCACCATCTGTCCTCGCAGGTGCTAATATTAATTCTTCTAGCTCCACATGACAGTAATTTTATTGCTGCAATATCGAGTGTACCATTTGATTGTCTGATTTCTTGTCAATTTTATACCTAACATCTAGCCTGAATTTACGGTTGTCCAGTTGTAGTCACTGAATCAAATACACATCAAACAACAGACTGCGGCTGTGATGAGAGCTTCGAGTTTGAAATTAATCATCTCGGCACTGACAGTGATGATGAAAACAGGAACATCGAAGCGCCTGTGACACCTACTCAAGCATCTGCATCATGCCCTTACGAATCAGCAACAATATTTCAGTCTACTTTCTAGCACATCATTCAGTGTGCGTTAAGTTTGATTCGTGGCAGCTGGCCTTGTGTTTGTCTGGACAAGTATACAAGACCCCTCTTGCTAAGGATGTACTCATCCCTGGACCTTTCATTGCATTTTGGAGTCGGGTACTTATTAATAAAGTGACACAGCATGCTTATAATACAACTGATAAGTATTCTGCAGGAGGGGGATTCAATCATCGACGTCCCACTTCGGAATTGGCAATCTAGGAGGCAGTTTCCTCCATCCAGTGACTGCCTCGGCAACGGATGGAACATCCTTTACGATCACCGACTGCCCAGGTTTGTAGTCGCATGAAACACCCGAGCTACTGGGGATAGACTCTTGTGAGTCAGCTGCACAAGCTCGGATTTCTACCTCGATAATAGCGTCTGATTGTGAACGCTGAGCAGCGCGCCGCTTGTCTGATCGCAGGGAGTTCTTCGGAGTATCGATAAGAAAGGATGAGGATGAAGGAGGAGCTGGTGAAGACTCCGATGAGAGAAAGATTCTCCCAGCCGGACTCTGTCAAAAACCGTCAGTAAGAGTACAACTTACCATGCAAAAGCGATGTGCACCTTTGGACTATACTGGACGCTCGACCGATTCTTGGAAAATGACGGGCGCTTGACCTTCAAACGCAAGCGGTTAAGGCGACTGATCTTGTCTGTAGCTGGGCCAGGTATTTGATCTTCGGTAAGTGATGTATCACTGAACGTAGCGAGTGTATGGTCGTCTTTTGAGTCGGTGGCATTATCGGTGGCATCCGACTCGACGCAAGCGTCTCCAAAGGATGAGAAGTCAGGAGGAAGGTGCAAGCTCACGTGCGGGGGTGCGATAGATTTAGGCTAGATAACTTGTTGGTGAAGATGACAGAGGAACAGAGAGGAATGCTCACCATTGATTTCTTTTAATAGGACTAATGAACCTAACGAGGTTCTGCACATTTATACTGCCCATGTCATCCATACACAGCCAGTGGACGTGCAGGTACCTGACAAGCCACGAAATCCACAAAACACAATAGTTGTTCCCTCAGTAAATCCAGCAGCCATCGCCGTCAAAGGCAAAGCAACACAAAGCGGGTTAGAGACGAGGTAAACAAGCCTAAACAATGAGTTGACATCATACCGTGACTTAGGCCGCCCTACAGGCCTCACAACTTGAAGCAAGTTGGATAGTTGATTTGGCATCACGAAGGTTGTTCTTGTGATGCCAAGTTGACTGTCCAACCTTGTTCACTTTTTTTATCGAAGCCGTTGCCGATTTGGGGCCGCTGTAGGATTTATTGTCTGGCCATGAACTGTTGGTTTAACGGCAAGCAGTCATTTATATTGCTCTAATCCTCACTGCCGGTTTGAGCGCCCTCTTTATATTCTATCATGACCAAATCGTACATGCAATTCAACCAGCAGCTAACTGGATGCACAAGTATGTTAATTCCAGTCCCGTCATACCACAGCACTCACTTTTCTTTCAGCTTCAAGTTTGGATGGATAATCCCTATAGCCATTTTCTTTGTGATATCGTTCCCTCCGGTATGCACATCGACCCTTCATCTCTTCTCACACTAACGTACTTCCCATCAGCTCTTCGGCCACGAGATACTGGCTATTGTGTGTGGTCTCGTATGGGGCGTATGGATTGGTTTTGCCATAGTAGCAGCTGGCACTTTCATCGGTGAAATAGGAAACTTTTAGTACGTCTTACTTTCTATGACGTTTTGGTCATTCCTTACTGTTTCCTTCAGTGCCTTCAAACACCTTTGTTCAACTCGCGGTCACAAGATAGAGAAAAGCAGTATCATCTACTCCTCTTTGGGAAGAGTCGTCCGCGAGGGTGGTTTCAAAATTGCATTGATCGCCCGTTACAGCGCCATCCCCCCTCACTGTTTGTTTCTTCCATTCTCTCATACAATCTTTGCCTTACGTGCGTCTAGTCACCACTGCATTAAAGTTAGTGACCTAGGGTTGAACACGGGTGAACCCGCGGGTCGCTGAGGCCACACCGCACCCGTACCCGCAAACACCGCACCCGCCACGGTGCGGGTGTACACCGACCCGCCAGTTCTGCGGGTATGCACGGTATACCGCGGTTTTTTCACAGACCCGCGGGTCATATAGTATTTTGAGGTATACATGGCAAGTAACTTAAGTCCTCTTCGTCTTCAGACTTTGTTGCTGGGTCCGTGTCGATGGCATCAACATTGATTACCGAAGGTTCGGGGGATGATGGTGGCAGTGATGGGCGTGTCTTTTCCGAGACTCGGAGCAAGACAGTTTTCACTCTCTTCAAAGGACGGGTAAGCACATCCACGCTCTTCTTAGCTGCCTGGCTGACAGACTTCAGAGACGATGCTATCGAAGACGATTTTGACGAGTATGATTGGATGGAAGACTCATCAGCCTCTTTTGAGTGGCGCATGAGAGGAAGGTGAATAGTATTCTGCATTTCTTCACAACCTATTGGCATTTTAACTCGTACAGAACTGGGTATCACAAATTATTGCTTCTGTCCGAGCGCATGGAATATCATTTTACTGGCAAATCAGCATAGCTGGTGCCATCGATTATCATTCTGACTCGACATTGCTACTTGGGAAATCAGCATAGCTGGTGCCGTCGATCATCACTCTGATTCGACATTGCTACTTAATGAACCTGCGGTCGAAGTTCACATGGTGACAGCTCAGGAGGTTATTTATGAGTAATCAAATTTTGACCCTCGCACCCTCGGACTGACAAGTTGGGGATCCACACCCGTCCAACACCGTAAACCGCGACGGGTATGCACGGTGTACGTGCGGGTCTCCATAATCCACACCGTACCCGTACCCGTGCTCTATCGTTAAGTTACATCCGGGATCTCTATCCTCCAAAAATAAAATACGTATAGCTACAATATTTCTAGGGTTCTAATATCCGTCACATTGTGAACAGAGTCTTTGACTTGTGCAATGATATCACGATCTGACGCAATCCTCTTATATTCTCCACCGCGCTGCTGTGCGAGCAAAAATGCACCGAATGGCTGCCCAAGGCGAACGATCAATCGCAATGCTTGTGAGTGACGCTCCGAATCAATCCGTTCCTGTTTAGCAGAACGACGCGAGTGATCTAACGGAGTCCCGGGATCGGACATATCTTCCGCGTCGTTATCGAAGGCAGGCTGCTCTGCAAAGTCAGGCAGCTCAAGAAGACGACGATCCCATGGACGGACAAGCAAGAATGTTTGTCGAGTGGGCCTTGTCCAAGAGAATTGGACCAGCGCCTCTTGGGTGGTGATCAACAAGTCACAAAGCCCATCCGCCTTTACTCCGTACGTAAAAGGAGTTTCCTGGGCTAGATCCTGCCTCCGTCTGACTTCTATGACACGGTGCACTATGCAAGGCAGGTGCAGTCTGCGGTTCGCGAAACGAGCAGCGCTCATATTGTCAAGCCAGTCATAAAAGCTTAAAGCCAATTCCACAGTCACAGGATGACGCAGGGAGGAGATGGCCATCTGAATCTGGTCTTCAGATAAAGACGGGAGAGCACATGGAGGGGCTGCATATGATGAAATGTTGGCTGGAAGACAACTGTTGAACGTGGATGGTTGTCCGACCCAGTCGAGGGCTGTAATGTCGCCCGATCGAGCCACTATCTCCTGCAGGAGCCGCCCGAGCGCATTTTCCTTATTCTCCCCATAAAGGATGGGTAGCTGGATGCCGAATATACCAAACAGTGAGTATGCAGTGTCTTCTGCCACAGTAGTGATACGCGTAGATGCCCATTTGAGTTTCTCTCGGGCATCTCTCATCCCCGGTTGGAAGGCAATGAGGGCGCGTGCATCTACGCCCGTCGCATCCTCCAACTCGTGCATGATCTCGACAGACTCCTTGTGGTTGTGGGAGTCGTTGTCGAGATATAGAGTCCAATCCTGTCGGTAGAACAGAATGACTCTGGGAGCCAGGAATTCCGGGACAGTCCATCCTCGAGTGTTCCAAGCACTCTTTGCCAGTGCGCCAGACTTGGACGAAGGGGGAACATCAGAGAGGTAGACGATCGTGAGCGCTGCATGATAATACCAGGCGAACATGGAGTTGAGCGATTTTTGGAGCTCGACATTGTTGTTCTGGTCGATGCAACACGAATCAACCCACGCCCAGTGAAACCCTGCCTCGCGAGCTTTCTTGCAGAATAACTGCAACTTCCTAAGACCACCGGTCGCCTGCAACTGGTAAACGGCCTTGTCCTTGATGTCTTGTAGTAGCGGCTCCTTTCCTTCCCATCTATGTGATAACATGGCGCAACCGAAGTATTTGGACACTGCATCTACGATGATCTCCCTTGGGAGGTCCGCATGCTTCATAATCGATAAGAAAAGTTGCTTGTACTCTGTGGTCGTTTTGAAAGCGCTTATCTGCGTTTCTCGATCACATAGAAGCCCGGTAGTGGTGTCAAGTAGACGAAGCGGCGCAGTGTCAAGCTGATCATTTATGACCTTCTGAATCATACTATCTGCTTTAGAGGGACTGACATACTGCTCGCGCAGCTCTGAGGAAAGAGTTGAGTATCTAGACAGTGTGTTACTTACTAGGGCTTACTTCGTATCTGCATATCGTGAGCATTGTCCAATGTGGCAAGCATTATTGTGAGGGCCTCGATAGCTTCATCATAGCGTTGTGCGCCATGAAGCGCAGTATGTTTCAACCGGTATCCAACGTGCGACAAAGGGTTCAAATCAATTACCTATGTATGGTCAAAGTGAGCGTTGGCCAGGAAACTGCTTGAACAGATGTCATCATACCTTTTGTGCGTCAAGAAGCACTTCCTCCCACAGCGATTTTTCCAAGTTTGCCATACTACGGTTTGCAGAGACTTGAGCCTTGCAATTCAATTCAATGATATGCGATATGAGATGGCGAAGGGGTAGAAAATTAACATTAAAATACCTTTGATTCAGGCCAAGCATCCTTTGGTACTGCCCACGCTGAGACCATCTTGTCGGAAGCTCCACTGAGAATGTGCTTGCCATCCACGGAGAAAGCGATGCATCCTACCCAGCTTGAGTACTCAAGCTGGAAGATGGCAATGACTCGTCGATCTGAGAGTCGCCAGAGACGAACACGCCCGCCATAGGATGCAGAAGCGACGAGTGTGCCCGAGGGATGGATGGCAATGGAGGAAATGCCTGATATGTGTCCCGTCCAAGGATCACCGACCTGCTTCCAAGTTACTGTATCCCACTCCCGTATGGTCGGATCATTTCCATCTCCTGCTGTGAGAAGGCGTGTACCATCAGGCGTCCACAGGAGTGAAAAGTTGCATGAAATCTGGCCCTTGAAGTGTGCTACGCGTTCCCTCGTATTTGACGTATAGATTTGGATGTCGATGTACGTTGCAATCGCAAGAAACTCGCCGGACGGCGAATACTGAACGCGGCGGACGCAATTTCTACACTCAATTGGGTTTCCTCGTAGCTGCCATGTCATCTTGCACCATAGCTTGGTCGTGGTGTCTTCTGAACCACTAGCCAGTACCGTTCCATCGGGAGAAAATTCCAACGTGTAGATCCGATTAGAGTGAGCTTGTGTGAATTGTGTAAGAAGTTCGCCAGTTTCCCCGTGCCAAATGATAAATGTTCCTTTCCGATCACCACTTGCTATTAATCGCCCATGTCGTGATACCGCCAATGTCGCCACCCTATCACGATGTCCCTCCATTTTCTTCAACATAGCGCCTGTTCCCAAGTCCCACAGACAAACCGTCTTGTCATATGAACCTGTGACCATACGTCGGCCATCCGGGAAAACTGCGACAGCGCGTATGGCTTCTGTATGATCTTTATACGTTCGAAGAGGTGTGGTGTTTGTGATGAGCTGAGACATTTTACCGGCGATTGATGGTGTTGAGTACAGAGTACTACGGCCGAGGCGGACTGGGATAGAGTACCGAACAATCTCCCCTAGTCAGACCTATCGAGGGACTGTGGGGTGTGCACAGGTGCGAGTACTGCATAGACGCCCAACTTATTTATCTTGAAGACTGAAAACAGAAAGATGCAGTGACGTCGTCTGAGTAGAAACGAGAGCCGGCAGCCGAATCCCAGTTATTGAACACATGATATAACTTACTTGAATATGTTTAAATTTCTCTTTGTTTGAATCTTCATTGCTACTTTTCAGCGACTCGTCTCATGTATGTATATAATTTGTCGGGCACGTACATCGGGCCGTTGCTTGAATTGGGCTTCTCACATTTTCGGAACAGTGAGCACACCGACTGCAATATTGTTTATGTCATGAAGTCTAACTATTCCTCAGCGAACAAATAAGAGACTCCAGCTTCACAACGTTAACGATTTAGATGTAGCTCCTCCACTATGGCAGCGCACCGCAGAATCTTAACAGCCAACACCCCCGACATCTCTTTGCGGGCTTCCCTCTCCCATCCCACCCAGGAGTATCCTCCACTCACTGAGACGGTCCGTTCTTCAAAGCAATACTCATAGACTGCGTCCCAGGGAACACTCCCGAAGAAGTCATTCCCAGGGTCATACGCCGTTTGAGCCTCTGTGCATACGTGGCAGCAGCTTACCCCGCTGCACAAACTAAAAAGTTGAAACGCGCTACGCTCCTTCTCATGGTCAGTCCCATCTTCAACTGTGATCTTCGCCTCTTTCACCAAGGCTCTTTAGCATCGCTGGTTCGCATTTTTAGTGCTGCCAAAGGCCGTTGCGAATCATGCAATGAAGCCCCTCTGAACTGAGACCTTTCATGAGGTTAGTGCATCTTGAGCTTATCAACCGGCAAAGAGGTAACGTTGCTAATATACTTACGCACGTGAGTATCAGCCTTCGGGGGCCAACGCGAACTTCTTCAGATTCGAGGACCTTTCCCGGCCATAGCTTCGTCATTTCAGCAAGGTCAAGTCATGCGGACTTCCGGAGTAAAGAGTCGGCCTGGCACTGGATGTTGTTGAACTCAACGGAGTGATCTGAATGTGCAAGGTCTGCGTCAAACAATGCTCATCTGCGAAAATCGATGAGTGTAACTAATTTTGAGTGTTACTATACGAAACAGGCTTTGAGCTTGTTCTTGACAATCACCTTGGTATACAGCAGACAGCAAATGTGCTCGTACATGCAACGCGAAGTCCAATCTTCGGGTCAGGGACTGAGGCTCCCACGCTAGGGCGTAGACCACAAACCCCCAGCCCAACCCTTGTTCTTAGCCTCTCACTCGCAAAATCATTCACTTTTCTTCCTATCAAGTCACCATGTCTTCTCACGAAACCAAGGAGATCCAATACATTGCAGCCGCTGTTCGCGTACTCAGAGAATCGGCACCTGATCCCACAGCTAACCTCGCCGATGTCGAAAAGTGGGGAATGATGACCGTCGAACTCCTGGTAAGCTCTGTTGTACCTCGCTTGCTTGGGTATTCATTGTCTGACTGCTCACTTTTTCCAAGGATCGCCTTCGTGCAAGGCGGCAGCACCTCTTGCCGTTGACAATCGTACAGTCTCTCATCAGCCTCTTCCATGATCGAGTCGATAATAGACAAATTATCGAATGGCTTCGGTGGGGTGAGTCTTGGATGCCGAGAACACTGATCGCTAGGGTAGCTCCTCCATCGCCTTCCATCGAAGACGAGGAAGATGAGGACGAAGTTCTTCCTGCCCCAAAACAGTCGCTGTTGGAATTTGCAAATTTGCCGCATGCGACAAGTACAGGCAAAAGACGAGCTGCGACACTGGCCATCAACAGAACGAACGATCACCACATCTCCTCTACTTGCAATAGTATTGACAAACCACAGGAATCAAGCCAATATTGGGCAGGTGATGATGGAGAAGACGAGGTACTAGAGAGCGAGGAAGACGATCGTGATCGTGATGAGGATTACATTGAGGACGAGAAATACGATGAGGTTGTAGAAAACCTTCCTGATATTCATCTTGCGCCTTCGATCCTTGCTGTTGGAGACCCTCCTCGTCGTCTGACACGTTCGGCTGCGAAATTACAACTATTGCAAGCTACCACTCTCCCTGCTGCGGCTAGTAGAGAAAAGGTTCGTTCTGATCCATCTTTGTCTCTTGCAAGTGAATTTTTATGTTACCCTTTTGCTTCCAGTCTCATGTGCCATGTGAGCGCCCTACTAAACGTGCTCGAATGGATTCTCCATATAAGCGATCGGTCCGCAAAGGCCAGTCGATCCGTGCTCTCATGGAGAGGTACAGGCTTTGTGAACCTCGAAAAGTATGTTATTGACTTATAGCTCTGCGTTTGCTGACGAATATGCTACAATCCTATGCTTCCAGGTCCGCTTTAAGTGCAAACCATGTCGAGTAGCACAACGGACTAAGCCTTGCCTAACGGTGGTACGAGGTGCGACACTGCTGGATTGCTGTGCACGGTGTGTCATTGACCACAGCAAATGCAACTGGAGCCATGGGGAGCGCACAAAGAATCTTGGTAGGTCGTCATTGCAGTCATAGTTCATTCACCAATGTCACCCTTGTCTTACTCTGCAGTATATCGCATGAATCCTTGTTCGTTCTATGAGCCACCTGATACCAATGCCTCATCGCAGGGGCCTGCAACGACCTCTGATTCTGCTCCTCCTGCTTTCTCCCACTCTGGTTCTGGCTGTATCCCACCTACTAGTAGTCCACGTCGTCCTTTGCCTGGGCCTAAGTTAGCAAGGGCGAAGCAAGCCAACGATTTGCACCCTCCTGCACCTCCTTTCTCTCCACCGCATTTTGGGAAGAACCCTTCTCCTTTCCCTATCAGCCCGTCTCTTATCGCTACCACTGAAACACGGGTGAGTCCTCTCTTTCTTTCTCCACCACCTGCGACGCAAGTTGATATGATTATCAAGGAATCTAGTGAAGCTGGTAGTGCTGCTCAGTTCTTTGATGAAGGTGCGATTGTCAGAAATACCACGTCGAAGATGTAATTAACGTAGATGTATTATTGATAAAGTTGCCGAGATCCCACAGGCCCACTCCTATATGGATGCTGAGGCGCAAGTCCCTTCTCCACATCCTGAGGACGATGTCCTCTATCGTACTTATGCCAATCACGATTTTGCTTCCCTTGGCTTACCTCCCGAGCTCGCCAGTATCAACTTGCGAGCAATAGAGGATGCACTATCCCCTATGCTTACTCCGCCCGCCTTCTCTAAACGGATATTTCTCAACACATCTGGTGACCTCCCTGCGATTGCGACGTTACCACGCTTGCCTAGCACGATCGCTGTTAGGCTCAGTGAAGTACAATTAATGGATCGATCCCGCCAATATTTCAACCGCTTACTTATTAACTGGGCAAATCTGAGCACAGTGGCTACGGATCTACGCACCACTGCGCACAACTTCGAAGCTGTTCGCAGGCGCTGGTACGAGTTGCAGGTTGCCAAAGTTCAGAATCGGAGGTCTGGGGAGGGTGTTACGAAGCCAGGGGTTGAAGAAAGGAGCACCCATGTTCGCAATCACTCATAGACTATGTTCCATTGAACTATGATTTTATGTTCTGCGTAAGTTTAAGGCACGAAAATGTATGTAAAAGACAGTATCTATGGTGTCTAAATCTTTTCATGACTCCGAGTCATATTTCTTCCTTCCTATCACATTTTGCAAGGGCAATTCTACTCGACTGCACTCTTGTTTCGTCGTACCTGCTCTGAGTCATTGCCCTTATTCACGAAACTTGAAAGTCATACATCCATTAAGATAAGAGCTGCCTAGAAGGTGGTCATTATTTCAGTGATAAGCTGATTGCTTACAACACACCTACATCATCACAAATCACATGATCGTCCCTTTATATCCTCACGTTGAACATCACCAGACCCTAGGCTCGGGACCAGCCTGGCTTATATAACCACGGACAAGTCGAGTGGCGTAGCCAGGCTGGTCGATCTCGGAGAGATTTGGCAGGCGAAGCACGGAGTTTCAATTTAGCAGGTGCCGGTCGTGCCGGTCGAAGTAATAGTGCTACATAGTTACTGTTGACTATCAATCACTCAGAAACTTTCGTTCGCGCACTGCATAGAGTACCACATCTTTCTCGCTTTTGCGCTGCATCACTGAAATTTCAATGGGATACTTCAAATGATACCATTTGCTCCATATTATACTCCCCCACTGCAGTATGCCCTAACTCCAGAGTGTCATGATTGATTGCGATCGAACGAACCCCATACTCCTCGAATTCCTTGACCTGGAATCCAGAAGCGCAAATTTCACGCGATGAGAGTGATATTCAAATATTCAGCGTACATGATCTTTTTGAAGCAATTTTAAAGGTGTAACTGTGATAGCCATAGGCTTGTCGGGGGAGAGAAGCAAAGGTGTCTTTCTGGAGCCCGTTGCAGCTCGAAGAACCACATGTCTTCCTGCAAGCAAAGATACGAGAGCCTTGAGTTGAAATAACTTTGGAATTTTGGTGTCTTTCGAGACAAAATCAAGGTGCGCGAAAGCTTCGAGTAGTACTTGCTGGATCTGTATCGCTGAAAGTGTGTTTGTAAAGTCCGTTGGAAGGTTTTCGAGAGCATTCAAAGCTGATATGGACATAGACAATACAGAACCAATGTTGAAACTCATGGTCATAACATAGAGATGTAGCAAAACAGTATATAGTGTCTGTCACAATGTCTAGATGTACGACGACACCCGGCACACCCGGCACCTGCTAAAATTCGAACTCCGTGCTTCGCCTGCCAAATTTCTCCGAGATCGACCAGTCTGACTACGTCAAAAATTCCCCACTCTCATGTGACGTACGTCAGACTGGTCACGAGTCTAACCAGACCCAGGGATCATGACATTAGATTACTCACATTCCATACTAGTTGGAGACGCCACGAAAGCGTCGAATTCAGGCCTCTTCTCTTCCTTGATCAGCTCTTTGAGGTCACCAACTGTCACATCCATGCGTGGAAAATCGACCAAGAATCTTCCTTGTCAATATCCCATGCATGGATGTGAGTCAGAAGATACAATTGGGGTCATCACCTAAGACCAAACAGTTGAGCAGCTCAACTCTGTAATTCTAGGTAATGGTCCAACCTGGCTTGGCCCAATTTGCAAAAGCCATGGCTTTGGCCTGCAAAAAAACCAGGCCGGGCCAAAGCCGCCAGTGACAGCTGGCTTTGGCCCGGCCCTGGCCCGAGCCACAGCTCGAATAGTGAAAATGTAGTAAGCCGCTGACAACACTACACGGTTCGATGTTCTCGCGCTCTGCCCCCACCTGACATCCCTGAACATCAGTCAATGTTCGAATATCAACGGAGACGGACTTCACAGACATGCAAATGCCGTACTAGGGCGTCATGGCCAGCTCACGCTGAGTAACGAGGAGATCACTGACGCTGTCCTGAGCGCACTGACCAACCAGCATTCAACCACATGACTCACCTGCACGCAGCGCGCCTGTCAAAACGGGGTCTTGCTACCTTGTACATGTCAGTAAGAAAGCAGAAAACGGACAAACTACAGCTTACGCTCATTCAATGCTTCGTGGGGGGTCTGGGCAGACCCAGTAGCAGGTGTTGAACCTTTGGCTTAGCAGGGCCGTTTGTGTCTTTCTTATATTCCATGTACTGCGCAGAAGGAGAAGGGACGACATAATCGGTCTTAGAAGCGGACGGCGGATGGGTCAGAAACTTCTAGGTGCGTTTCAACTCCAATATCGATCGAACATCGGTCCATCGAAATTGTCTTTGGGTGATCTGCACGCCGTCTCGGTAAGAACCTGGGATTCTCACGTTCCCTGTGCTTTCAACCCCAGATGAGAGACGACGACAACGTCAGGCTTTGAGTTCGCTAGAATAGTTTAGACTCGGAGTCTCAGCGAAGCTTTGGAACAACGCTGATATTGTGATGTACCTAGAACAGTTTAGAGTCTAGGCACGAGTCAGTGTAAGCTGTTGCTATGAGCTACAAGACGACATACCTCAGCGAAGCTTTGGAACAACGCGGCTGAGGTGAAAATGAACGCAAGACGGGGTATATGTACTGTGTGTTACATAACCATCAGCAGCCACTGATGAGAGTCGCAATACTGTATAGTACCTATGTATATGGTGAAGAAGGTGCCAAGAAGAGAAACAGAGTAAACGCGAACACTTTGCATCATTGGTCCATTACAAGCTTGAAGACAGTGGGAAGTCTGCGCCCGATTGAAAATATTTGTAAGACAGTTTGAAGACAGTACTTTGTACAGTGATGGTGAGATACGCCACCCGTAGGTTTTCACTGGGGGTCAGGCCTAGGGTTTGGAACGGTTTCATTGCCTCTGCAAACCTACCGAGCTGCGGCTCAGGCCGCCGGCTTTGGCTTTCCAGAATTCCAAGCCGGGCCGTGCACATCACGAGTCCGCATGGCCTGATCAAAGAAAACACACTGGCAGTCTCTACCTGATATTTCATGGACCGGGAATGAGCGCTTGAGCACCCGCGTGTGTGGAAACTCATTGGACAGATCAGCACGAAGGCAAATTACAAGGTCTTGTAACTTGTTTGGTAAGTACCTGATACACAAGATAGTATAGTATAAATGTCTTACTCAATCCTCCTCTTCATCCGCACCTACATATAAGCTACAAGCAATCATACTATACAACTGGTATCCTCGACCTGATGTGACAGACACCCATAAATGCTACACTCCAGCTGGCGAGCAGACGAATGTCCACCGGTTCACATCCTGACTTCTCAGTACCACAAGAAACCGGTGGGACGTCCTATAACGTCTTCACCGAGCTTCGCGATTTCTTGGAGTCCCTTGCCACCATCAATCCTCTCAAATACCTTCACCCCGCCACCTTCCACACCACCTACAATCAGATACTTATCTTCGTCACCTCCAAATGCCATTCCCCGGACATGAACTAGCCCCGTACGCACTTCGTTCACAAGCTCTGGCTGACCCTCTCCGGCGGCGAGAGAGAATATTGTAATAGTGTCACCCTCTGGATGAGGGTCGTTTCTGTTCGATGTGTAGATGAATGTTTCAGGGAAGGATGCGTTGGGTTCGGGTAGCAGAATTTCCGCTGCCGACATGGTATCCGGTACTGGTAATGCAGAAAGTGCGAACAGAGATGTAAGAGGAGTAGGGGGCGCCGGAAGCGGAGGGAAATTATGCACAGCAAGCTTCAAGGTGAGCTCCAGTAGCGTGTAAAGGGTATTTCCTGTTATAACAATCAACAAGGTTTCAAAAGTGAAGGTTAGTGACACACCTCGAGCTGCGACATGTCGTGGGCCACCCCCTGCTTCAAAGTCAATGTGACCGCGAATGGACCACTTGCCATCGTTTCGTTTGGTGAGTCTCCAGACCTTGTCTGTACCTAAATCCGGGACAAGGAGCTCTTTCTCCGTTTGGCTCAGTGGATTGAGGATGACTTGATGGGGGTGGGATGAAGATTGACGAGCTTTGTTCCGACCTACATGCTCAAACGGCATCGAAAGCGTCCATGGGTGTGGTGAGAGTATGTAAGGGGCAGATGTTGATATCGGAAGGGTCGCGATTGTGCCCGAGGAGTACTAGATGCAGACGCGGATGCAAGAAAGGGAACATTAGAATAGGTAGAGCCGACGTTTGGGGGACTTACATTTCCGATGATAAGCTCGTCCTCTGCGACAAGAAGGTGGCAAGGGTCTGCACCACCACTCTTGGCCCTGGCCACCACTTCTCCTTCGACAGTTCCATCCCTGCCATACTTGATCGCGGCAACCTCCCCATCTGCCTGTTCGAGCCCTGTATATATGAGGGATTTATCGGACGGATGAAATGTGATCCATGACGGATGGTGGCCGACGACTGTTCGAGCCAGAAGATTAAGAGTCGGAGATCCTGTCGACGGTACTGGATCAAAGGACAACGTGTAGATGGAGTCGGTGTATGAACCAACAAAGATCGTGAGCGGTGCCATGATTGTCTTGTTTACAGGTAGTAGATCGTTGATAAAGAGGACTATAATAAACTGTGGGATTTCATGCACATGCTGTACCAACGTGACATACTACGGTATTTTGTCGCTGGAACGGGACAATGTTCGGAGGCCGACATTGATTGTCCGCGCGCTCAGAGGTGGTGGTAGTGTTGTCACCGACGGCCCGGTTTTGTTTGATGAGATCATAGGCATTTGGGAGCACTCGGAACCTAGCCACATTTGAGCCCGCGGAAGCAATTCGCTCCACCGAAGCCCGTACGTACTTGACTTACGCACATTCGCATACTACCAGTACTACTGTCAAGAGTGCGATATCGACGAGACATTCGAGCGAGGAAAAGATGACGGCAAACATAGTGTACAGACACCTCTTATTGTAATTAACGATACCGTACAATACATCGTATATATGAACTTGCGTCATAGGTCACAAAAATATGAACTCGGAGTGTCCGGGGATAGAGATACTTACGATATTGCGTTTTTGAAGCAGGTTGGAGAACTCCGCTGTTGGGAGAGCAGCGGCACAGGATTTGATAATCGACAAAACAGAGGAAACGTCGAGATCAGGAGAGGAGACAATTGCATGGATGCGAGATAGAACTAGAGCTTGGCGGCGTTTTTGCTTGAATGGATATACTGATCGTTTACACCTAGTGGAATCTGTTGATACGGATGTATAGATCGCATCACACAAAGGAGGTGCGTCAGAGACGGCGGATGCACTGTTATCGAAGGCTACGGTAGCCATCGTGGAGGGCAAAAGGAGAGTATGAATTATTCGAGAAAATAGCCTAGGGCCTGTTTAACAAGCGCATAGTATGAATTTGGTATGAATCTCTAGATTGTTAGTACGTTTGCAAGTTCCTCTACCATTCTGAACCATTATGTAATGATCCCTCATGCGAAATTATCGGCGGGCAAGGAGAACGGCGGGAAGAGTTGAGGCCTCAGGCGGAGCACGAACATGCAGTATTCCAGTGAAATGTTAGGCGGCGGCGGCTGGCGCATTGGCGGGACTGATTGGCATGGCCATTCGAAACATCGAGCAGATTTTAAACTCCGCTCGGAGGTGCCGAAGTCCCAGACTGACTAGATCTTTGAGCTTGTCTGAATTGTCTCCAGGCCGGTTTCCTGGAGTTGGCACGAGCGACTATAGTGGTGATGAAGACCTGTAGAAGCATGCTCGAATCGCGCTACTAGAGTCAACGATGAAAACATACCTTTGAATTAGCGTCATCAGGTACTGCCCACTCTGAGATTATCTTGTCTTCACCTCCACTGAGGATGTGCTTGCCGTCTATGGAGAAAGTAACACACATCGTCGGGGCTGAGTGCTGGAATCCGGCAATGGTTTGTCTATCTGAGAGCCCCCAGAGACGAACATCCTCGTCAAGAGATGCAGTGGCGACAAGTGTGCCAGCGGGATTAATGACGATGTCTTTAATACGGTGACTGTGGCCTGTCCAGTCATTACCGACCTGCTTCCAGGTCGATGTATCCCACTCCTGTATTGCTGGGTAACCAAGGTGATAGCACGTCAAGAGAAGGCGTGTGCCATCGGGTGTCCACGCGAGTCTCCCATATTTGTCATCCCCCATGTCTGCAATACATTCCTTCGTGTCCGAATTGTAAATTTTGAGATTGCTATTTGTCGTAATGGCGAGAAGTTTGCCGGATGGCGAATACCGAACGCAGTTGACCCAAGTACTGGATTCGATTGGATTTCCTTGCATCTGCCATGTTGCAGTGCTCCAAAACTTCGTCGTCCAGTCCATGGATCCACTTGCCAGCACTGTCCCTTCAGGAGAAAAGTCCAGCGAGAAGATCGTATAGGAGTCGACCATCATTACCAAGTTGGACGAGATACTCCCCAGTTTCTCCATGCCAGATGATGATCTCTCCCTTGTCACCACCGCTTGCTATCAATTGCCCATCTCATGATACCGCTAATGCCCGCACTTCATGGCGATTCCCCTCCATCTTCTTCAATATAACGCCCGTCTTCAAGTCCCACAAACGAAGCGTTCTGTCGTACGAGCCGGTAATCATTCGTTGTCCTTCAGGGGACATTACGACTGCGGTTATGGCGCTTTCATGATGATCTTCACTAAACTTTCGATTAGGAACGAGATCCGACATTTACGTGTCGAACGTCGAGGTGGACTTCGCGGATTGTGGGTGTCTTGATAAAAGCTGTGAGGCGCGGGTATCGCTTCACACTGCCTCAACTTGCCTCGTGTTCCAAAAGACGCCCAGGACAGTCACATGAGGCTGTGGCATAACTATTTTAACGCGGCATAGATACGTCTGGAGATTGACATAGTACCGAGGTGTTGGGGAGAGTTTGTCGTGGTATAACCGGTGCTTTGGCATGTTTGGGGCTTGCCGCTTGACATCATGATGATGGTAGCACACAGCCTGGCTGCATTGTACTTGACAAGCATTATGGTAGGTGCGAGGCTTTGACTATTAGATCGGCATGACACAAGACAATATGGAATACATGCTAGGCTCGCTAGCTACCGATTGATACGTTCCCGACGAGCAGTGCGAACCCGAAGCACAACTTGAAGCACTGTAAAATTTAAATGCAGTGAGAGAGGAATACGACTCACGAGGACCTGAACTCGCTATCTAGTGGTCTCACATCAATATAGCCGCACGCGCCACGATCAACATTTTTCTTCTGCCGCGGGCATAACTGCTTCAAAATAGTTCTGCCCAGGACTACAACCGTCTGCTGCTGCGAGTGCAATCTAGATTTCCTTTTTGGTCGTATACACTCAACCCTACTGCTCAGGCTGTAGCAACTGTTAACTATCCGCAATCGGAATCTCATCGGCTCGAGCCTTCCCGTTTTGTTGGTGCGGCGCATCAGTAGTTGGTTGGCTTTTCGGAGGTGAGGATGTAGGAGATGGAGGTTGCTTGGTGATGCCGTGAGTGAGTTGGCGAATATATGGCGTTCCTCGGGTGTGAGTATTGCGGATAGTCCAACAGGGGTAGGGACGGGTGGTTTCGTCTACACCGGGGCAAATGGGGCAGTGCGGTGTTCGCCTTTTCCGCTTATCCTGAAGGCTCCGCATTATTTATAGGATGTGAGTGCTCTCGTAGCCTGACCTTATCACACCCATTAGATGGCGTCCCATCCGACGTATGAAGCGCATGGACAACCCTATGTGGACGAAACCACGTCGATGACCGCCGAGAAGCAAGATTCGAAAGGTACTAGAGATGTTTTCGGTGAAGATGGTAGCCATCAGATCCAATACAAGACACTCAGCTGGCAGGTGCGTCTATGCGAGATTGCACACAGTAAAATATTGATCGAACGTAGGCTGTCAGCCTCCTCATGATAGCTGAAATCGTCAGCAATGGTATCCTGTCTCTCCCAAGCGCACTAGCAGTCGTTGGTGAGCTTACTGTCCTCTGAATTCCATGAGGAGCAGCGTTTTTACAAATCTTCAGGCATTGTGCCCGCTGTCATTCTAATCGTGTTTCTCGGTATTTTTGGCCTGTACACTGCCAAGTTGCTCATCGACTTCAAGCTGAATCATCCTAATGTGCATACTATGGGTAATAAATTCTGTCGTCGGTGATTTTCAAACACCTGAGATACTCTAGGCGACGCTGGATACATTATGTTCGGACCTGTGGCTCGGGAAGTGCTTGCCTTCGGAACTGTTTCTTTCGCTGTGTTTGGTTCGGTGCGTCCTTGAGTTAACTGGAATATGTTGCAATTGAATTATCACAAACAGGGCTCTGGACTACTTTCCAGCCAGCAGGCACTGTCAACGCTTTCGAATCAGGGCATGTGTAGTATGTATCTGGTTCTCATCACTGGCGCCGTTGCTTTCTTGATTTCACTACCGCGGACACTGGATCGGTTGGCATGGATGGGTCTTGTTAGCGCAGCAGTCATTGCCATAGCTGGTTTCATTGCAATGATTGGAGCAGGGGTGAACCCAGTTCCCGGACGGACTTTAACAGTAGCTGCCTCCAGTAACTTTTTCGATGCTTTCTTGGCTGTCACAAATCCTGTGGGTACCTTCTTATGTCTTCGAGTAACTTAGCATTGCTTATCTGCTCATTAGGTTTTTGCATATGCAGGTACGGAATTTTGTGATGTTAATCAACATTCCTAACTACTTTACTAGGACACTTCATGTATGACTCTGGGCATGGTATTCCTGCTGAAACTGACCTATGACAGGTTCTTTATTCTGATATCTGAGATGCGTAAACCCGAGGAGGCTATAAAGGTCAGAACGCTCCTGTACTCGATGTTGCGACTGAAGGCCATTTTCAGGCAGCATGGTGTCTACAGGGCTTCGCTACAATATTCTATGTTGTTTTCAGCGTAGTCATGTATGTCTACATTGGAAACACGGTCCAGTCCCCGGTCCTCTTTTCTCTTCCTCCGGTATGGGCAAAGGCAGCGTTTGCCATTGCTCTCCCAAATTTCCTGTTGTCAGTGATGCGTTGTTGTTTGGTCTAGCCCTCACTAATTCTTTTTTCGAAAGCTCTTCCGGGCTATACACTCATACAGCTACAAAGCTGGTGTTTGTTCGCATATTTCGCCATTCAGAGCACGTCCATTCGCATACCTTACTCGGGTGGACGGTTTGGACTCTGCTGTGTCTCGCAGGCTCAGCTCTTGCTGCAATTCTCGCCATCGCAGTTCCGATATTTTCCTACCTAATCGGCATCGCGGCAGCCCTCTTTGCCGCATGGTACACGTACGGTTTGGCCGGATTCTTCTGGTTGCATGACGCATATCATCTCGAGGGTGGCATGGACGGGCTCAAACGACGACCAATCGGGACTACACTGGCTGTGTTGACTATTCTTTCCGGCACTTTCATCTGTGTCGCTGGGACTTATGTGTCGATAAAGGTCAGTGTTCGTGTCTTCGCATCTGACACTCGTCTCACTGTCAATGATTGATGATAGCTCATCGTCGAAGCCTACGCCGATGGCCAAGTTGGGAGACCGTTCGTTTGCTAGGGGGGTTTTCATTGTGGTGTAATGTGTAGTTTGTGTTGAGTCTTTTAAATTTAATTTTAGAGCTTTTCCTAGGACAGTTAAATCATAGATGTGGGCCTGAGAATCTAGTCGGTGATGTGACCAAGATCGTCGATAGTCCATGGTACATACTCGATGCGTTCCAAATGCGCTGGTTGCCGAACTTGATCTGGGGCATTCATATCAGTGATTTAGCTGCGTAATGATAGGTGGCTATAGACACAGAGTTCAACTCAGATGGGAAGAAAGGAGAGCATTGGACTTTGCAGAACTGCAGCGCATCAACGAGGGATCGGTGCCTCGGAAACGTGAGTACGGGTATCTAAAGATTGGTAAGTAGGGGTGTGCTTGCCTTTTGAGTCGGTGGTATTGGACCTGACACAAACGTCTCCAAAGGACTAGTACTAGACATGCAGTGGATTTAAGCTAAACGTCTCGTCAACGGGGAGGAGAGCGAGCAAACGGAATACTCACCATTTATTTGCAGATACTGATAGCTTAACAGTTAGGAGCCCACATAAAGAAGTTCTGCGCATTTGTAATGTCGCTGGCCACGGAAAACCCAAAGACCCCTCAGCCAGCAATTCTAGTTGATCTGCTTGCGAATCTGCGAGTCGTGTGACAAGGAACGATCTGGCAACACTGGAAGGCGGTGCTCAGCGAGACAATACGCGACGCATCGTAGCATGTCGTATAAAATCGCAACGCCCATAAATCCCCTACAGGAATTAGCACGTTCGCGTCAACGTGAGGAACATGCCAAGAGACATGGATCATATACCCCTGGCAACAAGTTCTGCGCGCACATACTTGTTAATACGCGAGCGTTTCTGGAACACTCCGGATGAAAGATTTGTCGAATTCTCCGTGCCAGCCGATGAGATCTTTGCCGCATCACTGCTGTCAATCGTCCATCTCGTCAATCTCCAATTATGGCGGTGCCCTTCCGAATTCAAAGTTCCTGTTTTCAAAAACCCCATATATCTCTTCGCTTCGATCCTCCATTCATTGCAAAGGCCGCAGCCAAGACACTCTGTTTTAGTGAGTGCCTTCGCCGGTATTATCACTCCCTGCGCCTTTGAGCGTGGGTCCAACTTGCCTCTCCACGGTAGATTAGTGGAACTATCTCGGATTAATGATATGGTGATGACAATAGTCATATTGCTATCACGGACATCGTGATTGGCACAAGTGCGAGGAATCGTGGTTGGTAACTCGGCCGCGGGATATCGGAAAAATGTTGGTTCAATTTTGGCCTTTGCAATGATCAAGTTGGGCCAACCTTGACATGCTTGACATACGTAGCCACTCGCTGGCGAACCACTGCTACAAAGTAAATTGTGCAACACGGATCAATTCTATAACCATCTTACTTGTCCTGCATGACGTTGATGCTTGTTTGCCGACATATCATCGAAACCATTCTTACAATCACAGATTGGGTGCCCAGCGGGACGAGATTGAACTTGTTGCTCTTTATCGCCAGCAAACTATGAAAAACAAGGACGTGATGGATTTCTTTATTCCCGTGGGGCATATTCGAATCCAAAGATCAGGGGCAGGAGTGAGATTCCAGCTATGCATTTATGCCGCGAGCGCGCAAGTTGTCGTGCATGTGAACATCCTCGGAGCTAATCTAGTAGTGTCAAACAAGTGAGGGTGAGCTACTTTTTAGTAGTACTTACTTGACGGGCGAACAAAACTAGTCACTTCCGCTGTCACGGACGCTTGCCATCAACGTAAGGTCTGGCCCTGCAAATCAAAGTAATAATGAGAATCTACCGGCCATGAAATTACTCATCTATGAAACCGATGTTGAACCTGGGAAGAGTCTAAAATATTTAGGCCGCTATCTGGAAAGTGCACTCGGCTCCGCGACCTATGGTTTCATCTGCAAGGAGCTGGAGCGCAATGAAAAAGGATACGCGACTGGGTGACTTCCCGTACACGTTTCAAGCCTTATGTGCCGAGGAGCCGCTGTAAAACGTAAGCAACTTCCAACTCCGCACGTCAAACGCGCCCTGTTCCAGACAATGTTTCAATGTCCGCGACGGTATACCACTCACACAGTCTACTAGATCCGTGCTACATTCTGCACCATGCATAAGTAGAATTAGATCAGAAAGTTCATTTGACTCGTGTCTACGGTTTGAAACGAGTTTCTAGATAAAAATTCCGCCTTGCCGAACCTCCGAATTTTAAGGTTTAGAATAAAATCTAGAATTCTAAGTTAGTAAATCCTACGGAAAGTCGGCCAATATTACATAATCTGATACCTTTGTCTAGACTCTAGACATCCCGCATTAAGTCACTGCATGTAAGTTTGATGTACTGTTTCAGCCAAATCTGTAAGGCTGAGAGTAATGTACTAACCATGACTCTCAGGCATACCAACGCTACTCTTCCAACCGAATTCAGAAGCTTGTACCGGCTCTTTCTTCGAGCTAATTCCGCGGTAGTGCTGCACCACTCTCCGTCGAAAACACAATTCCGTCGGTTGTGGAGGCCTGTTTTCGACGAGGCTGCATTCAAAATCCACAGGCTTCAGCACCCCGACGTATGTTCATCTGAGCGGACGAATATTGTCCAGTGGCTATATACATGGCACAAACGGGGTGGGTTCATCTCATTCTTCGCGCCATCTCTAATTATGTCGAGTCCTGAATGGTGTGTCGAAATTCTCAGTGGATCATACGCTTTCACTACTCGCGACCGCGGCGGTATCACGAGGACTCGCCCATAAAATCACTCGCAATCTGAAATGGCTACGACGAAACCACGTTTTGTGGGTCGAAAAGTTGTATTATTCCCACAAGCCTTTTTGGAGACCGCAGCTCCCTCGGACGTCTGCGCAATACCAGCCTTATTCTCTTCCGGCACCCGGCACCAGACCCGATCATACACTCAGGAGAAATAGAAAATTGAGGTTGTTTGACGAGCAGTGTTCGAACGCGATTGGTGAGGTCGTAAAGATGGCTGAAGGAAGGCACGATATCATTCTGGGGAGACTTCGGCTTAAACGATGGCAGCACGAGTGGTCGTCATGACTGCAATCGTGATTGAGACCATATGATTGGCTCATCAAACGCAAGTCAACTACCTTCTTTTGTTGTACACCTGCTCACATGCTCAACTGACACTTGTTTACGCCCGGATACAATCTTAAAGTGATACTAGATCCATTCCTTATCACCGCAAGACAACAAATTCTGGCGCCTAGTATTATGCGGCTCCAGCAAACTCCCTTTAGCTTTGGGCTATTCTATTCACGGACTGCCGGCCCCACACTAGCTATTGTCTTGATTGTACACCCGTTTGTCACATCGTCACGTGTGATATAGGTTCTCGCCCCGGAGTCCCATAACGGGTACTCGCTATTGTCGACGTCTGGTATGCTTCAATACAATCGGCGATGTCATAAAAAGCTCCTGAAGAGTTGCAATTCATTACTCATGCCCGCGCGGCTGCGTTCCTAACACTGTATTTTCAGACACTGTACTTTTCGCATGGCATATCATTCCTCAGCTAGTTTTCGACCTGGAGTTGCTGGTCAATTCGATTCCTACCACCCTCATTTTATGTCGCAAATATCACCTCAGGACAAGTCGGGATCGCGATCGAAGCCGATGTATGAAGATGTGAAGAATATCCAATATTGGATCACAGGGGTTAATTCGGTCAGCGCTTGAATGAAATGAAGTTGCCATCTGACTTATCGCAAACCAAACTTGTTAGGACGAAAAACCTAATATTGACTCCAAAGTGCCCTCATCGCCCGACGGCATCTATGCGCATCCATTCAATTTCGTCGGCCATCAGGGTCCTTGTGATCTCCAGGATGATGAATACGGATCCTGCGATGGCCTTGATGGTCTGATGACTTTTGATATAAGTCCTTGGCTAGCCCACCATATGGAATCTCTTTCGGACAGCAGTGATAACACCGCTGCCAGCTCTACGGTTCCTGACAGCGAAGCCGCGGCACAATACATTAACATTGCTTGGGACAGTCCTTGGTATCGCTTACCTGGGACCGACAGTCCAATTTCTTCTTCGCCTCTCCCAGATTCCTACTCTTGCGCATGTTCGCAAGACGTTCGGCAAGCCATAGCGCAACAAGAGCTTTTGCTTGACTTTTTCCACGACGAATTGCGCCGGATCATTCCGGGTGCTTATGATTATAACACTGCTTGGTTAGAAGATGTTGACCCGGACCTGGTTCTTTCACCTGTCCGAAGTTATGAGGAGCTATGTTGGCAATCAGCGATCTCCGACCGCAAGTCTCGCCCCGATGTGCCTGTAGGGCTTGGGGATTAAACTTGTTGGTCATTTTTAAGAGATTTGCTGAGCGGGAACATGGATGTGGGGTTACTTTTTGGAGTCTGTTTCGTCGTCATTATACCACCTCGGAGTGTTAGAATGTTATATATGTACTACTATCCATTATTCGCGTTTACAATTCGCCTCCACGTCTCCTCCGAGCTCGTTTGTATATTACTACGGGCTGTACTTTCCTTTGACATACAAGAACGTCCCACACTCTTATCGCTGCTCGCTTCCTCAGCTCGCCTCAACTGTACAAATCGTTCGACTTGAAGATTGATCCAAATGCGTTCGCCATCATCGTACGAGAGTACCGTGACCAGCACAGCTGTGAAAGTTCTCCGTCAAATTTAAAGATGTTCGGTATAAACAGCGGACCGAGTTGTGTCACAATTTTTTATATCTTTTGCGATGATGCATGGAGGCGCTGTGTCTACTCTAGATCTGGAGGCAGTGGAGCATTGGGCATGCTTATCGACGAGATACAAACGTTCCTAATCTCACGCTGCATCGTTGCTTCAGATTACTTCCATCTGAGGATTCTTAGATCTCCGCTCAAGGCGATACAGGGAACGTACGTTAACTGTTAGCCATGTCGGTCAGGGCTACCATCCTATTCGGCAAGACCAAAATTATCTAAGACTACTATTACTGTTTTGGGTTTGAGCTACTTCGGCTGGATTTGTCGCCTCCGAATAAGTATCGTGTATATTACCCTCTTCATATAAAATGAGTCCAGCTTCGCATCAACCCAACTAAATCCCATCTTCAATACTCCGTAATTATGGCCACCGTCGACAAATACGATAACTTCCTCTCAACCCTCCAAGGGACCTCTTCAAGCTCTTGGACTGAAGCTCAGGAATCTGTGAGTGGCGCCTATGGTCTCGAGGTTGCATAACTTAACTTCGCCATCCTAGTCGCTGCTGGAACCATACAGCTACATCACTGCTAACCCGGGCAAAGAAATTCGGGGAAAGCTCATTGAAAGTTTCAACTACTGGCTTAATGTTCCAAAGGACAAGCTTGCGGTCATCAATCGTGTAGTTGGTCTCCTCCATAATGGCAGTCTCTTGTATGTCTTCACTTTGTCGCACTCCTTTTAGCGCCCACTTATTCCCTGTTTACAGGATCGATGATATCGAAGATGACTCTCAGCTCAGACGTGGGATCCCAGGTTGGTCTCGTCTCGCCGTTACCCCTGAAAGGCATTATTGAGGATAATCTTCCAGTCGCCCACAAAATATATGGTGTTCCTCAGACTATTAATACTGCCAATTACGTCTACTTCTTAGCCTACCAGGAGCTAGCTGCTTTGAGGCCGGCTGTTCGGCGTCGTGCTCCCATCTCGAGCTCGAGTTCAGATAGTGGGATCGGCGACGACTCTCCAGCCGACAAGACTGATTTCCCCGACCGCCTCATTCCCAACTATGACTTGGACCTTGTGGTGACTGGTTAGTTATGTGTCATCATCGTTGCAAGCAATTCTAACGTTACATTACGTATAGGTGAGCTCATGTCCCTTCACCGTGGTCAGGGCATGGACATCCTTTGGCGCGACACTCTGCGCTGTCCCACAGAAGAAGAATATGTGGACATGGTTAGAGCTAGTAGGTTGTCATCTTTGTGTCAGGTTCCTTTTCTGAACAACTTTGCCAGAAACGGGTGGTCTCCTCAGGATTGCCGTTAAACTTATGATGGCATGTGCTACGACGAACACAAACGTGTAAGTCTTACGTGGAGCCCATTGATGTTCCTAAACTGACTGAAATTCTAATTAGTGACTACATCCCTTTGACGGACCTCATCGGGGTTCATTTCCAAATACGTGATGATTACATGAACCTTCAGAGCAGTCAGGTTAGCCTTTTAATCTGAGACACGATGGCACAATCTGAATCCGCTCTATAGTACACGGATAACAAGGGTTTCGCGGAAGATTTGTCGGAAGGAAAATTCTCCTTCCCCATTGTTCACGGCATTCTGGAACAGCCTGATAACCGACAAATCATGAGTGAGTTCTTCAGCTCCTTCTCATGAATCCATCTGATTAAATTTCATTGTTAGATGTCCTGCAAAAGCGCCCCAAGACCCCTACCCTCAAGCATCACACCATCAATTACCTCAGGGACACTACCAAGTCGTTTGACTACACTCTGGCTGTGCTCAAAAAGTTGGAAGTCCAGGGTAGATCAGAAGTTCAGAGACTGGGTGGAAACCCGATGTTGTCTGCGATTTTGAACAAGCTTTCTGTCGATGTATGAAGTACAATGTCAATGATGTAATATTAAGCTCTTAGTAGAAGTCTCACTTAGAACGCATGCATTGTATTATTTTAGAGGCATTGGTTGAATCACTCTATTCTCGGATAACTCCTCGAGAACGTTAAGATCAGAAGGTGGCATGTGAAACAAAACTCTACTACTCGACTTCCATTTCTGATGCGCCGGAGGCTTCGGTCTCATCATCCTCACCAAAGAAATCATCTTTGGTGGCGTGATGTGATGCCAGGCTAGTTTGATCGTCCCTTCTACGAGATCCTTCTCCGTCTCGGGAATGACCCGGAGTATACGTAACTGGTCGCCTGCCACCTTCGAGTTCATTCTCAGGTTGTCTGCTAATTTCGCCATGCTGCATTTGGTCTCGAATGAGAGCACGGACCGTGATGCGTTGGTCATTGTCGTCAGAAGTTGTCGAGACGGTATCAATTTGCCGTCTTTCTGGAGGAAAAAGTGATATGTACTTTTTGGTTTTCGGGTAGTGCTGTAGCATCATCGTTTGACAAAATTATTCCGTGAGATTCGAGACCCGTACCAGAGTATAGTTCAGGTCCACTCTCAGACCTTCGAGTTCGCCTTCTAACTTTTCTCTCTCCTCTCCCTGTGCCGGAGTAAGATCGCGTTTGACTTGCTTGATCCTACGGACCAATTTCTGGCGCTCTTCGCTGATACTATAGCTGCTGACAGAGTAGCATATCATTTTGGACTCACCGAAGAATTTGACTTTGTGATATTTCATAGCATACGTTCGCTCCTTCCTTGCTATTTCAGCACGAGCAAGGTCGCCCTCAAGCGCTTTCAGCCTTCGCTCAGTCTCCACGCGAACATCAGCTGCAAGGTTTTCTTTTGCCAAAAGTCGTCGCGTTTGGCGGAGTGAAGATTTGATTTTTTGAACACCGGGCAGGGACTCTTCTGTATTTTGAGGATGGTGACGCTTTTGCTTGGTCCGTTTGGGACCTGAGCGAGGTGAAGAACTGGCCGTGGGCTTGCTGTCATTCCGAGCAGCTTGGGGCGCCATCGCGGTGGAGAGGTCAGAGGTGGTCAGACTCCGAAGAACGAGTTTAGGGTTAGGGTTTTCTTCGTTCCTGAATGAAGTTCTAAACATCCGAATCATCTCTCAAACTGATCATCCACGATGCGAAATCTAGTGCCATCTGCCATCAAAGTTTCGACTTTAGAACCGGCCTACAATGAGCAAACCACCGACTCTGCCTCTAGTAACGGTCCCCAGGAATCTATCGTCGCCGCTGCGTTTGACGTTGACAGAGGATTAATTTTTGCTGCATCGGAGGACGCACAGTTCGGAGTACGCATATGGAGGACTTCAGTTGATCCTTGCGAATGGGATGCGCCTGTTTTATGTGGCTCTTTCAGCTCCATCGATCCGAAAGTCCTGTCTCTCCGAGTTATAGGCGAATCTGCACAGCTCGTCTTGGTGACAAGGAGTGGGGATACAGTTACCTGGCAATTGGATGAATCTGGGGAGCTCATTGTGAGGCGCATATACACGATTTCCTTAAGCTGTGTTGATCGATGCAGAGCGGTCCAGATATTGTAGGAAGTGTCGATTCAGGTATATTGTCTGTTGAATGGAGTCCTGATGATACACTTCTTGTGATGATTACTGGTGCGCTTCCTAGTTCCAGAGGTTGCCTGAATTTATTGTTGCTGATGCTATGTTCAGGGGACGAAAATCTCATTCTCATGACCTCTACATTCGATGTCCTATCCGAAGCACCCTTGCATACTGAAGATTTTGGCGAAGGTACGTTGTTCCTTGTGGCTTGTTATGTTTCCGATTATGTATCCATTTTCAGATGCTCCAATAAACGTTGGGTGGGGTGCAAAGGAAACGCAATTCCATGGCTCTATAGGAAGAGCACATCTCAAAGCCTCGCCACAGACTCCGATTCAAATACAAGAAGATCCTAGCGATGATGGTCTCCCTCGGGTCAGTTGGCGCGGCGACGGAGCTTATTTTGTGGTGTCTTCTCTTGTTATGCAAACCCCTCAGTCAAGCAAAGGACGAGTTTTACGAGTTTATTCAAACGAAGCCCGACTTCAATCTACCGCAGAGATGATTGCCGGTCTGGAACCAAGCCTATCCTGGAGACCAAGTGGCAATCTAATTGCATCTACACAACAAGAAATTCGCGCAGGACCATTGGACACGCAGCGGACCGGAAAATATGGCGTCGTCTTCTTTGAGCGTAACGGTTTACCACATGGGGGGTTTAATTTGCGAGACGACCGGAACTCCCGTATCAAACATCTCGCATGGTCGTCGGACTCGAACGTGCTTGCTGTTCTTATTGAACGGGTACATGGTGATGTCGTGCAATTATGGACCACCGGTAACTATCACTGGTGAAAATAAGTTCCCCTTCATAAAACGTTTTCTTACGGTAGTATCCACAGGTATCTCAAACAAGAGATATCGGCACCATTATCAACCCACTTTACGTCTATCAATTGGCATCCTGAAGTGGGCACGCGACTTCTTTTGACATCACCGCGTATGCACTTTTTACATATTTTCGTATCGTGCCATACTGAAAAAATCGGCAGTTCAAATCATACAGCAAGATTACACATGGGAGACATGCGCTGGAGCCAAAGATACTGGCTGTGTCGGGGTCATTGATGGTCGTAAGTTTTCATATACGTTCCTTGTCCCTTCATTTATTGAGAGGTCCACAGAGAAAATTTTACTTACACCGTTCCGCACGCAAAATGTACCTCCGCCCATGTCATCACATCAGTTGCTAGCGAATACGCCAACTGACGTATCATCCGGTAGCCTGTTCCTGTCCCAGGTACCACCTCATATATCGCTCTCGCAATCACATGACCTTCTCGCTGCAGTATGGCAAGAAGGGCACGTAATGATTTGGGCATTGCGCACGCGAATCACGCCGGGCGGTGGAGCAGTTATGAACCCAAATCTTATCTGGTCAGCCAATCTGCCGCGAGAGCTCTGCTACTGTCGTCAAGTTCTTGTCTCCTCCGAGAATGATGATGGTGAACATAGGACTATCTCGGCTGCGATGCTCGGCTCTGACAGCAGTGGGAATGACCGAATCGTGATTCATGACTTTGAGCACGTTGTTTCATCGTTGGAGTCAATTTCGGCGACAAGATCAAGGACAATATCGCTACAGCAGAAAAATGGCCGTCTTATCCCCCATGAAGTTCCTGGAAATCTTGCTTGGCAGGCCCCTGATGGCTCCATCTTCCAAGGTGTGCAATGCCCCTGCCCTAAGATATGAATAGGCTTGGTGGCTGATTACGGCCTTGTAGTCCACAGGGAAGAAGAATCTTATTCGCAAATTTGCTCTTTTACAGAACACTGTCTCTCCTCCCAACGCGTTGACGCCCAACTTTTCGTGGGTTTGTCTGCAGGGGGCAAGATCTATGCTGCAATTTCGAATGCAGAATCGGCACTACTGGCCAGCAATGTGAACTCATTTACTATTGCTTCCGGATTCGTGATTTTCACTACTACCTCACATGACGTGCAATTCGCGCCTCTAGAGAGTGTGGTTGCAATCCTCACTTCAAGTCAAAGAAATGGTATGCTCTCGCCCACTGGCGACGAAAATAAAACGAGCGAGCTCGCGTCGCAAGCGTGGCAAAAACGACGTGTTGAAAGAGGCTCAAGAATCGTCACAGCGGTGCCAAGTACAATGAGCTTGGTGCTTCAAATGCCACGAGGGAATCTCGAGACGATCAACCCGCGACCTATGGTAATGGAGGTCGTCAAAAACGATCTAGATGCGTGCGTATTTCGTCATTGACCCTCGCACATTGATTGCTTACGTCTTACTCCAGTGGACTGTGGCGAAAGGCTTTCATGGCTTGCCGTAAACATCGTATTGACTTCGGCATTATCGTCGAGCACAATCAAGATGTTTTCAAGGCTGGTATCCCAGCGTTCGTGGAGCAGATTGAAGACGTCGACTACATCAATTTGTTTTTGACAAGTGTAGGGTAATGCAACCCATGAACTACTCCAATATTTCTCTAACCATTTTTTAGGCGAAGTCAACTCCCTGCTGAAGTTGTCGCCAATGTTTGCGACTCTGTGCGCCAAGATTTGGAAAACAGGGATTTGACGAAATATGTCAACTCCATCCTTACTGCGTACGTTGTCAAGTCACCACCAGACCATGAAGCTGGCCTGGCGCTGTTGCTCCACTTGCGAGGTATGAATTGTCAATCGTATTACAGAGACATCGAACTCAACTAGTTTCATCCAGGCGTCAACCCAAGCTTGGTCGAAGAAGCCGTCAAATACATCATTTTCCTTGTTGATGCAGATCGACTATTTGATACAGCTCTAGGCATGTATGACTTCTCTCTTGTCCTCATGGTCGCACAACACGCACAAAAGGTGTTTCTTATTCTGATAAATTTTACCAAGCAACTCATCTCTTCTCAGGATCCGAGAGAGTATCTCCCATTCCTTCGCGAGCTCAGGGCATTGCCCCAGTATTACCAGCACTTCAAAATCGATGATCACCTCAAGAGGCGTGCGAAGGCTCTCCGCAGCTTGAGTCTCGCTGGTATGGTGTATTGACGGATGTGAACTTGACTTGAATCCTTACACATCGATCCAGGTCCCGAGTACTTCCAGGAAGCTCTGGATTATCTAGACACATATCAACTATATGACGAGGCTCTAGCAATTTGGCAAGGCACAGACAAGTATATGGTAGTCGATCTTTGCGTTTATTGGACATCCTAAACTTACATTGACTGTACCTCCAGGATGTTTTGGGTATCTATGGCGCTTGGCTCTTTGATCGGCACGAATATCATCAAGCAGCCACAGGTGCGTCAATGCGCAAAATGACAGAAATCATCATTGATTCTCTATATCAGTTTTCGTGGAGGCGTCAGATGCAAGACGCGCTATGGTATCTTACGAAAGAGCACTACAATGGCAGGAACTCTTTGAGCTCTGTCTGAAAGAGCAGCTTGATGGCGATGAAATCACGGAGATTGCATATCGCATCGCTGGTACGCTGACTAGTTCTCCGGCAATCGTGTTCCAAACCGACTAAAAGAGTAGATGAGCTCTTCTCAAAGAAGCGCTTCAGTGAATCCGCACGGGTACTCCTTGATTACGCCAAGGATGTCCGGCAGGCAATAAATACCCTTGCTCAGGGTAATGAATTCGCCGAAGCACGGAGGATAGTACGTGTAGTTTCGAACAATCGCAAAAAACGTATTGGCTGAATCATTCATGCAAGATTGCGTTACATGCCAAACCCGAACTCATAGATCAACTACTTCTCCCGTGCGCCTTGGATTGCCGCACACAGATTGGTGATGATATCAACGAGATGCGGGAACAACTTCGTAAACAAGCAGTTCGATTGACGGAGCTCCGAATCAAGAAGGTGGAAGAACCAGGTGCGTACCAAATCCATGACGTCCCCGCTTCTTTCGAAATGACAATGCGAGTAGACGCCTTCTATAATGTCGATGATCCGACTCTTCATAATGTCGACGTTATGACGGATGTGTCCATGGCACCTACCACTTTTACGCGATACACAGTGGCACCCTCGGCCACTTCGAAAGCTTCAAAGTGAGATTTCCGGTCATTGCGGTTCTTTCACTGACATCTAATGATCCCTCCCAGGCGAAGTTCCAAGACGAAGCGCAAAATGGAACGTAAGTTAGGTTCTGGCAGAAAAGGAACCGTCGACGAGGAGGAGTATATTCTCAAGTCAGTCGCAAAGCTGGTAGAAAGATGTGCCACTACTCAAGGTTCAAGAGCATTTATGTTATATTTACCACGGCTAACGACCCTTGCAGGAGAAATCAAAAAACTACTACCACATCTCCTCCAGCTTTCCCAAGCTCACCGCGAAGAGGGTGTTGCTCTGCAAATAGAGTTTGATCATCTGCAGTGTGAGCTGCGGGCGGCCATCGAGGACATCTGGAAGAAGCCTGATGAGCCAACACCAGTGGATTCTTGGGCTACGAGAATGCAAGAGAAGGCGAAGGAACAGCTTGTTGAACCATTACAGCGGGTTTCCAAGCCAGAGATGAGTACATCAGAATGGAGTTTGAAGCTTCTTCAACGGAAGCTTACTCCATGAATGATGATCATGACACGGTCTTGCGCTGGCAGTGTATTATTAATATATCACACTTAAAATAAAGTAACAAAATTGTTTCCCTGATTTGCGCTGAGTGGTGCCGGTGAGCACCCAATTCTACTAATAGTACAACAAGATATGATTACATGGCTGCGTATCTCACTTCAAAGATAACTGTCAGGAGTATAGGTGGAATATAGATAGAGTGTGGTAGGTAAGGTATCATTAAATCGTTAGATGACATGCGGTAAGTGGCGGTAGATGTGGGAACCGGCAATTGCAATAGATCAAAGCTGTGAAAGACAGTCAACAGCTTGTTCTGAACAGAAATAACGAACGGCATATACCGTAAATTCGTAGGGCGCCGAACACGGAACACGGAACGACTCGTGAAAGTCATTTTGGGGTTTTTGGGCCTTATTGCACTAGTGAGTGGTCATCATCCTCGAGGTCACAAATATCTAGTGTGGGAGATGAGTGGGGCACGATGATTGACAGTCAGGGTAGCTCACCAATTGGTGACCGGAATGTTCGAACCTATGGCAACATTCAGAAACTTCGATTGAAAAAAGAAACATTGACGTACATAAGGGTGCAAACCCATCGCAATACCATCGGAGTGTGGCCTCACCAGACACCCGGAGTGTCGGTCGAACATGTACTGTCCGTCTGTCTCGATATCCTGCGTTTGCTCCCATGGCTGTCTTATTCGCATATGTCCGTCATGTGAATGAGAATAATGACGGGTGTTGTTGGCCGAATCTTCAAATTCATATTCGGGCGTCGTGTCTTCGCTTTGAGAATGCTCAGACGAGTGTACAGAAGGTGGGTGGACAATGGCCTTGGGGGTATGCATGGGCGAAGAGATGTGCTGGTTATCTGCACCATAATTGATGTCAGCCGATACCGTTTTATCGACTACGGTTGACGGTATGAGAGCGGTCGTATAACCCAGCTCTTGGGTGAGTGATCGGGGGAAGAATATCTGGCCAACATGAATGGGGAGGACATATTATCCAGGAAGAAGCTCACCAAAAGGGTCATGAACGAAGAGACAAAACAACCGATTCCACCCAACAAAATCAAAAAATCTGGTAGCGGATTAAGTACATTGCCCCACGCATGGTTACCTGTACACACCTGACCAGAAACTTCAAAGATAGTGAGATTCAATCTACGTAGATAAACAAAGCTTCTACTCACGGACTTTCATTGATCGAATGACTTCCTTGTACACCATCCAGTGCCAAGATGAACAGCGGAATAGTAAACAAGAACCTAAACAAAACTCGTCCGAACTTGACACGGTGAATGTTACAATGGATAACTGTGATGAGACACAATATGGGTACTCACGTTCAACTGATAAAACATTACGAGGCGTAAGACAATTTTTGGTTCTCCTCCATCCGCTTTCACTCGTCGGATGAAAGCTGGAAACCTTGCAAGAACATACAGAAACAAAATAGTAGTTGCCGTCGAGGCAGACGATCCGACCAGAAAAATCCAAGCCTGACACTGTAAAGAAGGCCTATCAAGATCACTCCAGATCAGCTGTGAGAGATCTCTACCGTATCAAGCTCCCGACGGGAAATAAGAGTAGTCAAGGGCATTCCTAGCCCCGCTACGACTGTGCCTGTGGAGAAAAAGCGATTCGTCAGGAAAAGAAGTTTATCGCAAATGCAAATAGACAATACCAAGTAGCCAAACTCGGAACTCCCAGCTGTCAAACCAACGCCGTATCTTAGGGCCTTGATGAAGGATGAAGAGCCAGAATGTCAATTCTGAGGGAGCAATGAACATGACATCTCGGGTACGGATTCAGCCACGACCTACCTTCCCAGTGTGTGATACTATGTGCCACAATCACATGAGCCGTGCGATGACCTCAGCAAGAGAAGCACTTACATCTCACAGGCCCAGGCTGCGCTGAACAAAAACAGAAGAGGCAATATCCACTTTTTGTGAGTAGTTGAATATAACTCGATGGGTTTTGGATAGACTGGATTCTGGAATGAGCTCGGGAAAAATGACTCATGTTGGGAACTTACTAGTCCCGTCTGGGGTGATAACAAAACCTAGACAATAAAAGATGAGGAAGATTCGTTGTGCAAGCGGAATGCAAACAACCTTCTTTGAACTTTATGAATGTGTATGCTACGTTGAACATCACGAGGAAGGTTAAGGTTGCTATGTAGGTGTACTGACAGAGTTTTTACGACGTCAGAGATATCCGAATAACTTTAACACGAGGTACACACCGACATAAACCGTTTGAATGCGCCAGGCTGTCTCCCGGACTCGCTCCACTTGAGACATTGGAATCTATCATATTCCCAAAGATGAAATATGAGGAAACAGAAGAACTACGCATGGACCCAGGCATGAGAAGCGTGCTCTATTTGGAGAAGTGCACCATGCGCTCACCAAGCATGCTAGTACAGACCACACAAGATACGCGGTAGGCGAGCCACTACTCATGGCTGAATGAAACGGACCAAAGGAAAGGGAGCACTCGACGATGGCAAGAGTGCGATTTCAAGGAGTTGGATTTGAAAGGTGAACCTAAAATGCTGGGAAGGCAGGGCCTGCGACTTGAGTATGTATATATGGAATGAACTGATTTCATTATTTCCCCGCAGAGCCCAGCCGATTTCAGGCACCGTTGCTTTCCTCCCAGCAGCCACTGCTCTCTTTATTTTTACGACCCACCAGACTTGGATCCCAAGTTGCGCAGTAGCCCGGATCTAGGCAAAAAGCTGCCTTGTATTCTAGGTGGACCTCTAGAATGCAATTTGCTCTCATAACGTCATGCCGTTCGTTATAAGGTCACGTTTATTGTATTATAAGCCAACTTGCTGGCTGAAGCTTGTTTGATAGCCTGAGTGACGGCGCGGGATTTCAGCTCACTCCCCCTGGGAGCAGAACTAAGCCTAAGGGTAAGTGCTAGTCTCGCGCTCGGATCCCAGTTGATGCTCCTATTTTAACTCTGCATACAAACGTTCATCATGATCTTCAGCCGCTTCTGGATGTGCTCCAGCGTTTTGTAATTTCACCCTTTGCTACTGTGCATTCATATCCGCCAGTAATGATCGCGTTTCCATCGCGAGGCCTTCATCCTCAGCGCTCCTCAGCAGTCCACACTGCGGCTTTGATACTACCATATCATGCTCAGGATTGCTTTGAGTATATTGACCCCGTGGATCATGACTCACTGTTCTCGCATGTATTATCATGAAATTGGTTGGGTGAGCATGCTCGGCAACAAATATACTGGCCTCTTTCCTACCCCTTCTCCGACACTCGTTGAATGCCTATACAATATTGACCCGGTAGGTAGCAGTCTTTTCAAGTTCATCATCAAAGAGATTGATGTCCCACTTAGGTATATAACGAAAAGGAATATTGAAACTAAGGTGAGTTTAAGTGAGCAAAATAGCAACCATGGAAAGAGGCAGCATACCGCTCAAAGTTGCCTGGCGCTCCAATCGCTGTAACCTTTTCGTAGTCTTCCTTGCTGAGTGCAATCTGCTTGAAGTTTGAGATAATTCGGCCTACAAGAGTCGGTCAGATCGTTTGACGTCCACGGCATGATTTGCACTGACCCTCCTGCACAGACTTTGGGATAACAGAGTAGCCCCGGTAAACTCCCCAAGCAACGAGAACCTGGGCAGGGGTTGCGCCGAGTTTCTCAGCGACTTCTTTCACTACAACGTTTTCGGTAAGCATAGGCTTGCCAACGCCTTTAATCAAGTATATGCAGGTCAGCATCTTCTCGTGGCATTAAACTGAACAGAACACGCACCGTTGTTGCCTAGCGGACTGTAAGCGGTGATATGGACGCCTACCTGCTTGCAGTAGGCAGCGAGGTCATCTTGAGGAAGCAGAGGGTGGGCCTCAATCTGGTTCACAGCCTAGATATATTTAGTTACATGAATGATTATCGGTAACACGAACTAGGTTATTGTACGCACAGGAGCGACGCCAGTAGCGTCAATCAAGCCTTGAATGTGCTCGATCGTGAAATTGGAAACGCCAATAGATTTGACCTATCGAAAAGTAAATACAAAGGCTCAATTACTGCACTACCATCAATGCTGTGGACTTTCCTTGCCAGTTTCCTTCAACTTAATCATCGTTTTCCAGGTGTCGACAAGGGAGGTCTTAAGGTCCAAGTATGCTTCTCCTTCCTTAGTCGGATGTGAAGGCCTAAGACCGTGTCCAGGCTCGAATGCAACAGGCCAGTGTACAACTGTCACACATGTATGAGTCCATAAATATGAAGGAACGCTCGGTGATGACACACGATAGAGATCGAGGTAGGTGAGTCCAAGCTGCTTCAGCGTCTCGTCAAGCTCTGCCTCAGCTGGTCCTTGTTGATGCGAGCAGTTCCAGAGTTTCGAGGTAATGAAAAGCTGCTCGCGAGTAACGACAGACAATATGACTTTCTTCAGCGCGCGTCCGACCTCGTCCTGATTCTGGTAGATCATGGCAAGATCAAGGTGACGGTAACCATTGCGGACAGCGATCTCGACCTATGTACAGCAGCCATATAGCGACGTTAGCAAGGCAAGACGGGACAACACGATGTCTTTGATTCACAGCACTTTCGACTTTGTTTTGATCAGAGCAGGTGCCGAGACCGATCTCGGGGATGGTTGCACCTGTATTCAGCTGAATAACCTTTCCGAAAGACATTGTCCGCAGGAGATACTGTGAGGTGAGAGCGAAAAACAGCGTTACATCATATGCAACTTCTTATCCTACGCACATGCGTTTTCGGGGAAATGACGGCCCGGGTCTCCCTCGGGCCTCGAAGGAGGTTAGCAAAGATGAACAGCTGAACATGCTAGAACTGTGCTGGAAGAATATGTCAAGCTGCTGGGGATCACAGCGAAAGTGTTTCTCCACTTTATATGGCACGGTGGGATGTGGACATGCTGATGAGTCTTCTAATGGTGTTTCCTAGTGATATATATTGTCGTACGCACCTAGTGGCACTTGCCAAGTGGCAGAAGTACCGGTTCTGCCGGCAGAATTGCCCACAAATAGTTCTGCCCCCAGCACGTGCGCCCGGATATGTTACGTAATATTTTAATCCTTGATACACAGCCACTTCAGACCGTTCTCCTCGACGTCGAAGGGTGCTGCTCACTAAATGGATGTCACGTACGAACGACATTAATTATGTGACCAATATCAATTATATGCACATCATATGCATCATTACAATATATCAACGTTGATCTAACACTTACAACATTTTACATACCGGCATCAGATTTGCAGTGTTCTGGTCCTTCAAAGTTCAAATGTAACAATGTTGCTCCCACTGATGTCGTAGAATAGATTTCATAGATTTTTTAATCTGATTCGTTGATAATACCATGATCGTGAAATTGGTTGAGTGAGCATGTACAACACTGGCCAAGCTTGACTGTCGTCCGATCAGCTGTTACACCAAAAAGCAGTGATACTGAAAGCTCATGTTTCAGTATCGCAGACAGCATTTATGTAGATTATGGGAACGCTAGTAAGCCAGCGTGCTTACAGCATGCTTGGCAACAAATATACAGACTTCTTTCCTCCTCCTTCCCCAACAGGCCTATGCAATATTGGCCTGGTTGGTAGCAGTCTTTTCCAGTTCCTCATCAAATAGGTTGATGTCCCACTTGGGTTTAAAGGTAATAGGAATATTGAAACTAAGGCAAGTTAAATTGAGCAAAATAGCAAACACAGAAAGAGGTAACACACCGCTCGGACTTGCCCACTTTAATTGCTGTAACCTTGTTGTAGTCTTCCTCGCTGAGTGTAACCTGCTTGAAGTTCGAGACGATTCGGCCTACAAGAGTCGGTCAGATCGTTTGACATCCACGGCATTATTTCCACTGACCCTCCTGCACAGACTTTGGGATAACAGAGTAACCCCGGTAAGCGCCCCAAGCAATGAGAACCTGGGCAGGGGTTGCGCCAAGTTTCTCGGCGACTTGCTTCACTGCAGCGTTTTCGGTATGCATAGGTTTGCCAACGACTGTAATGCAAGCATATGCAGGTCAGCATCTTCTCGTAGCATGAAAGTGAGCAGGACACGCACGGTTGTTGCCTAGCGGACTGTAAGCGGTGATGTGGACGCCTACCTGCTTGCAGTATGCAACGAGGTCATCTTGAGGAAGCATAGGGTGAGCCTCGACCTGGTTGACAGCCTAGATATATTGAGTTGCATGAATGATTATGGGTAACATGAACTAGGTAATTATACTCACAGGAACGACGCCAGTAGCGTCAATCAAGCCTTTGATGTGTTCGATCGTGAAGTTGGAAACACCAATAGCTTTGACCTGTCGAATAGTAGATAGGGATGACCGCACTATCATCGATGCCGTGGACTTACCTTGCCGGTTTCCTTCAGCTTGATCATCGTTCTCCAGGTGTCGACAAGGGAGGTCTTGAGGTCCAAGTGTGCCTCTCCTTCCTTGGTCGGATGGAAGGGAGTAAGACCGTTTCCAGGTTCGAATGCTACAGGCCAGTGTACAACTGTCACACATGTATGAGTTCATAAAAATGAAGGAAAGCTCGGTGACAACATACGATAGAGGTCGAGGTAGGTAAGTCCAAGCTGCTTCAGCGTCTCGTCAAGCTCTGCCTCGGCTGGTCCTTGCTGATGCGAGCAGTTCCAGAGTTTCGAGGTAATAAAAAGCTGTTCGCGAGTCACAACGGATGGTATGACTTTCTTCAGCGCGCGTCCGACCTCGTCCTGGTTCCGGTAGATCATAGCAAGATCAAGGTGACGGTAACCATTGCGAACAGCAATCTCGACCTATAGGAAAGTGAGCAAGGCAAGACGGGACACTACGATGACTTGTGACTCACAGCACTTTCGACTTCATTCGGTTTAGAGAGCCAGGTGCCGAGACCGATCTCGGGGATGGTCGCACCTGTGTTCAGTTCAAGAACCTTTCCGAAAGACATTGTTTGCAGGAGATACGGTGATGTGAGGGTAAACGATAACCTGCGTCATATGCAATTCGATCGTCCTCTTATATTGTGCATATGTATTTTTGCGGAAATGACGGTCCGGGTTTCCCTCGAAGAGGTGATCCTTGGTTCGATGGAAAGATGAGCGGCTGATTTCCAAAAAGTCGGTTCTGCCTTCCCGTGATCAAGTCGAATCTTATGCACCAGTAAGCTCTTGATTATTACAACCTTTATTAGTGCAGCTAGATTATGGTAGAACCTTGTTGCTGCACAAATGGAGTATTGTTGTGCCTCAACATATAGTGACGTGGAGTGGCCATAAGTCGCTATTTGAGCAAAGTTGCAATGGGCCACCTAAATCACGAGTCAGGTCAAGGAAATTGAGTATCGCGGTCATGTCTACCCATGCCAGACCACATCTGACCATGAAGAATCGGAATGTTTTGCGAAGAGAGCACAGCGACCACAGCGCGGGCCGTCGGGCCGGATTCAGCCAATGGGTTCGGATCGGATTGTGTTGCCATTCGAGCTCCAAGGAGTCGGACTCCCGACCCGGCAGGCCCCAGCAGCATCTGCGCATCACGCATGCCTAGAACCGTATCAATCTGAAGTCAGTTGCAAGGATGCCCACAATTGACTCCCGCGAAAAAAGTTTTGATCTAAATGGGGCAACAGTTTCGCAGCGCCAGCGGTCGCTACCGATTACATAATCGAGGACTATTCTGGCACTAGCCCCCACCAGTATGTACTATGTACTACTCCACGGTCCCCGGGTGCTCAGCGCTCAATATTCAATCTTAAGTAGTAGGATTCCGTGGCTCCATTCATCGATCTACGTTGGTCGTTGATCGCCTTCTCAATCCGAACGATGGTGCGTTAGGCCAGGGAACGCGTGCCTTTCCCGAGGAGGTATCCCAGTTGCGCCCGGTATGGAGAGAGCAAGTATGTTCTTGTCACGCATACATTTTCTATTGACTACACGCGCCATTTTTGACGCGACGACTGCTCAAATTCTCGTCAAGAGCGGATTCAACATTGCTTCGCTTCAAGATTGTCGTGAACCGACCGGCTCCTGGAATATGACCATCAGACGACCAGTGAGCCGCAAATATTGTCATATATGCTGATATATGATCATATATAGAAAAGGTTTTCGCTACATTGCAATATCAAGCCATGTATAACGTCGGAAAACCACCGCAATCAACGTAAAGCACCCTGGGGAGACTCACGAGTTCTCTGATGTAACGGATCGTGGTTGTCATTTTTCGAATTCACGCCACCGCATGCAGCAGGAGTTAATTAATCTTTTCTGGGAACGTGCATCGGGAACTAGGATTTCACCTAATCTCCTAGGGGGTGCCCCGGGCCAGGTTGTCGAAGGTATGGCTGCTACCATTCTTGACATTGTTATCGAGGCTCTGCCTCCCCCGTTTAGTACATCCTCAGCAAGTCTCTCGGTCGTTAGTTGAAGAGCTTAACTACTACCACTGCGTCGTGAAGGCGAAGGAAATCGGGATAATTTGAAGACTGGTTTGCATAATTTGATCAAAGAGTCAAACAAGCTTTATGGAATGACTGTAAGCAACGTGCACCACCTTGACGATACTGACAGTGTCATTTTTTAGCATGCGATCATGCCGACAGACTTCGCTGATGTTTCAAAAAAAATACATAAATCTACCGCTTGAACGATGTCAAGGCCGAGACGGGTATTGCTTCTTTTGTCTGCTTGCGCTGAGCCTCGGACAAGGTGCTGCGGTGGAAGGTAGAAAAAACTTTTTCTTTAACATGACTAAGATGTGTTCTACAAACGCTCAGCGGTCTCAGGTGGGAGAGCGGCTGCCTAGCAAAGAATTATGAACGTGAGTTATTTCTCGTCGAGAATCGGAAATCTTGATGATTTGCAGCTTGGTCCTATGTCTCTGTATGGTCACTCCACGAGTCGCTCTTCATTTCGTTCATTGATGTCAATCTCAATCAACCACGACTGAAAGATGCTGGTGAATGGATTGGCAGGTGCAACAACTTTGAAACAACTCTCTGCCATCTTTCGGGATCCTCGGAATGAACAACCGCTGATTGCGTCAGGCGTGCAGATCCAAGATCCGGGCACCTGTCAGTACGATTTATAAGTCTCAGCACAGCATGAGGCATCTTGAACAGGCGGGGAATCGAGGAATTAAGATTTAGACTTGGCTTTCTCGAATTCTTGTCATTGGAGTTGATAGCCTTGTTCAATGCAAAAATCTTACTTTGACCCATCAATCGGCCCACCTTGACATTGTCTGCTGAAGTCACGGACGCGTGATTTGTGTAGGTGTAGCTGACGCGATGGTGACCACGTGAAGAGAGTTTATTTAATTATTTTCATCTCCGAAACGGAGGAATCGTCCGAAAACTGATTCAGGTTGCACGCTTCCTTGTCGTGGGCCTCTTGCAGCTAGTCCTATTGGATAGAAATGATTGCGGTCAGTGATGGGAACAACTTAATTGTGCAATCCGACTCGGGATTTTGAAGACTCTGACCATTCAAGTTGCCCTTCCACACGTAGGTCATTACGTGCCTACGTACACCTGATGCAGGCGGTCAGACTGTCTTCGTAACTGCACTCTGGCCAACTGATTATATATACTTCAAACGCCCTTCTGACTTCTTGTCCACATTTCCGTGGTACAGTCATGCCTACTACATCTCTTAAGCCAGAGTGTCCTCCTCTCGATGGCTCACTCCTTTTTCCAGATATCATTGACTTTCACATGCAGAGAAATGCATCTCTGCCGATATACATCTTTCCAGACTCACAAACCGGCGCATTAACTTCCATTTCCTACCGCGAGTTCGGCAGAGCTGCTCATCGAATAGCCCACGCACTCCGACCCAGTCGCAGTGGAGTTGAAGGCGAGGTAACCGCAATAGTTGTCCACACAGACACCCTCCTCTATACGACTTTGATAGCCGGTCTGATGATTGCAGGGATCGTGGTGAGTAATCAATCATCCTTTTGACTTTAACCACTGTCTTATTTTATTTCGCCTAGCCATTTCCTATGTCTCCTCGAAATCCACCGCAGGCCATAGCGGATTTACTTCTCCGAACAAGTTGCCATCGTATAGCTTCCATCTCCCCAAATCACGCCGCTCTCCTTGATGATGTCCAGCGCCTTATGCGGAATAGTGGCTCTAGTCTGACAATCACCGAGATACCTCCAATATCAGAAGTTTACCCTCATTTAGGCAACGAATCCCTTGTCCATTCCTTTGTGCCATACCCTAAGCGCCCCACAATCACGCGGATAACCGAAACCATTCTGTACATGCATTCTTCAGGAAGCACCGGCTTCCCTAAACCTATCGCTCAAAACCACAGGAGTCAACTTAGTTGGATGAACGCCCGTGCGGCTATTTTAGTCTGATCTTTGATAGCAAACTGACGTGGTACAGCTCTGTTATGGCAATATCGGAGCTACCCATCCGTCCGTCTTGGCGTAATGGCCCTTCCCCCTTTTCACATATTCGGTGTTGCCGCACAGCTGTATGCAATGCTTATCGGTGTTACAGCAACATTATACGCGCCTACGTCCGTGGGAGATCGGCGGACACTCCCTATCATTCCGACATCGGAAAACATGATTGAATGCATCAGACAGACCGGCACCAATATCATTCTTTGCGTCCCATATCACCTCGAACAGTGGGCCGATTCGGAAGAAGCACTAAAGACGCTCCGAAAGGTCGGATATGTTGTACGTTATACTCCAGTATTTATTCAATCTCGAGTTTCATGCATTTGACCACACGACTTCGTAGGTGTATGGAGGCGGCCCTCTCTCAGAAAAGAAAGGAGACTTTCTTACCACTGCTGGAATACCGCTTGCACAGCTTTACGGTGCGACAGAGTGTGGTCCGGTCTCTATTCTTCCTCCTCGAGACTCAGTTGTCAATGGCAACCCATACTGGCAATGGGTTGAGTTCTCCGATACGGTTAATATTCGCTGGGCTCCTCATGACCTTGATTTATACGAATGTCAAGTACTGGTATGTAAAAAGGCACAATCAAAACTAGACGTTAGATCAGCGTCTTTACAGCGATCGGACAAACTCCAACCGAGCATTGAGAACCTCCCCGATGTACAGGGCTATGCCACTAACGACCTCTTTGTCAGACACCCAACCCAGAAGCACTTATGGAAAATGTACGTTCTCATTCAAATAACTTTGTTGCAAACTTGAAACGACTTCAGCGTTAGCCGAGCGGATGATGTCATCGTTCTATCTTCCGGGGAAAAGACTGTCCCATCGCAGATGGAGACAGTCATCGGTTGTTGTCCATACGTAAATGGCGCCGTTATGTTCGGACGCGAGCGAAATCAAGTTGGAGTTCTGATCGAACCTACCGTGGATCATTTCATTGATGTGGATAATGAGGAACAAGTTGCCCAGTTCCGAAACCGAGTATGGTGAGTGTAGTTCTCTTTGTGATTCAAGATCTTGGACTGACAGATTTTTTAAGGCCATATGTAGAAGACGCCAATGCATCTGCGCCGACCCACAGTCGCATCTTCAAGGAAATGATTCTGGTCGCTCGTCGCGACAAGCCTGTACCTCGGACTATGAAAGGCACTATCGAAAGAAAGGCGGCACTCCAAGCATACGAGCAGGAAGTTGATGCACTGTCAGTGTCCGCATATCATTGATCGGCCTGGCACTCACTCAATCATTCTGTATCATCAGTTATAACGTCGTCGAACTCAGCCATGAAGTTGGCGATAACACCGTACCATCACAATGGACGGAGAGCGAGTTAGCCTCCTGGCTGTTATCACAGGCCACGAATGTTAGGACGGATCTAAAACCAACTGTAGATCTATTTGCTCAGGGCTTTGACAGGTACGAGCTTTGTTTAATTGGTAAACGTTGTCGCTGAATTGCTCCCCAGCTTGAGTACCACGTACCTTAGGAATCGTCTCATCAGCGCCCTAAAGAAGTCCTCTGAACCAGGGATTCAAAGGATCTCCTCCCTCATCACCCAAAACATCATCTTTGAGAACCCCACTATTCAATCACTAGCGCGGAAGGTTGCCGCCCTTGTTGCATGCGCGGACGGGACTTCCGAGTCTTCACGAGACTCGCACATCCATGCAATCGGGGCTATGATCGAAAAATACTCGGCTGAATTTGTGAAACTTGACTCTGGCTCAATGGAGAGACCTGCAAAGCGAGCCAGGCTTGATGGTGGGCATGTTGTGCTCCTTACTGGATCCACCGGGACACTGGGATCCTATATGCTTGCCGATCTTCTCGGACGGCCAGAGGTCTCGACAGTCTATGTTCTCAATCGATTTTCGGCGGCTACAGGGACATATAGCAGTATGCGTCAGCTCAAAGCATTCGAGGAGAGAGGGTTGAATACGCGACTCCTAACCTCGTCGAGGAAGGTTCATTATCTTGAGGGAGACATCTCTCAGGACAGATTGGGATTGACAGCTCCTACTTACGAACGGGTTTGTTCTCTCTCTTCTGCTCAGCTAGCTCATCGCTGACATGACTCCTGAAGCTTAGATGTTCTGTGACCATGATCATTCACAATGCGTGGCGCGTCGACTTCAATTTGGCCCTTTCCTCTTTTGAGCCTAATATCCGGGGTACGCGGATGCTTCTCGATCTAGCGCTTGCTTCTCCGCTCGCCGCTTCTCTACGGTTTATATTCGTTTCGTCCATCGCATCCGCATTAAGTTGGGATACAAGTCAGGGTCCGGTCCCGGAGGAACTTCTTAGTGATCCTTCTATGCCAATAGGTTCTGGGTACGGTGAATCAAAGCACGTCGCCGAACAGGTAGTTCACTTTATCACCTGAGTAAATTCAGTGACTCAGCACTCCCTAGATCATCGCCCGATCTGCTTTGCAAGCTACAACACTCCGAGTAGGACAGATCACTGGTGGACCTACTGGGGCTTGGGCGACGACTGATTGGGTTCCCATCCTTGTCAAGTCAAGCTTAGCACTCGGTTCGCTTCTTGACCTTCCAGGGGTGAATCTTCTTTCGCACGATGCTAGTTTGGTTTACAAACCTTGATTTTTAGGTCGTGTCATGGACGCCTGCGGACCGTGTTGCAGCAGCAGCTCTTGACGTTGCCTTGTCTGAGAGGCATGTGCCACTTGTCAACATCACCCATCCGAGGCCTGTTCCATGGCGGACAATCTTTGAGGGCGTGAGAGATGCACTTGTCGATTCTGGAGAAACGAAGCATCCGCTGCCGCTGGAGCCCTATTCAGGGTGGATGCAAAAACTGGAGCGACGTGCCCAGGGTGCAAAAGAACGCGATTTTAAAGAAGTGGTAAGTCGAACCTTTATTGGTAGATGAAGATTATCAACTGATTCTGCCGTCTTAGCCGGCACTCAAAATCCTTTCTTTCCTCCGAGGTTTTTTGCAGCCACAGAATGCTGAATCTATCTCTGGCGATGCGGAGGCAGGTAGCGGCCTGCAGCTTGTGACGAACAAGGCTTGCTCAGTGAGCAGCACGATGCATCGTCTTTCTACACGGGAGTCCGAATGGCTTGGACCGAGCCATGCGCGGGCGTGGGTGAGGTACTGGAAAAGCAAGGGATTTTTTCAATAACATTTTCTGCTTGCTATACTCATAGCTGACTTTTACGAGTGTTTTCGATGATGGACTTTGGACCACATTTGTTGTAGATCTACTGACCCGCATAAAGTCCGACATTATCCATGCAAGCACGCAAGTACGCATGTACGAATAGTTTACTAGAGGTCCTTCGTGTCCTTTTCTTATAATGTATACGTCCATCTACCCTACCAGTAATAGTTATAGTGTTACATCGATACTTGCAATACCACATTGTACAATCGGTCTATGTTCAACTTCTGGGACGGAGCCCGGCGAATGCGCACACAAGCGAGCTTTGCATGGCGCTTTCCCGCCAGCTGCAGGTAGATGTCGATGAACGGGAGATAACGGATGTATTTTGGGGATCTCCAGCGTTGGTGCGTGTGGATTTGGGAGATCTAACGTTTTGAGCGCCTCAAGGCCTCCTGGCGGACGGTGCCACTCAGCCGCTGAATCAGTTTGAGGATTCGAGCCAGACAAGGACGGTGACGAGATAGAAGGTGCCAATGAAGGATACCTCGTCGCTCGGCTGCTCGAGGGAGATATTGTCGATGAGGAATAACCACTCTTCCTGAATGCGTCGTTGGAGGAAAGAAGGGGAAACGAAGTGAGTTCGGGGGCTGTGGAGGGTGCGGCGTGAGAGAGTGCGACTGAGACAGAAGATGATCTTTCGAGTTCTGAGAAGGTCAGGGATGGCTTTTTCTGCATTTCAGAGTTTGTTGAGACGTCACGGGAGGGAGGCCTGCTCATTGTTGATGTCGAGCCTTCCATAACGGTGCTTAGCTCTGATAGCTTGAATGACCTTGAATATCTCTGGGATGCTCTGCTCCTTCTTGATGACTGGGATGGAAGCTGGGGTTCTGGGGGATGGGAAGAATGCTGTGCGGATTCTTGTGAATAAATGGATTCAGGGCTGTGAGCGTCAACTTCGCTGCCTGATATCCGGAGTTGGCGCGCCTCCTCTCGCGGGGTGGTGTGCTCGGCGAGAGGACTGAGAATTGATATCCGCGGCTTGGGTGGAGTTGGAGGTGCGTCTGCGAACACATGAACGGTCTCACTTCCGGTTTGAGATGATGTAGATTGGGGAGGATCTGCCGACGAAAACGAGGGGGTATTTTCCCGACCTGAGAAAAAGTCCGGACCCGAGTGACGGGCGAGAGTGCGATTGATGAAAAGCGGGGTGTTTGGCCCAGGGTTCTTGGCTGTGTACTTGGAGTACTGTTCAAGCGGTACTTCGTGCGACACCCTGCGCGAAGTCGCTGGGATGGGATGTACTGGAGTTGTGGGGAGTATTGCCCTTTGGATGCGGGCAAATGGGTCTTCGGTGTCGTAGAGGCTGAAATAGTTGGGATCTGTTGGTATGTTGGGTAGGACGGGAGGGAGATAGGACCAGTCTAGTGGTATTTGCGGGGCTGAGAGTGCCGGGATACTATCCTGTGATGTCTGCGGAGGAGAAGATGGAAGGAGAGGCTCGAGAGATACAGATGGTTGTTGCCCGTGACCATACCGTCCGTGGACCCCAAAGCTCGATCCTCCCGACACAAATTCTTCCTCAGGATCTACTGCCCTCCCTCTCTTGCGAAGCTTCGTGAATTTTCCTTTACTTTTCCTCCAACACCGCAAATAGAAACATGCAGCTGCGACCACAGCTACGCCACCTACAACTCCAATGACGATTCCTGCGATAGTTTCAGTGGATAATGTGGGGCTTGCATCCGAGGACGTAGATGTAGATGTCATAGTGGACTGAGTGTTGGTGAAGGCAATTCAACCGATGCGATGGATACCAGCAGGGCCTTTATTAACCGCGAAACCAGCAGACGGTGAAATTATACCGACACACGCTTATATGCCGGGCTTTGCGGGCGCTCACTGCAAGTGACGGCTACTAGTTGAGCCGCAGCCCTGGCTGTGGTCCGTGGAGGTAAATTTAGTGCGAGCGTCTAACAATATTGATATGGCTGTGCAATAAAAACCACCGTAACTGTTCTTCATGCCCTACACCTAGGAAGCACCCGAGACGTCGACTTCACACGCTTCTAACATAATCAAGGGTCGACCGGACAAAGTGCTTCAAATCTGCAGGTAGGCCATCGATGGGCATGAGCCCTGCTGTCTGTTGAAAGCTTGTGTGAAGTGGATGTCTGTGGCACGTACTCAAATTGCAGGGACGTTTCCGCGCTGATCATGATGGATGACTCTTTAGCCAGCGCTCAACTACCTTTTGCATTGGACACGCTGTCGATATGTTTTCTTGATCGGAACCATTGCCACGTTCTGTGCCGTTATTCTCCGCACGGTCTTGATATAGTTCGGAGCAGCATTGATAGAGCCTTTTGAGATGTGCGTCGCATTTCTCCGGAGAGTACGTGTTTGCCGAAATGCATGTTTGAAGTGCACAGGCTTATATTATGTATTAATTGAAACGAGCTTAACCTGGAAAGCAGAGCATGGAACTATAACACACCTTCAGCTTGGCAAGATTGACTGGGTTCCTGGTGATAGGCCAGTCCGTAGATTAGTGAGTTTCAGTTTGATGAAATGAGAGCAACGGGTTTCACCTGTTTCATCCCAAACGCAAGAAGGGAACAATGTGCCAGTCATGGGCTATGTCGTTAGCGCCAAGACGTGAGGTTTTTGTCACAGCCACCTCGTCACGGTTACGGTATTGTGGCGCTGCCCGAAATTTGTTTTTGCTTCGGTCACCTAGCCTTCTACTCTACAATATGTAAGGATGGAACGTTTGCTCCCGCGGAACCAATTCGCGTGACTCTCTTGTCTGTGCTCCGAGCTGAGCTCCACCTGTCCTCCAAATTGGTCTAGCGCCATGCGTGCTTGACGTCAATCTGAGCACTTTTCTGATCGATTGATCGCTCATTGTCCTTCGTGATTCAGTACTATTCAAATTACAAAACTGCTTACAAGTGAGATCCAGCTGGGCTTCTACGACGACACGACGTGAATTGTGGAAAATTATATTGTCCCACGTGCACAATCACTGACTTACTCGTACGGCCAGTGTCCGGGCTGAAATGCAAGATAATCAGAAGAACGTGAGTCATTGTCAAACTCTAAACTTACGAAGTATCTTTTGTGAAGTTTTCCTCCAATAGTGTCTATAAGCGCGATCTCCTCGGATGTGAGCTCCGGCACATTCTGTGTGTCAAGGTATTCCCTGATACGTTCGGCTTTCGACGAGGTTCTGTGATGGCTCAAGTATTAGAAAAGAGTCACATCGGTGTGCAGATTAAATCTCACGTCACCACAAGAACACCTTTCTGTTGAAGCCATTTGTTCAACACCTGACCATCAGACACAGGGGCGCCACGAGTTTTCTCCAAACGAGCGCGGATTTGCTCAATCAGAGGATCCAGTGGACCACCTTTTCCCCGGAAAAGAGATGATAAACCACCGAACGATGATGTAACGATTTTGTATTGGTCATGGATGGCAAGATTCGGCTGCAATGCTTGCCATACATATGGATGAGCCTCGACCTATTAATGATGGTTAAATAAGGCCTATCACACCAACAGGTTATAAAACTAACCTGGTTGACTGCGGGGGGTATAGTGGCAATTTCTAATATAGTCTTCAGGTGGTCAGCAGTGAAGTTAGAAACTCCGATGGACTTGGTTAAGCCCGCTTTCTGAGCCTCTTCCATCCCTTTCCAGACCTCCTTCAGCTTCCCGACGTGGTTACTGGCATGGTTTACAAGGTATAAATCGACGTAATCCACTTTGATTTGCCTCAAGGACTCCTGGAGTGCGCTCTTGGGAGTTTCACCAGGCTGCAATTGTCCGAGCTTTGTTGTTATGAAGAGCTCGGACCTGGACTTGCCAGAGGCTACTATCCCGTTCCCCATTGTGTTCTCGTTGCCATAGACTTGCGCACCATCGAGGTGCGTAAAGCCATTGTCGAGAGCAAGGCGGATGGCATCCTCAGCGTCCTTGCGAAAGAGGGCAGTGCCAGTGCCAAAAGCTATCCAGGGAACCTGGTTTCCGTCATTCAGAGGGAGAGTAGATACGGTCGTTATGGATGATCTGCCTGCAAAGTGGTTTGAGTGATGCTTTATATTCGGTTTTTCGAACCACTTCAGTACTAATGAAGCGGGTCTACGTAACATGACCTGTAAGGCGGCTACTTGAGTTCGAAGGGGAATGCGAGCAAAGATGGGTTAGATGAGAGACGAGATAAACGAGAAATGAGACGCTTGAGACGGACACGTTATAGGAGGCTTCTGAAGTACATGGAGCGGGGATCTTAGGATAGAATTCGCTGTAGATACGAGAGTACATAGACTGTATATAAGTGCGAAACGGCAAGGGTCCTCGGATATAGCTTGACCGAACGATTATGAGAAAACGGACGCAGAAGGGAGTGGCGTTGAGAGCACAAGTTTAATGGAAAGCGGCATGGCTCGGATACGAAGAGTGATGCGGCGAGTCACGTGGACAGTTTCGAGCGCCTAGTGTGTACTGATGTTCGTTCTGATCAATCCTTACAGACCTGCTAGATGCGGTTTCTGGTACCCTGTTGTCAGTCGGACCTTACTCAGTTCAGATCTTTCGAGTTTCTCCAAACCCTGCACAGACAAAGTCCGAACACATTCACAACGAAAAGACCCAGGCTCTGCTCGATATGTTCACTTCAATGCCAAAACGTGATGAGGTTTTTGTCACAGCCACCTCGTCACGGTTACGGTATCACTTGAGGCGCTGCCAACTTCAAACCCGAAATTTGTTTTTGCTTCCGCTACGGTCACCCGCACTAGCCTTAAATATTAAATTGGGGTACTTGTACGTATGAATCGATCTAGACTGAAATCTACTTAAGTTGCGCTCGCCGCTCGCCAGCTCTAAGCGAGATTGAGCGCTTCGAAGGAATAGCTTGAACGTAAACGATAAAATTCGATGAAAAATCGTAGTATGCACGCGGTCACCGGTGCCCTCCGGGTGGTCAATGCGATGGCTATACTATGGCCGTCCTCTTGATGATCTGAGCTACTTGTCATTCGAATTTCGAAGGCGGTGCTTTTTTCTCACGGTGCAGGATATGATAATCGGATATTCGAGGACCTTCAAGGACCCACTCCTGTCTACAACCTCATAAAGCACTCTTTGTATATTTCATGCCCGCCGACCTCGAAAAGTCTTGTTGAGCTCGAGCTTTCAGCAAACTCTCTTTGGTTAGAACGTTCATTATATCCATGGATCAACCAGATCTGACAACTAATGCGAACATAGGAACGCGATCTTTGTTATTATCATCAGGGCCGGTGCCACGACCCCAACTTTTTATCTGTCTTTATACAGGACTGTGCTGGAACGGCATAGCAACTCGTTCCCCTTCAGGTGAACTCTTCCAGGGGGATCCTTAAGAGTCGCCACTGGCACGCAGATTCAGCACGTCAGCCGCATGCCCATCCTTTTTTGTTTAAATAACTCGATCTCCTGCATTTCCCAACGTACCATTTCTCTGTCTTTCCACCATGCCAAAGCGTATCCCCACCCCTCCTCCTGGAGACGATGAACCTCGCTACCTCACTGTTGTTCACCCTTACGTCCTTGACGGCCATTGCAACATGGAGTTGCCCAAGGATAGACAGGATTTTGCGCGTTGGGTAGCATGCTGCATCGATGCTAAATACTTTTACGCGTTTTTTCACAAGCCCAGTGTAAGTGGTCGTGTGGATCGTCTCTGCAGTGTATGTGGCTGACCTTCGTCTGTATGACATTCCCATTGTGGCGCATCAATCAGGCACGCGACATGGTTATCATCGAGATAGCTCGTGAATGTCCCGAACTCGATCGCTTACTCGGCGAACATCGCTGGAGGGAGTTCCTGAAGAAGTCATCCAAACAAGAACAGGATCAAGTCTCGAAGGTATTTTATTGCACTTATAGCACTGGAAGACAGGTGCAGAAGAATGGTGAGTCAAGCAATCTATTTGATTTTTGCCGGGCGGCAGATTCCTCCTCGATAACCTTGATCGGTTGTGTAATAATCGAGGAATCTTCATTACCTTCTATGAACGGATCAGGTGGCTAATGCCATATCGGATTTCCCTCGCAGGCTGGAAGCGTATCTATGTCGAAGACGCTTGGTTTAAAATGTGGTCGCCGAACAATCAGTAAGTTCCTATCTTCCATGACCTGCAGCTGCGTAACCTGACGGACCATGTCATCCTTCCAGTTTCATCACTTTCCCATACCCTGAAACCCATTTTTGTGAAGTGCCGATCGAGGATCAGACCAATCATCCCATGTGTAGGCCCCTTCCGGGTGCCGTAAAGCGCACTCCCCCTGAGGCGCTGATGGCTCCTCCACCAGGTAAGCGTGCGGTTCTTTTGCCTCCTGCCGTGTTTCCTATCAATACCCTTGCTACAGTCGTCGGTTCCGAACAATGGACAACCGACAAACAGGTTCCTGCTCCCATTGCGAGGGCGTGGACCAAAGGCGCCCCGAAGTTCACAGCACCAGTTGGCAACGCATGGAAGGCTGCTATCGCTACTTCCTCTCCGCCCATCCCTGGGCTCAAGAAGCAGCCCGCAGTTGGTGGCGGACCTATCGCAGTGAAAGCATCTGATGTTTGTACGTCGTGCACTTTTTTCATTCTGAAGTATCATTGACGCTTAGCGCTTCCTTTGTTTCATGATAAGGGGTCGGCCTTCCTGCGTCCTCAGGACTTGGACCGAACGGGTGGTCAGACTCACCCACTGGATCTGGAATGAATACTCCCCCAAGCGGGGCTCCCTCTCCTTTGCCCAGAACAATATCTAATCAATCCCCCACCATCCCTCCCGGTCTGAGTGGTCCGAAAGCTTGGAATGATGGAACATCCTACCCTACTCATCCTCCTGGAATTCCGGCAGTATCCAACGCATGGGGCGCTCCTCGCATTGCGACGGCGCCTAGCCTCGATCGCGATAACACAAGTACCGCTAGCTGGAGCTCTAACGGAGGGTCTTCCAATGCCAGCACCGATATCGTACTTACTCCCGAGGACTGTCCATACAGGGTTCAAGTCCAAATCTCGGACAGCATGGAACGAGCACTGGACGGGTTGTCAGTCCATGACGGTGATATGGATCCCGATCTCGCTGAGCTGGACTCGATCGCACCCGGGAGGTGGGATGAGCCCGCGAGTACTGAAGTTTGGCCTACTGCGGATGGGACTACTTGGGACGATGCTCCTGCAGATGCCGAGGCGCAGTGGATGGAGCTGAACGATAACAAGGAGCAGGAGAAGCCGATTATATGCAACGCCCATGGAATCATCTGCAGGAAGGGAATCTGCAGGGAGTACGCGAAGCAGGTTCGCGAAGCGGAGAGAGCACAGAAGGATACAGGTTCGAACAACAAGAAGGGTAAAGGCAGAGGCCGAGGCAGGGAGTATGGCAGAGGCGGTGGAGAAGGAGGGGGAGGGGGAAGGGGAGGGGGAGGCAGCGATCGTGGTGGACCTCCTAATAATGCATTCAGAGGTCGCGGTGCGCCCGTGAAGTCAAACTGGCGAAGCGCTCCTAGGGCCATCGTATCTGCCGCTGCCATGGAGCGCCGGGAGAGCCTCAACGAAGCGGAATCCGTCGCAGCTGAAACTGCGAATGGATGGGGAAATCCGTCAAATGCCTCATGGAATGCGGGCGAAGATGTGCCTGAAGAGGCAGAGCCTGCGGGCAATGGCGCGCCTGAGCCGTCTAATGACGGTTGGGGCCAATCTGAAGCTAGCTTTGACCCTTGGCTTACGGAGCCCAAGTCCAAGCCTCAGCAGAATCCCGCGCCCCAATCTCAGCAAAGGCCAAGACTTCAGACCCAGCAGAGGCCCCAGTCGCAGTGGAAATCTCAGCCCAAGGCTCAGTCCCAGGCTCAGTCTCAGTCCCAGTCTCAGTGGAGGCCGCAGCAGAAGTTCCAACCGCAGCAGAAGCTCCAATCACAGCAGAAGTTCTCACCGCAGCAGAAAGCCCAGGCGAACAGCAACACCAACAACGCCTGGGTCAAGCAGAGGCCCTCCACTTCCTGGGCAGATGAGGTGGATGCCCATAGCGCTGCTGGATACCCTGACGATGATGGGTTCTCCACCGCCAGTAGCAGGCGTGGTGGGCGGGCCCCAGTGAAGGCTCCCAAGAGCTCTACCAGCGGGTGGGGTACTGTCGACGAGAAGCCCTGGTAAGCGTATTGAACGAATACAATCGCAGGGTCGCCCCGTCTCCATATTTGTATTTTTACCTGAAGTTCCATTCCTTGTACTACTATTCCCTGGGCGATATGTACCATACCCCTGATAGTTTTTCATACCTACCGTGACGTACTTCAGAATCATTTTTCGTTTTACCGCCTGTACATCCAATCAGCACCTGCGATCATCGTCATGTACTATTGTATTGCATACTTCAAAGCCTCATGCACATGATTGCTCTGTGAAATGCATATTGTTGTACTTTCGCGACAGACTTGTTTTATGATCAGCGCTTATTCAATAACGTTCATGCATGCATCGTTCTCCCTTGTTTGTAATTGTAAGCCAAGCTGCCTTTTTGCTCCCGTTTGTGAACATTTCTCACCAGAAATCAATAAGAGAAGGGCACATAAATTACAGGTCGGCAGAGGACGATGTGAAGGCTCAGTCCTGCAGGTTGTTATGCACAAGGTCGAGCGTGACTTACATATAAACGTCATGCAATGGCAAAGACTATATGTGCATTGGGAATAAGTCGCCCGTGTTGAACCGCAATTTCACCGTGATCAGCTTAGAGCTAGTAGACTTCGTGTTGCTGACAAGACAAGGAATAACTGCGAAGTAAGTACTATGTTCAAATTATGTACCGTAATACAACCCATTGCATAGTCTGTCTGACACCGAGGCCTCAAAATGTCATCAAGAAGCGATAAAGGAACAATCGTGGCAGAAATGTAACATATGGCGCGGATTTAGCTCCAGTCGCCTTATTTCCTCTGGTGTACAAGGCTCCGGTAGCACGGAAGCAGGGAACGTGAGCAACTTCACCCATATATCCTCAGGCGCACATTGAGCGACCAGCGGGAGATTGATGTGCGGAATGGCCAACGAGAATGTTTTCAGTCCTTCGAAAGGACCACGCACGGTGCACAAAGGCTGCATGCAGAATAAAGAATCATCCATTTTGATTTCGCCAACACAGTTGCACTGGAAGGGCAGACATTGTTGGAAGGATGGGAAAAAGAGTACGGTGAGGTGTTGGATGGAAGCGAGGAAATCATATCCATAATCAGACCTCACGAAGGGCTGCCATATATAAGTGGATTTGCCCAATAACGTCAAACTTCTCATGCTCAAAGGAAACAGAGATTTTTTGTGGTCGACATCGGAGTTACACAGATATTTGAGGCACCTTGTAAGAAGACCTAGACTTCTAAAGTCGATTGTGAGGGACGATGAGCCGAGAATCACTGGAGCTAGCAGTCCGATATCGAACTCGCATTCAAGCTCTGGCATAGGAGGGGGTGTATAGGGACCAGCTGGGATGTGCACGGCCCCCCGAAACTCTCCAATTGACATCCTGTGCACGCAAGGTGCGTAATCAAAAGCTAGATCATGTTGTTGATCGATATGTGTTTTCTGCATACGCAGAGCCCGTACGAAAGCGAGTAGGTGGCGAGGTGTCGACAATAATACCGTGTGCAGAAGTTCAGGCAGCACAGCGTGCCTGACATTTTTGGAGACCTGGCATAGTGAAAGGGCAGATGAGTATGGGTCTCGGGTGTAAGGCACATATTGAGCAAAAGGTGGTTGTGCCGCATGCTTGAAGATGACGAGGGCGAGCTCAGTTGGAAGGTCGTTGAATCTAAATGAAATGGGAGTAGGAGGTTCCATGACGTGCGGAGTAAGAGACCTTGAAGCTGGTTTGATTCCTTTAATTAGGAGGTTTTGACGTGGCTAAAAATGACGTCAAGGTGCGTCACAGCCGCGTCAAAGTAGTAACTGTGTATCAATGGTGTCCAACTGTACTCGAATCTAAGAAGTAAAGTGCGACGGTTGCGGCAACGTTCGGGCGCTCGCGTGGTTTGCGCCTATTTCGTTTATCTCGCGTATTTCGCCAAAGGCCATGTGGTTTGCGCTTAGCTCGCTTAACCTCTTTTTGGAAATCTCGCGTGGTTTTCTCGCGTGGCCTTTGAGCGCCGACTCAATCTCCTTTGCCCATTAGAACAGCACCCATGTTTATTCATGAAATTTGAGTGTTTTCCTGCAAGTGTTGTAGCAACTGTATATACACAAAGTAAATGGTCGAAATGAAATGGTGAATGACGAAAGGTAGTGACAAAAATAAACAAATAAAAAGGGAAAAAAAAGGGAAAAGACAATGGAGAGACAAAACCTGGGGAAGGGAAGAATTGGGAGATATAAGAAAATTGGAAAATTGCTGGGAGAATGGGAGAATGAGCAAACAGGGAGAATGGGGAGTAGACGGGAGACGGGAGACGGGAGACGGGAGACGGGAGACGGGAGACGGGAGACGGGAGACGGGAGACGGGAGACGGGAGACGGGAGACGGGAGACGGGAGACGGGAGACGGGAGACGGGAGACGGGAGACGGGAGACGGGAGACGGGAGACGGGAGACGGGAGACGGGAGACGGGAGACGGGAGACGGGAGACGGGAGACGGGAGGATGTAGGAGACAATTGGGAGATGGGTAGGTGTCAGAAAAAAGTCAGGTACCATTGTAATACTGCCAGATTACAAGTTCAGCTCGGCACCTTAAGAGGGCCTTACAAGGCATTTTAACGGGCCGTTCTGAGGCACAGCGAGGCAAAACTCAACATAAGGTCATCAAAAGGGCCCTTATAAGTGCCTTTTAATGGGCATTAAAATATTATCTTACCCGTTTAAAAGCCCTTATAAGGACACCCTCCAAATAGAGCATTAAAATGTCTTGCAAGGCCTTAAAACCCTGGGAACTTTTTTCTGACAGGCAAAGATAAATACATTCAATGATACTGTTATATATTTTGTAATTTTGTCAGAATCCTGCTCAAAGAATGTAGAACTGACTGTTCTTACTATGTACTATGTACTTTATGTGGTGGTAGATTGTACTTTTAGTTTTTTTGAACTGCTCATAAATGTATTTTCAAAATTATTCAAAATGCACAATTTATTAGGATGCAGCCTGAGGCCAGGAAGCCAAAGGAGGGCTACGCCCTCCTTGGCTTCCTGTGACGAAGGAACAACACTGATTTTCCTCCCCTGAAGGAGCGCATAGCGCTCCTTCGATTTGTGCCGAAGGCACAACGGGCGTGAGCTCGTTTTGTCTAGCGAAGAACAGCATGTCGTGCCGTTCGTCCAGGCCCTGCACTGTCACATGACCGAGAAAACGTGGCATTTTTTCCTTGAGTGGTGACGTAACTCAAGGAAAAAGGGCCATGTGGCTTGCATCATGTGACGAACAATACCCAACGAGAATATGACAAGAACATGATTCTCGTTTTTTCCCCAGTGTCTTCCCTTTCTCTAGCGTGGTTTTTATTTACACTGGATCTTCTTGCAATTTGTGCCTCCCTGTGCACGTCTCACATCACATACATCGTGAGATGCGCCCGAGATTAGTTATGACATAGCGCTACATGATTTGACACGCGCAAATACACAGCCACAAGACAGGTTCTCAGCACGGAATAAACACTTGATAGTATTTTATATGACGACATGCCCAGCAGCAGCAGCCCATTTCATTCACAGCGCCCTGGGGAATGGTCCCTCTATATTTGTGTCCACATAAGAAGAGCATCTAGGGCGCATGCGGAAAAATATTAGTCTACTCCCATATTCCTATCCACCGTGAGCTCTATATTCTCACTTGGTCACTATTATATTATTCACTGAACCATCATGATGGGCCAGCAGACACGTCTGCATTTATGTTCTTGCAGAATAAACCCGGGGTGAAAACTCGATGGACAAGTCATGGACTGCGCTAAAAATTGACTTTGCGCTCAAACCTGACGCTGCGGGTGAGAAGGTGAAGGCTAAATGAGCCCTGGAGCAGTGTTCGGTGCGTGTTATCTACATAATGCTTAGTCTACTAAAACATTGATTGACGTATGCAGCTGTTTGAGGAGACGTGTAAGGAGAGATGTCGCCGCTTAGTACTTTGAAAGTGTTGGCTGATTCGAAGGGTATCGTTTTGATGCACGGTGAGTTTGTGATGCTCGTGAAGCGTGTTGCCTGTGCTTTTCTTGCAAGGGAGACTTATTGTTCACATATGTCCTTCTGAGATGTACCTTCTGATGTATCTAGTGGAGTCGCATGCACCAATGTTCATTATTTGTCTTCTAATCCAGAACCAACGCCCTCTGAAGACACCGACACGTACACACTGCGTATTGTATACTTCCCTGTCACAGAAGTTAGATGACAGCGTGGTCCAGCCGAAGAGACCCTCACACGTATAAAGTCAAGGCAGACCTCCTTATCATCAGCGAATGAAAGCTGGTCCAGTTCTCACGGGAAAGGCCCACACGCCCGATATTCTTTATTGCCCGTCTGTGGGACAGTCATCTCCTCGAGTTGCCCGACTTCGCAGACGATACAGGAAGCTTGGGAGATTGGCCGGAACCTGAGTCTTCGTCAATTTTGCTAGTGTGGCAGTGCGGCGGAGTATGCAAAAGGATTGCCTGCGATCACGATATCATCGTACAAGTCAAAGACGTGACTTCCGTTCACACCGTGATAGAAGCCAGGACCCTAGAAATATTGTAGCTGGGTATATGTATTCTTTTGGAGTGAGCAGTTTCCATTCATGTTTCAAGTTGACGATATTTATTACCATTGCCTATGATTCTACTTATCTGCCGACTCAGATGGTACTTGTGTATCCCAACAGACAGCAATCAAGAATTTCTGTCGCCATCATATTTGCAGCAGGCATCATTTGTGAAGAATCGTTTACTAGTATGACGTCCGCGTAAGATCACAAAGACACTGAAATGCCAGTGAGGCCAGTTAAAATACCAAGCGCTGCGGCAGTATACTCAGACTCTTCATTTCATTATGACAGAGGACCGCAACAACGTTCTTCGGTTCACATTCTCAGCACACAACGAGCAAGCACCAATGTATACTGTACTTCAAGACAATCCACGGCGCATGGGCAACCGCATCTCTGGTGAAATCAGTGTCCTTGTCCATTGTTATGTGTTATGACAAACTAGTACGAACATCATAAGTACCACAGTCAGCTCCTTGGCTTGGACAACTCTAAGATCAGACCAGATGGCAGGTACTTATAGAATTGAATACGAAGTATGATCCACTGTACGCTCAGTAACGTCCAAACTATATCCGAAATATCTAAAACGAATTCATTGCGTCGTTACTAAGGCCTGCATGTGTTGATTTTAGTGCGAGTAATGGAAAGGGGTTCGAGGAGACTCACTCCTCTCGACACTTTTGCCAGTGTTGTCCGTGTTCCATACAGCTCAAATCAAGCTCAGGACCTCCTCTGGGTATCACCAATGTAGTTGCAGAGTTGTAAATTCCATGTCGAGAAGCGGGGGGTACCCAGAATAAGAGCCGATTTTTGGGCCCTACTACCCATCCACTGTCATGATTCAGGATAAAGGAGGTTGAAAAGGTCGAACTGGAGTCGTCACAGGATGCTCCCTCCGTTAGCTCATGGGTGTTGCATAGCGCGTGGATAGAGTTGGACGAGAAACGAATGAGATGATTGTTCCAATTGTTTGATTTCCCTGCATCCCACAGCCGAACAGTGTGATCCCTTGAACCAGAGACGATGCGAGTGCCGTCCGGCGAGAACAAGACCGAGTTAACTGAATGAGTGTGCCCCCGCAAGGGCTCACCGACTGGCTTCCCCGTCCCTGCATCCCACAGCCGAACAGTCTTATCATCTGAACCAGTGACGATGCGAGTGCCGTCCGGCGAGAACGAGACCGAGTTAACTGATGAGGTGTGCCCCCGCAAGGGCTCACCGACTGGCTTCCCCGTCCCTGCATCCCACAGCCGAACAGTCCAATCCAAAGAAGCAGTGACGATGCGAGTGCCGTCCGGCGAGAACGAGACCAAGTTAACCCAATTAGTGTGCCCCCTCAAGGGCTCACCAACTGGCTTCCCCGTCCCTGCATCCCACAGCCGAACAGTGGAATCCCTTGAACCAGTGACGATGCGAGTGCCGTCCGGCGAGAACAAGACCGACTTAACCCAACTAGTGTGCCCCCACAAGGGCTCACCGACTGGCTTCTCCGTCCCTGCATCCCACAGCCGAACAGTCTTATCATCTGAACCAGTGACAATGCGAGTGCCGTCCGGCGAGAACGAGACCGAGTTAGCACACGAAGTGTGTCCCCTGAGAACGGTCTGAGCAGCTGGCCAGTTTGTATCACGTCCAGATGCCACACGAAGAATGTTCGGAAATCGTGCACAAAACTTTCTCGATAGTGGAGAATTAGCAGGCAAGAATGGGAGTGCTGATACATATAGATGCGGTGTGCTGTGTAAAATCATGCTGCCGAAGACTTGGATGAACCTCTGAACGTCCATTGCAGTCGATGAGACGTTTTTGAACTCGGAATGGTCCTGGGGTTGCATGTGAGCGCTTTATCCGGCCCTCCGCAGCAATGTACTGACCTTCAGCCAGTGGGAAATGAGCGGAAGGGCAGGAACTGCGCTGCTCAGCGCATCCACCAGGGCCAGTGACTCTAGCCAGAAAAAGACCCGTTCATTGTCGAAGAACGATTTTACTTCTTTTGCGAGCTCCTCGTCGAAGGCTGTGTCCCGTATGTGCGAAGTCCAAAATCGAGAGGAATACGACAGATGTGGAAGGATGCAACCTCGAACTCGGTCTTGCAGTCCAGGGTCACCACTATTAGGTAGATACGACGACTTTAAGTCACAGATGTTGAAGCGAAGACCGTGTTCCATCACTCGAAGTGATGCGAATGCAAGGTCGCGTTGCGCCTCCGACACGTCGATGAAAAACTCTCCGCTACATACTTGGTCCGTCAGGAAATCGCGGAAGGATGCGTGAAGGGGTCGGATTGGAGAATCTGGATTGGTGGTACCGCTGAGGAGGGGCCCATGCATTTTACCATAAGTTTCACATCAAAATGATCTTCTTGTTTTGGAAAATGGCGTCTCATGACGTTCAGGGAGGCTAAAGGAAGGGGCTCAGCTGTCCCCAGTATTTGTCCCATCACTGAGCGAAATCTCGCCAGCGTAGTCGAACGTAGCCTTTGCGAATGCTGGACATTGGTAGATGTATCCCTGTGCATGATATCTGTTAAAATGAGGTGGTACATATCGTGCAACAGTACGCTTCTCTCAGCCGGATCGAGTGACACCACAGCTTTGTAGCAATCAATCGGAGATATTCCAGGATGGGGGTCTTTGATGTATCCGCTGGCGAGACGCGCCCACTCGAAAAGTCCATCAGCTTTCTCAGCCAGGACTGCCAACTCTCTGTCCTGGAAATCTAGCTCTTCCAACTCTCTGGATACGTAAGCACGGATGTCGCGCTCTGTGAATGCTGCTGGAATATCATCCATGGACATCTGTCGAATATGCTGAACGCCGCGAAACTTGTCTTCGATATCACCAAGCGGACGAGAGGTAACGATGAAGCGGAAGTTGTCTGGGAGGTCTGTGATTTTGGGAACGCCGGGGCTTTGATGTTTGCCAGCTAGAATACGGAGGAGGTCTCCTCGTGTCTCTACTCCACCGCTCTCGTCCAGTGCATCGATTACGATCACGATGGGTTCCCCAGTCGACCTAGATGACTTCCTCAGTGGTTCGATAAGAAGTTTCTGCCACTGCTGGATGATATCCGTCGTCGTCTTGAGCGAAGTTGTACCCTGAACTGCATCTGCTAATTCCCGCCTTAGCTTCGGATCACGGTCAGCCAGGTCGCGTGCGATCGTGGAAAAGACCTTTTCGTGGCGACGATCTGCTTCTCGCTGGCGGTCAAAACAGTAACACGAACCAAGCCCTCCCACGTCGTTGAACCACTTAGCAATGGTGTGGGCGATGGCCGATTTCCCCTTGCCTGCAGGGCCGGATAGCCATAACACGCGTGGAACGTCGTCCCCAGTGGTGTTGACCCAATCCGTGATGTTAGAAAGGATTTCCGTGGGTGTCCCTTCGAGGCATTCTTTCCTGGTATCTAGTCCCGCGCCCTCCGCATAGGTGATGCCGCTGAGGTCCAATATTTCTCCTGGAAAGGAGTGAATATATGTCAAGTCGCAAGGTCGTCCGAATCCTTACCTATATGGTGGACTTGTATGTCAATGTCGTGGACGTGTATGGCTACATCGTGTAAAGCCTGGTCCCGGAATTCTTGCATGAGCCTATCTAACGCGTCGTTGTACTTTTGGATCCTATCTGTCGTTTCTGAGACAACGTTCTTTCCGAGTCTATTCCCTGTGATATGGTAGAAGCTTGAGAAGGTACAAAGCGCAGCAGCCGGTGATACTCACAAAAGTTGCGTGTCTCCGAATAATTGCTGATGAAATGGGAGCATTCACGGATCTGCTTGGAAATCTTTCCGAGGATACTGATGGCGCGCATACACAATTCTTGGTCAAGCTTCTCGTCTTGTGTCATGAAGTCGTAAACTTCAGACAGCTTCTTGAGGAGTTCGAGCACCGCTGCGTCGCGATCCGCTTGAGCTAGAATAACCTACACAAATGATTGCTGAGTGGTGAGAGAGAAAGAACAGAAAAGAAGAACGTACTTTGGCTGTCCAAGATAAAACGCCCAATGCCATCTTTGCATACGGATGTAGCTGTGAAACTAGATTAGTTCGGTTCCGATCGGGAGGAGGGTCCATACCTCTGTGATCTTCCCAATAACATCGTCGAATATCCTGAGGGGTTTGAGATATGTCTCCTGGAGACTGTCAGCATCATCCAGATCCTCTTGTGCGCCTTCGACAACAGACGCTGCAGTTATCGCAGGGCCCGAAAGTGGATGCATGCGATTTGCACCCTGTTGTGCATGCCGAAGTGCCGATTCGGTATCAGCCTCCACATTAGATGAAGTAGCCTGAACCTGCGTGACCGCCAAAATTTAGAGAGAGCCTATAGACTAAAGGGAAAGTATCAGGACTCACCACGATATCTGGGGTCGATGAAGCACGTTCATCATGATGGACATTTCTGGGAGCAGGGCTGAGACTGCGGGAATCCTTGGAGCGCTTGTTGCAAGCTTAGTGGTGTTCCAGGACGCTCATTGCACACGCTCGTGGACTCACCGTGAAATTTTTCGCATCCTCCTTGAGTTTCTTCAGAAACCGACCAATTCTGCTACGGGGTCGATGCTAGACGAAGGATGTGTCGATGTCAGTGTTTGGAGTGGAGTGCACTCATAAGCCGCGTACCGAAGTTCCAGGAGCTGTCGCTTGACTAGATGTTTGAGTAGAATTTCTCAACGATGAGTTGCTTTTCTTCCGAGTCATTATAAATCCTTAGGCCTTAGCAGTGGAAGCGAAGTAAGAGAGGTGCCCAGTGCCCACATCAAACCAAACGCCACACACCTCGAAGCCATGTGTTGCAAGCAATCGATAATCGATAAGCATTTGAATTTCGATTGGGGCGAGCGCATGATCATGAGGACATTTGAAATTTCACGACTATATATATAAAATCTAGACGTTCAGGAAGCGACGCGAGGGTCCTCTTGACTTCTGAGATCTGCATCGATCGACGATGATCGATTAGGTCATACTATAGTATTCACGTCGGGCCTCCTTCTGATGTCGTATCTACACTTTACAGTAATCGTGCAGCAGAGAACAGAGACACCAAGTCTATCGTCCAGATTTCACGCTCCAACATTTATCGCTTTGGTGACCAAAACTTCGCAGCATCGGTCTTCCGTGATGTTGAATGGACTATTGATGAGGGTGATAGGGACAGGCTCGAAGCAAAAGACAGCCCTTTTGCAGGTGCGTCATACTGATATTCTGAAGTGTTCGCATTGACCAATTCACACTGCGCTTTAGACACTCTTAGGTCACCTACGCATAAATCCTTCTCCACCCTTACCCGGAGGACTATTTCCTTTCCTCTCAGACTCTCCACGCGACCCACACAACTGTGTGTCATTCGCGCATCGGCCGCGCGCAGCAGGTGCTGCCTTCTACGACTATACTTCTCGATACGGCGCAGTCAGAGAAGAAGACCGTATCACCCTTCGAGAAAGTACGTTTGGAGAACACGACTTTCTGAACATCCAGCCAAAAGGTGGAAAGGTGAAGACTTCCGTTGAAATTGCACAGGGCGAAGTGAACAAGGGCATCTTTGAGGACCTAACTGTCTTTCCTCCCTGTTGGATCTACCTTTGATAGCTTTATCGAATGGCCAGACGCGTCGAGCACGCATTGTGAAGGCTATTTTATCTGAACCAGAGCTCCTCGTACTCGACGAAATTTTGAGTGATTCAACTTAAATTCAACGAGCGTAAAGTCCAATGGCTGTACTTTATCCAGCCAGCCTTGATGTCAATACTCGCCCAATCAATCTTGCTGAATGTCCTTCGGTCACTGCACGAGTCTCGCAGTTCACGCACCATCATGGGTCTCTGGATCCAGGACCCTGTTCCTGACTGGATTTCGCACATTGCTCTAGTGACGGGCGAAACTATCCTGACAGGTGTCAAAGATAAAATCATGTCCAAGTATGCGGAACATCACGCAAAGGAAGTTGAGCATAGAGTGGCAAGCACCACTCAGTCATGTCTACAGTCTGGCCTTGATCATGGAAAGCCGGTAGTTGACATGAAGAACGTAAATGTATCACACAGCCCACGCAAGGTAACTACACTATTCTTCACTGTTTCCGTGTCAATGACGTTGTTTCGATCCAGGTGCTCAAAAATATCAATTGGACCATCCCGCTGGCACCTTCTGGCACGAATGGTGCGTCAACATTTGCACGAAACCGATACTTTACGATTCTGATCAGCTATTACAGGTTCCGGGAAAACTACACTTTCGCTTCTGACTGGCGACCATCCCCAATCTTACACTCAGCAAGGTGATTCAAATCTGGAGTTGTTCTCTCTGCCTTGGCAGCGTATCCCTACTCCACTCTTACGTTCGCTCATTGCCATAGTTTCACCGATAGCACCAAGTTCAGATAAGTTGTCACTCGCCGATAACTTGCTCTTTGCAGGGTTGAAAATCCTTGCTATAACTCGGCAAGCACCTTTCTGACAAACTTCTTAGCGCCGGCGATGTTACCAGCTCGCCTTATCTGGAGTGAGGCTCGGGAGACGCGCCCAAAACACTCTGAAATTTCGTTCTTGTACACTTCCGACGTAACTTACACTAGTAAGTACTGCGCATGCCATCTTGCTCACCAATATATTGATGGCACTACTACTAGTAATCGTCTGTACGTTGGCACAGCACCCTTTCTCGGATTAACCGGAAACCACCAAGGCTATGGCTCGTGATACCAAGCAGGGCTCATATAAGTGTTGCCCAATAACCAGCTCGGACTCGGAGGGCTCGCACTGGCAGCATCCAAGTCCAGAATTTGGATTGCTCTTCTATTTCCTCACCGAATAATTTAACCTTCACCACCTCACATAGCCCACTGACATATAGTTACCCAGATCAAGATTGTGCCGCTATGGCAAGTAGCTAGTACTTTTACGCTCTCCGAGACCTCCATTCAAGTACTAGTAACATTTGCCTTTCCGAGTGCGAAGGCAAATATCGGCACTTTACTCAGCATGCGCGATATTTTATTGTCATTGATTCATCATCCACATAAATATTCATGCAGAGCCCTACAGGAGCCATGGGTATAAATAATTCATGTGCTCATGGAACTCCAACATCAACTCGCATATCATCCTCATTCCCAGTAATCTCACAAGATGGTCAAGTTATACGGGTCTCCCACTTCCACATGCACGCGCCTCGTCGCCCTCATCTGCAAGGAAAAGAATATCCCATATGAGTTGATCCAGGTCAACTTGGCCAAAGGCGAACAAAAGGCCGCGTCTTTCACGGCGATCCAGCCGTTCGGACAGGTCCCATACATCGTGAGTTGAGGTCTCATGATATCGTTCGCTGACTTGCGCCCTCAAAGGATGACGACGGTTTTCTTCTATACGAGTCTCGCGCGATCGCAAGATACCCCATCAAGAAATACCCCAACCAGGGCAGGGTCCCCCTTGATTCCCAGCGACCCCAAGGCTCAGGCCCCTGTTTGAACAAGCAGCTTCGGTCGAGGTGTTCAACTTCACCAGTTTCGTACAGCCAATTGTCTTCGAAAAAGTGTTCAAGCCGTGAGTTATTCTCTTTTTGTTCCAGCGTAGCTCAGACGATTTCTCGAGGCGCTTTGGTCTGCAATCAAATGAGGAACGTGTTAGCGAGCTGTTGAAGACACTCCAGGAGAAGTTGGATGTGTACGAGGTTATCCTCAGCAAACAAAAGTACCTTGCTGGTGATGTGCGTCTGATTTATTTCTTGACGTCTTCTCTGGCTATGAACTAACAGTACCTGTTGGCTATTTAGTTTCTCACGCTCGCTGATTTGACCCATCTACCGTATGGCACTGCGTTTTACACAAATGGCTTTGCTGAGGTGTTTGACAGCAGGCCTAACCTTGCTAGGTGAGAGCTATGATGCCAGCTGTCGTGGATATGATTTGATCGTTTGACACGCAGGTGGTGGAAGGACATCTCTAACAGGCCTGCTTGGCTCGCCGTCAAGGATGGCGCGTAAGGTCTTATTCGAGAGGTCAGGAAACGTTCGGAAAGCAATGCAGTCTCGTTGTATGCAATATCAATAGAAGTTCAGTTTGATATTTGCTGCTTGATTCATCGCAAGGAGAACGAGAATTCCGCCACTCATGACTCATGAAATGGTGAGGATCGTGGAGGATGCATTTACAATTGGAAATTTGCGCACAACGGCAGGTAAGAATCTACATCTACGCGAGTCATAAAGTGCAAGGCGATTTTGGGGTGCTCGCCCATGACTCGTCTCTACAGTACATACTCAATGGTGCACTCTCAACGGTTCAGACTTCAGGGTGAGCGGCCGGTCAGTGTCTTTAGGCAGTGTCAGGAACATTGAGTAAGGTCTGGACATCTCGAGCGAACCAGACCTGTGACGGTCTGATTTTGTACCACCCTTATCAGTTTACTATATCCAGCCCTTCGCAGCTCACCTTATCTTCTCATATATTATACCGAGCTACATAGTACTCACTCATTTGGGGCAGAAAGGTATGACCTTGCCCATGGTTCATTAGGAACGCCTAAAAGACAGGGAAGGCCCAGGTCCTAGCAGATATGAACGCGGTAGTGCTTAATTTTGGGCGGCCGTTGTCCGACTATGGTACAAAGTACGTTCGATTCTGCGCCTTGGAACATCGCGATGGACGACGCATCAGATTTCATCCTCGAGAATCAAAGGCTTGAAATTACGCACGCGGTGTCTCTTCTCCAATTGAGTTCGTGGCTAATCTGAGACTGTCTGTTAATCCGAGAAAGTGTTGCCATCGGTCGCCGTGTTAAACGTATTTAGTACGATTTAGAAAATCTTACGAATCAACGGTTCTACTAGCAGTGAGGACTCTCCAGCGGTGCTATGGGAGTTTTGTACCCAAAATTGGTAGTGTCATGACTGGTATGCTTGCTTACTTGTGCTCAATTGAGATCGATTTCAAACGTTCAACTTGTATTCTCAACACAGGTCTTCGCTGGCATGTGAAAGCAGCTGGATTATATGTATTTTGTCGAGGAATATAAAACCTAAACGACTCCTTCGATGGGGAGTCATACGCACAAATACCGGCACTCCCAAGAATGACGGAGCCGAATGAAGCCAAGGTTCAAGTCCTCTTGGACATCATCAACTCCTCCGCACACCAAGCAATCGCGGAATACAAGAAAACCGGTCATGGAGTCCCTGCTATTGACGCAGATACCCTACACCCCCTCGACTTCGCGACAGATGCAGTTGCCCTCAGAAAGGCAATCAGGCTACTCGAGGGTGCATGCGAACAATTGAACACCATACTGGCTCCCCCCCAACACACGGCATATAATGTAAGTACCCATTATAGATAACCTTACATGCCTTGTTGCTCATCTTCGCAGTTTGTGAATAATTACAACTGGGCGTGCGTAGACGTCGCCTTGCAATCACGTATTGCAGACGTCTTGGACAAACACCCGCAAGGTCTTAGTGTGGATGCGTTGGCTAATGCAGTCGACCACGGTAAGACCAAGATCGCACGCGTCTTGCGAGTTTTAGCCCTCAGAGGTTGTTTCAAAGAAGGTAATATACAGAATACTTTGATTGATACTTCTCTCTGGAGCCTTGGATGTTATACAGTTAAGCGAGACGTATTCGCAAACACGCGACTCTCCCTCGTGCTCAAGTCAACAAACAACGTCGCGGCTTATATGGGACAATTCCCAAAATATGCTGCGGCTCTCTATGGGACTATGATGGACAAAGAGTTTGCAAAATCAGGCGAGGTTGAAAAACCCCCTCGAGCATCTAATGTCAGAAAGGAAGGCAAAGAGGACAGCTTCTGGGAGATGGGCGTGAGTTTTAGTCATCATACTGGCCTTTCATAGCTTACCATAGTGTGTAGGGTGAGAGACTCGATGTGCGTGAGGATTCAATATTCAATATTCATCCGCTCTTGACTGGCTGACGGCTCGCATAATCTGATACACAGATATTTCACAGAGGCATGGTGGGCTATTCTGAGATCCAGTGCTCGTCTGCGGTGTTGCATTGTGAGCAATCACCGTTTTTTCAACTGTCAGCACGATTGAAGCAGGCCATAAGATTACCCTTGGGACAATGTATCCTCTGTGGTGGATGTCGGATCTGGAACGGGAGCCATGTCCATTCCTCTGGCGAAAATGTTCCCTAATCTCAGAATCACCAATCAGGACCTCCCAGGAGCTTTAGAGATGGCAAGAAATGTGAGTTCAGACATCAGGTCCTCACCCAACGGACAAGTTATGTTTATATTTGATCAGATATGGGAGAAGAATGCTCCTGAGGCGCTGCTCGGCGGGCACATAGAGTTCGTGCCATTGAATTTCTGGGAGGAGTCACCCGTTGTCGGAAAGGATGTCTACTATGTAAGTGCTTGGTTTGTTCCCATTCAACGCGGGCTGCTCAATACTCTGACACAGTTGAGGAACATCATTCACGACTGGCCGGACAATGAGTCGATGATGATTCTCCATAATATTCGCAAAGTAATGGGACCAAACAGCCGAGTGTTGATTCGTGAGTCAACTGCTTTTCGAAGTGGTGTTTGCTCCAGAATCGATATACTGCGATAGATGAGTGCGTGCTCTTGCGCAAATTCGAAGAGCCTGATGTAGGGGCTAATGAGTTTAGTAAGGTGAGTTCAGAGTTTAGCTGGATGGCTCAAGTGCGATCATGCATTCAGGATCATGAGGCACCCGAAAATACATTATTGAATTTCGGCAGTCACACAACACACCAGCTTGACCTGCTTATGTGGCTTTCTTTCAATGGCAAGGAGCGAACCAAGAATGAATTCAAGATTATTGCGCAAGTTCCTTCCATGCCTGGATACGTTGACAACGTCTGATCTGTTATGATTTGCAGGGCCAGTGCAGGTCTAGCGCTCACCCAAATCTATGATCTTGTAGGGACGATGCTCTTGGAGTTTAGAATTGCTCAGGACTGATGCCGAGTACAATCTGTTATTGTACTTTTACCCTCCCCAATCGATCATCCTATGATTCAACTGCTATCTAAATGATTTGAAATACGACTCTCGTGATCACTATTGATCGATATTTACTGATCATTGTCGTCATTCGGCAAGCCATTACATATACTATAGCCTGAATATATGTCTTCTGCCTTACTCCCAACCCACTCAATGGTCAATTCACATGCAATACAACACACGGTCACTCGATTTTCTTTTGGGAGAGGACAAGTGGCTCTGTTCCAAGCGACGTCAAGTCTCCTGGGTCAAGCATCAATATTTTATCATCAACCTTGCATTCTGTGTGTGCACTGTGATCGCCGTCGTTTTTGAACATTCACCGAACCTGATACACATGGCTTAACCAGGCGGAGATTGGACAGGTTCAGTTTACGCCGCGTCTGATGTCCGTCTACATGTGTTGGTGATTATTCATTCTTCTAGCGAGTGTCTCAAAAAATTCATCCCACATTGTCAGTTTACGTAGGCAACAACCCGTCAGCATTCAAGAATGCTTCTTTTGAGTTCAACTCGTTGAACATCTACGAATGAAGCTCGCGTTTTACGTTGAATGTCGTACCCAACAGCCACAGAGTATCATTGTGTGAATTGTATTAACATCACATATATGCCCAGAAACCAGAATACTTACTGTTTTGATCCCTAAGCGTGATATAGAGACGAATTGCAGCAAGGTCGTCATTTTTTACTCGTACACACTTCAGATATATCGTCCAACACGACCATCTACTTCGAATTCACAAGAACGGTGAGACTCGCAACAGTGTGTTTCTCGTAGTGTTTTAATGTTTGTTTATGAAGCGAATCACATTGGCCCCACACTCCACTATCCTTACGCGTGTGCCTCGAAGCAAGGGCTCGTTCTCTGGTCACTTCTTGATCAGGACTATATGTTTTTACGGCCACCCTCCAATCACCGCCACAATACGAGGTTCTCTACAGATTCTGATACCGTTCTGGGGTGCTTGTAATTGTATAGGAACTCGTCATGGCCGTAATATGTGGGTGCGGGAAGCGCCCTTCAGTGCGCTGTTCGTGAGAGCATGCTATAAGCAGGGCTTACCACACGTGATTCCATGCTGCTTACGATTGGACACCGTACTGTTGTAACGTCACTTGTCTATATAGGAAACGGCTGCACCTATACACGCAAGCAAATGACATGGACATCCAATTAAAAAAAACAAGCCAGGCCATATACGCATTGTTCGTTGGTTCAAATAGGTCCGGCTTCGAAGAACTAGCTAAAGACAGGTGTTCCGCGAGCCCACAATTTGACCGTGACTCGTACTCGTCAAGATCTAGAGCCGATTCACATGCACACTCATCATGTTACAGTCATTGGATTCTGGACGTCAGTTACCATATCTAGCTAATAACGATCCTTCTCCGCAGGATTCTTCATGCACGTAAGCCACGAGGCGAACATGAACGTTTCGATATTCCTTGCATAAGAGTCTGTTCGCGATGTGGTACAGCACAGGGGTTTCTCCCATCTTTTGCATTCTATAAGCCCTCCCATATACTATGTCTTCCAGTACAGAGGTAAGCTCCGACCAAATTCCCTTGAATTGATTTTTGACAAAAAATATAGCGAAGGAGCGAAAGCGCCGATTCAAGGCGCACGCCCACTCCACCTCCCGTTGACGACATGCCCCTCGCCGCTTTTTTCGCTCAATTCGCATCGTTCTCCTTCGACGAGAGACAGCCCTCATACAAGAACTTCGGCCGCCTCGTCAAAGTCCTGAAATGTGACGTCAAAGATCCTCAGGGGCGCATAGCACTAGCACGAGAGGGATTCAATGACGCGCTCGTTCATGAATTCAATGTGCGTTTCGGAACTGATATAAACAACATTTCGAACTGGCAGAATTTGTACGGTGTGTTGAGGATTGATCCCATTCCGAATTCTGTCAAGAGGTGTCGCAAGGTTTGTGGATCATTGTTGTAGGCGAGTCGCAGTGGCTGAATTGCTTGTGTAGTGCGTTTGGGATATACATGTCAACCTTGTAGACCTGGTTGATTCACAGAGGACTGGGAAGCCTGTGAAACTGTTTGCATCCTTGGAAGACTTGAGAGCATATACTTTTCAGACGAGGAAAATATTTCCGAAGGAGACTCGTGCCTCTCAAGGCGGGTTACTGAAGGAGTTGCTAAGGGAGATGACAAGCGCGTACTTCGGGAGGCGCGGGCCCGGGAACGGGAGTGCGAAGAAGAAAGAAAGAAAGAAGAAACAGAAGGCCGCAAGGGCAGCAGCGGGAGGTAAATGAACGCGTGTTTAGTGGTGAAGACTGACTGGAGCTGTCCCTTTGAACTCGTTTCGCAACATTCGCTTTCATTATGTTCTTTGTACCACTAGTATGCGCACTATGACCAGCTGTCAACAGTTTGTAATTTATCTCGCAGATGAAATGCCGCCTATGCCAGTAGCCCAGTTTTTCTAGTAGTTGAATGTTGTGGAAGCGACAAGCTGTAACGCTCGTCAATAGCCATCGTCAAATATTGGCGATGGCAACCAATATTCTCGTTGTTACGAATGGCGGGAAGTGTGTGGATGGATTTGAATGTGTTTGCAGGGCCAGTGCAGGTCTAGCGCTCACCCAAATGCATATGATCTTGTAGGGACGATGCTCTTGGAGTTTAGAATCGCTCAGTACTGAAGTACTGATGCATCGATGCTGAACACAATCTGCGATATTCTGTTATTTTCGATCATTCTATGATTCAACCACGGCGCTATATATAATAATTTGAAATACGACTCTTGTGATCACTATTGATCGATATTTACTGATCATGTGTCGTCATTCGGCAAGCCATTACATACACTATAGACGCTAGTTGAACGTTGAACGTCGAGCACCAGGTTTGCAACTTATAAGTCGTGCAAATATTGGCTCAGCGAGGTTCAAGCCAAAACAAACATGGGGTTCCTCAGCGGGCTATCCGCTGTGCTCGCATTTCGCACACTTCCGACCACTATCCTCATAACGGTCATTTATGCGGCAGTCTTCAGCACCTTGCTAATAACCGACCAGCTCCCTTCTGTGCCCAAGCATACACGAGGCTTGGATTTTCAGCAGGCATACAGAGACTTGCACGAGGTGTGTTATCTTCATAGATATGCAACTGGTTCATTTTAGCTCTTTCAGGTGGCCGCTCGTCCGCATCCTTTCAACTCGCATGCCAATGTTCTAGTTCGTTCTTACATCTTAAACCGCGTGAAGGACATCGCTTCTTCCTACGACCATGTCTCCGTGGATTTCGACCTTTCTTCAAATGCGTCTTGGGCTTCAGGACTCCTCTCCACCAACCCTTACGCAGTATATTACGAGTCTGACAACGTATTGGTCAAGGTCGAGGGGAGTGATGAGGAGTATCAAGAGTTGGGCGGGCTTTTACTCAGTGCACACTGGGACTCTGTCAGTACCGCTCCTGGAGCGACGGATGATGGTATGGGCGTGGTGACGTTGTTGAGCATGGTGAAGTACTTTGCGGAGAACAGGCCTAGCCGGACGGTGGTGTTCAACATCAACAATGGCGAAGAGGACGGCTTGAATGGAGCACATGTGTACGCTATCATTTTGCCTTTTGCTTTGCACTCACTCATCTGACTGCCAGTTTCATGGAGCATCCGTGGGTCAATAGCACTGATACCTTCCTGAACCTTGAAGGTGCTGCGGCAGGAGGGTGAACGGTTTGATCAAACTGTGCTTTATTACTTTGCTGACTGAAATCCTGAAGACGGCCACTACTTTTTCGAACGACTTCTCGCGCTCCTCTGGCGTCCTGGAGCACTTCTCGTCCTCACGCAAATGTCATCACTGGCGATGCGTTTTCGCGTGGTGTTATCCGCAGTGGTACAGACTACTCGGTTTATGAACAAGCCGGACTCAAGGGGCTAGACTTTGCTTTCTACCGTGGGAGGAGCAGGTATCATACGAAGTACGACTCTATCCCTGGTATGTCTAGTGACAAGAGCAAAAACGCGTTGTGGGCAATGATGGAGGGAACGCTGTCCTCGAGTCTCGTGCTTGCAAACGATGTCAAGGGAAAAACGAGGGCCGAGTCCGTTGGACAAGGAAGTGAGCCAGTATATTTCGACCGTGAGTTCTTTCCTTGCTATTTCATCTGGCCGCATCTCTAACTCTTCTATTATCAGTCTTTGGTGCCGTTATGATCGTTTTCACATTCCAAACTTTGCAGATCGTGAACATCATCCTCCTTACCGTCGGGCCCGTCATTCTCCTGATGTTGGTCTACTTCGAGCATATCATCAGGGTCACGTCTCGTATTCGTTCTGGATACTATCGCACTGCAAATGGTGATACACACCGCGAGAGCTTTGTGGCGCGTGCATCGGCGAAAATAACACATTTCCTTAAAGACTTTTGGGTCTGGTCCAAATTCTGGATTGCTTTGTTGCTCGGTGTTGGTTTCCAGGGACTTTTAGTGGTAGGATATGCGAAGCTGAATTCATTCGTGAGTGTTTAGTTCCTCGTTCTCCGCACTCACTTGCTTATCGATTGTCAGGTCATTCACACTCATCCTTGGCTTGTGTTTGTGTCTGCATTATCGCTGGCTTATCTCACAACAGTTCTCGCTCTCACCTTCCCACTGACGAAGCATGGCGTTGTCCCTGCTCCGGAACAGCAAAAGCTGTCTATCCTTCTCCATCAGTATGTTCTGACGTGGGTGCTGCTCGTATACACAACATCAGCTGTCGCGCTTGGAGGAACATATTTCATAACTGCTTGGAACGCGGTGGTTCTCCTTGGAGCCATACTTGCATGTGTGGAAGGCATGGCTGGTGCTCGAGGATACGAAGATGAAGAAGAGATTGGAAGGCAAAGGCGTCAGGTGCGAGGTGTGCACTACGATGCCGTGGATACTGCCGAGAATGGCCACCATGACTCCGAGAACGGCGACCAGCGCGTGGGCGTCATTGAGGAAACTGAGCCGACAGAGATTACACCTCTCATCGCTCAGCATGGCCAACCCACGCCATCAGGTGAAGAGCAGGGCGCTATTGGCTGGTGGATTGCCCAGCTTTTGGTTGTTGTTCCGCTGCCCGTTATCCTAGTGTCTCATATCGCGGTCATTTTGCTCCTTGCAATGAACCAGACGCTCACAGATGGAGCCAGTCCTTCAGGTGGTGAGTACTTGACGGATTTCGTGTTGCATTGGTCTAGTGAGCTGACGTGCTATGCAGTTTATGCAGCAGTCTCGATGCTGGCGTTACTTATTGTCCTTCCCCTTGCACCATTCAGTATGAACATGCATCGCTGGCTCAACAGTACCATTCTCATCATCTTTATCCTGTCGACACTCTACACCTACCTTGCATTCCCATTCTCACAAGAAACACCGCTCAAGGTCTATTTCGCTCAAAGTGTGGACCTAGACACGTCTCGCGTGGTTACTGCACTAACTGGGCCTCGTCAATTCCTGTCGACCGCGATCATCCCCCGATTCCCATCTGCATTTGACCAACCCGTCAATTGTACAAATGCGCCAGACAAGCTCGGCCTGCAAACTTGTAAGTGGGAGGTTGGGGATGCGTTTGTGCCCTCTCCGGGTAGAAACAAGCATCATTATGGACAGGGTCCTACGTCCTCCCTGGAGAAGTGGGTGACAACATCCATCAAGCGTACGGGATCGAACAGCGCGCGTATCAAAGTACAAGGATTGAATACTCGAAGCTGCACTCTCGAATTCTCAGGCAAACGCGTAAAAAGGTTCAGTCTTTCTGGTGACGGCGGAAAAGGTCTGCAAGGAGGCTCTGAGGTACCTGAAGACGGGCTCGAACAAATACGACTATGGAGTCGGGATTGGGAGAAGGAGTTTGAAGTGGACGTTGATTTTGCTGGAAGCGAGGATGAGAAGGCTACGGGACGCGTGAGCTGTGGTTGGGCAGAGTATGAAAGTGCTACGGTTGGTGGGGGGCGTACTGGGGGCAAGATTCCGTCGTTGGAGGAGGTGCTCCTTTTCTTGCCGGAGTGGGCAGTCGTTACTAAGAGCTCGGCCGCACTATTTGACGCTGGATGGGAGTTTGAGGTTTGAATATGCAGAATCTATTGAATTTGAATTTACATAAACCTAATCGGGCTTAACGTCCTTTGGCCGTCATTAATTCATTATGAGCGGGTGTTCGGTATAAACGCTAGTCGAACCACAACCACACGCCACGTCGACTCAGTGAACGGGTGATAGGTAAGATTTACACGTCACAGGTCCATCAATCTGATTTTCCGCGCGAAGTTGTCGGTATAAAACTCCAAAGAAACCCACAATTCACTTTAACCAGAATGTTAGGTTTTCTTCTTGCTCTTCAGATCATCGGTCTCGTCGTGGCGGCGTCCTGCCGGACCTCAGACCCTTCTGAAAAATGCTATTTCAACCCTCTCCCTTCTATACCATCCTCCACTGCCAACCGTACCGTACCATGGGGCGAGCCAACGATCCAATTCGCAAACGGAACGACATGCTGTTCTTCACTAGACGAAATTCGAGTACAGTTGGACACCATTGATGTACAGTTGTTGCAGCTATTGTCAACAAGGTGCGGTCTAAAAGAGCTATGGGATTCTTCATATCACTGAGATTTATTCAGAGCTTCGTACGTCAGGGAAGCAACCCGCTTCAAGGCTACAGTTGCAGATGTCAACGTTCCGTCTCGGAATCAGCAAGTGATCCAGGGCGCTATTGATGATGCTCCATCTGTGCATTTGCCACAGATTGTCGCTAAGATTGTGTACGAGGGCATCATAAATTCCAGTGTCGTCTTCGAGGAATGCATAGTGAGTGCTACCCCCTATCTCAAAAGTTATTCGTTTCTGATAGTTCAACAAGTTCAATACCTACGCAGGGAATCACTGGAAAACACAACCAGTCTAGTTACGTGTATGGTACTTGTATAGACGTGCACGTCCAAGATAGGGTGGTGTGTGGGTTCGGGCTTCGTGGCGACCATTTCTTTTTACGACTACGATCACTGCATAATACTACTTGCTGCTCGACTTTTAAATTTCAGCCATGGATATGATGCCTTACGAAGGGTTGAACTATATAGTTCCAACAGGGGTTTGACGCGGCTGTGACGCACCTTGACGTCATTTTTAGCCACAGCTAATTAAAGGAGTCAAACCAGCTTCAACTTACTCGCACATCATGGAACCTCCTACTCCCATTTCATTTAGATTTAACGACCTTCCGACTGAGCTCGCCCTCATCATCTTCAAGCATGCGGCACAACCACCTTTTGCTCAATATGCGCCTTTCACCCGAGACCCATACTCATCCGCCCTTTCAATATGCCAGGTCTCCAAAATTGTCAGGCGCGCTGCGCTGCCTGAACTTCTGCACACAGTATTATTGTCGACACCTCCCGACCTACTCGCTTTCGTACGGGCTCTGCGTATGCAGAAAACATATATTGATCAACGACATGATCTAGCTTTTGATTACGCATCTTGCGTGCACAGGATGTCAATCGGACACTTTCGGGGGCCTTTGCAAAGCACACCTCATTCCTACTTTCCCCTTCCTATGTCCGAGCTTGAAGGCGAGCTCGATATCAGTCTGCTTGCTCCAGTCATTCTCGGTGCATCGTCCCTCGCAATCAGTTATAACCATCTGAATCTTCTTTCAAAATCCCTCAAACACGCGTGTAACTCCGATGTCGACTTGAATGTCGACCACAAAAATTCTTTGCTTCCTTGGAGCATGAGAAGTTTGACGTTATTGGGTAGGTTCTCTCATCCATGGTGGCCCTTCGTGGGGTCTGTCCATGGATATGCTTTCCTGACTTCCATCCAACACCTCACCCTACTCTTTTCCACATCCTTCCGAAAATGCCCGCCCTTCCAGTGCAACTGTGTTAGCGAACTTGAATTTGAAGATTCTATGTCCTACATGCATCCTTTGTGCATCGCGCGCGCTCCTTTCAAAGGACTGCAAACACTCTCGTTGGCCATTCCGCACATCAATCTCCCGCTGGTCGCTCAATGTGTACCCAAGGATATATGGGTGAAGTTGGTCACGTTCCCTGCTTCCGTGCTACCGGAGCCTTGTACACCAGAGGAAATAGAGCGGTTTATTAAGACTGGAGCAAAGTTTATTCCATATATTCCATTTCAAATTCCTTCACGGTCACGGTTGTTCCTTTCCCGCTGGTTGAGACATTTTTGAATCCTCACTGGCACGGGTGTCAGACAGACATACACAATGGGTTGTATTACGGTACATAATTTGAGCATAGTTGAAACTTTTACGACGATAGTACTTGCTCCGCAGTTATTCCTTGTCTTGCCAGCAACACGAAGGCTGATCACGGTGAAATTGGCGGTCCAGCACGGAAGCGTATTAGTCTTTGCCATTGCATAACGTTTGTCACGCTGCATAACAGCCTGCTCAGGCTGGACTGAGCCTTCGCATCGTCCTCTACCGACCTGAAATTTATGTACCCTTCTCTTGTTGGTTTCTGGTGAGAAATGTTCACAAATGGGAGCAAAAGGGCAGTTTGGCTTGCAACAGAAAGAATTGCATTGAAGTCAAGGTGAGTGATAAAGTCATATTCGCAGGCCTCCTTCTGATATGGTATTTACACTTTACACTGTACAGTGATCGTGCAGCAGCAAACAGAGACACCAAGTCTATCGTCCAGATTTCACACTCCAACATTTATCGCTTTGGTGACCCAAACTTCGCAGCGCCGGTCTTCCGTGATGTTGAATGGACTATTGATGAGGGTGAGAGCTGGGCTGTGATAGGGACTGGCTCGAAGCAAAAGACAGCCCTTTTGCAGGTGCGTCATGCGAAGTGTTTACATCGACGAATTCACATTGCGCTTTAGACACTCCTAGGTCACCTACGCATAACTCCTCCTCCGCCATTACCTGGAGGACTATTTCCTTTCCTCTCAGACCCTCCACGCGACCCACACAACTGTGTGGCCTTTGTGTCATTCGCGCATCGGCCGCGCGCAGCAGGTGGTGCCTTCTACGACTACACTTCTCGATACGGCGCAGTCAGAGAAGAAGACCGTATCACCCTTCGAGAAAGTATGTTTGGAGAGTACGACTTTCTGAACGTCCAACCAAAAGGTGGAAAGGTGAAGACTCCCGTTGAAATTGCACAGGACGAAGTGAAGAAGGGCATCTTTGAGGACCTAACTTCGAGACTAGGTCTTTCCTCCCTGTTGGATTTACCTTTGATCGCTTTATCAAATGGCCAGACGCGTCGAGCACGCATTGTGAAGGCTATTTTGTCTGAACCAGAGCTCCTCGTACTTGACGAACCTTTAAGTGAGTCATTGAACTTAAATATGTCGAGCATAAAGTATAATGGCTGTACTTTGTCCAGCCGGCCTTGATGTTAATACTCGCCCCATCTTGCTGAACGTCCTTCGGTCACTGCACGAGTCTCGCAGTCCACGCATTATTATGGGTCTCAGGATCCAGGACCCTGTTCCTGACTGGATTTCGCACATCGCTCTAGTGACGGGCGAAACTATCCTGACAGGTATCAAAGATAAAATCATGTCTAAGCATGCGGAACATCACGCAAAGGAAGCTGAGCATAGAACGGCAAGCACCACTCAGTCATATCTGCAGTCTGGCCTTGATCATGGAAAGCCCGTAGTTGACATGAAGAACGTAAACGTGTCATACGGCCCACGCAAGGTGACTACACTGGTCTTCATTAATATTATTTCCGTGTCAATAACACCATCGATCCAGGTGCTCAAAAACATAAATTGGACCATCCGCGAAGGCCAGCGCTGGCATCTTCAAGGCGCGAATGGTGCGTCAACATTTGCACGAAACCAATGCTTTAGGATTCTGATCAGCTATGACAGGTTCCGGGAAAACTACACTTCTTTCGCTCCTGACTGGCGACCATCCCCAGTCTTACACTCAGCGAGGTGATTCGAATCTGGAGTTGTTCTCTCGACCTCGGCAGCGTATCCCTACTCCACTCTTACGTTCGCTCATCGGCGTCGTTTCACCAGAGCTTGCGAATGCGTACCCGCGACGCGCCGGTGTTAGTGTGTTTGACGTCGTAGGCACGGGATTCGATGGTGGTTTCGTCCCTGGTGGAAAGGACGGCGTCGGGATAGGTCTAGAGGGTACACTCAGCGACGAAGTCAGACAATGGAGAGTGAAACGCGTACGCGAGGTCCTTAACGGCCTTGGTCCGACTTCCTGGGAGACAGAAACTGGCAGTTTCGCCACTGGCGATGAGTTGTTGGCACCGAACGAGGTATTTTCGAAACGCGATTTCGTCGACCTCTTCGCAGGCGAACAGAGTATCGTTCTGTTGATGCGGGCACTTGTGAGCCACCCTCAACTTGTTTTGCTGGACGAAGTTTGGAGTGGTATGGACGAAAATATGGTCCGTGCTGCGAGGCGCTATCTTTGCGAGGGCGGCGTGGGATCCGACCAAGCAGTGGTGGTTATCAGTCACTGGGAGGAAGAGGTGCCTTGGACGGTACAAGATGGTTTAAAAAGATTCAAATTAGATGATGGGGCAGGACAAGAGTTGTAGTTGTAGAACTCTTCTCCGGAAAGATCGAGCGCGTCAGAGATAGAAGGTATTGTTTACTTGATTCTTCGACACCTTGGAGGAATAAGCAAGCCACCCGTAGAATTCCCCTTTCCACTACAAAGTGAAATATACCATGCTACATTGCGGGATCTTCAGGCATGCGAATCATAAAATTTGCTCTCCCTTCCACGCCCACGATAGCGGTTTCTACTGTCTCATTTCGATCACACAAGAAATGATCTTCCTCCTTCAAGCCCTTATCATTTTGCGTTACCACGACTAAGTAGAGTTGCGCTCTGCAGAGTGAAAATATGAGGCAGGAAACACCCAACGCAAACGTCGGAAACACTAACACATTGACATCCAAGCGGAAGCTCTTGCATGCCCCGGCGAGAACTTTACCTATTCGTGTTTGGGGTTTCGCGCTGAATTGTGCATGCTGCGCGGAGGGTTTGTGCTGGATACTGATGACGAGTTTAGTTTGTGTGAGCTCAGGCGCTGGATCGGCTACGTAGATTGATGAGCAAAATATATGATTCTGCAAACAACGTACATTCCTGTGTCGCTTGAGGCTGAGACTCCAATCGCCCTGCCGAATTTGGCTCTTGCTTAACACGTTGGTCTAATGCTGTTGTGTGAGATATCAGACGACAAAGAAAGATATGCATTACCTAGTGGTTTATGTGCTCTGAAGAGGGCTGGGCCTTCTTGTGAGCTTCCAGCGACTGACGACACCCGTACGCGATGCGCAGGAGGAATTTCCTTTTCCTTCTTAATTGGCCGTTCTGTGTCTATATATTTCGTTGTCACACATACCTGTGTAGCAGATGGACAGTGACTCACCAGGGACATGCTGGCGTGTCTTGTGCACGAGCAGTAATCAGTTGGTCTCTAGTACTGGGGACCGAGGGATGAGGGTCACCAATGACAGCAGCCTTCTCTGTCTGCTGCAAGTCTGCAGTCAGCCTCGAGCTACGGTCAAGCGCCTTTGAACTATCTTCGTCGTCAGACGCAACGAACCATCGTCGGCGATGAGATGGCCTAGTCCGCACGGTACTTTCCTCAAACTCATCTGTCTTTTCGTTTTCTTCTTGATCCTCCTCTTTGTTCTCCTGCTCTTTCTCCGCTTCGTCCTCGTCCTGTGCTTTGTCCTCCTCAACATTGTCATTGACATCTGCGATATCACTGTGTTCTACCTCTTCAACTTCCCGTTCGTCAGGATCTCGAACTTGCTCGTGCACTCGAGTATCCTCATGTTCCTCTTCAACAGGTTGCGTGGCCTCTTCGGCGGACAGTGGATCAGGCATAACCTCCTCCAAGTACACCTCCAGACAACAGACAAGGTCCACCAATCCGTCTTCTTCCCATGCCTCTGTATCGACCTCAAACGTCGAGTCGTCCTGGAAACGTGTAGTGCTAAGGTTGCAGGTCGTTCGGAAGCGCAGGGATGAGAGTGGATGGTCTCGGATACAAAACTTACGGTGCGCAAATGATTGGAGGGACTGATATCACAGAAACAATTTAAAACTAACGAGAAAGGTTAACATGACACGTACTTTGAACTCGCGAACTTTGGATGCTGGACCCTTTGGCGTCGCCACCTTTTTATTTCCGTACGATATCGTTAAGAAACGTAGTGGTATGACGCTCCAGTCAATGCAGTTGTGAACCATTGTATACTGAGCTGGATTACAGGAACGTGATTACAGATGTAGAACAACGTCGAGAGAACACGAAGTTTCGAAACTTGAAATAAAGCGCGTTCAAGTTAATTTACGTGTCGCGTTCCTCACGTGCTTACTAGTAATGGTATATGTGTTGCCACGTGATCGAAACTCGCCGCCCCGAGGGCCTGGGGCCTAGCCCTCAACGTTGCAACTATCGACGGCTTGTCGACTCCAATACACACAAAAAGATATATATCTCACATACATAACGTTGTTGTTACCGACAAAATAAAAGTACACATTCCCCTCCTCTCCTGATTCCATCACCAAAACCACATCAAGGCAACGACAGAACAGTCTGCATAAATTGATCATAACTAATCTGCACCCATCCATCATTATCAGTATCCAGATTCTGGAACGCCCCGCTCAATTGCTTGATAACCACACAAGCGCGAACGAAGCGATCGAACGTGATGCCAGGAGTGGGACCATAGTTGCTAGCAACATTGGAAGCTTGGATATCTTGAATTAGCATAGTTTTAGCGGAGTGAGTTGTGAGATGGCAGCACCACTCGAATAGGGAGAATGGATGGGGGACATACCGTATTTGACTTGGATAAGCTTGATCAGGGGTGGGCTGAGATTGTACCCGAATCGACTGAGGGCGTCACGAAGCTCATTGCGGTCAATGGTGCCGGAGCGGTCTCTGTCGAAGTAGCGGAATACGTTCTGCCAGTCCTATTGGTCGTTCTTTTGGTAGGTTGTATGGGCAAAGCTGAGGACGTGTACGCACCTTGATATATTTCCAGAGTCCACAGAACTACTCTCGTTTAGATCGATGGGAAGATGAGATAAAATAGGGAAATCGTACTTCGTTGAACCCAATCGTTCCGCTCCGATCGACGTCCTATTGCAACCGATGAACAATCGATCAAAGGTACGGTAACAAAGAAGACACTCACAAACATGCCCATCAAGAGCTTCACAGTATCCAAATCAAACGCTACACCACCATCAGCTCCTATCCCAACCCAAAAACCCAAAAGCGAAAACTCACGAGTCCAATCTCCATTGATCAACGCCCTCTCTAATCACCCACGATCCCGAACAGGTCATGATCAACAAAAACGCTCCTCAGATTCTCAGAACAGACGCACCAAGCTCAATAGCAGAGATTGCGCCCGATCTGTCCGTATCGACAGCAGCGAACCACGACCATAGCCTTTTGTATCATATGTGCATCAGTCAAAAAACACCAATGATGAAGGGGGTGGAAATGAAGCGCTTGTAGTCGATGTTTATAGGGATCAAGACTATACTGATGATGAGAATGAAAATGAACGACACTCACTGAGGATCAGCACCAGGCGGAGGACCTCCCTGGGCCATACCTGAAGCAAACCCCCCAGGTCCTCCATATCCACCATACGGTGACTACAATAAGATAAGAAAAAGCACCTATAGCATCAACGCTTGATTCAGATTCATAGTCGCAAAAAGCACGCACATTTTGATATGACATGGCTTAATAAGTTCTGTGTTGTGTCGAAAATTCAATTTGTTGGTGGCTGATAAGCGTTTTTGGTAGTGATGTTGTGGTTGATAAGCAAGAAGGCTTCGTCTGGTGGAGAACAAGCGCAGCGCTGATTAATGGCTTCTGGCTTCGTGTGGCAGTGTAGCACAACGTCTGAATCGTACACTCATTGTAAGCGTTATCTTAGCGCCCTGTATACGGGGCCGCAGGTGTACTGGTACATACCCTCACGTACAAGTATTAGATGGTGATTTCAAATCGTTCATCGTCGTCGATGCATCATGAAATTCCAAGTACGACGCGAAAAAAAGAGGAAAAAATCTTCATGAATAACACATACAGCGCAATGTGTGCGAGCATCCTTGAGGCCAATGCACCCGGACGGTACAGGACGCCATGGTTTGTTCAAGACATCTTCATGGGCAGAATAGGATTGATTAGACACGCTGAATTGAAAGACATGGAACCAGAGCCAGCAGAAAGTATGAAATAGAGCTGGCATGTCGTAGTGAGGAGATACAACAGTTGCAAACATCATCTACCGCAAAAAAATCAGGTGCAGTGATAGTTATTGCCGAAATGAACACCACGGTTGCCTTGAAGTCAGATTTCGTGAAAAGCCAAGCGGTCTCGCGGTGATGCAGAGCACGGTGCAAAGATGTTGCTGCGAAGTAAGACATGAGTGATATGCAGTCTTTTTGCTGTCCAGCATCATTATATAGTTTTTAAGGACAGCCAAGCTGAATTTCTCGGTTCCAATCGTTTCATTTCCCATGAGGGATGACAGGCAGGCATGGATGACCCGAAGTTTATCACCAGTGTCGTATTGCATGCTGTGTTTACAGTCATACTAGCCTCGGTTTACAGTATTCATTGGGAAGGATATTACTCTCGGTAAAGTGGCGCAAATGAAATTCGGGTCCATTCAGAGGTGGGCCCGGGAGCTGTGCACGGGTGTCAGCCCTCAATAGCCACTCCGATATTGTTTGTGGCGAATGTACCACAGAAGATAAGCTTACGAAAGGAACAGCGTGGAGCGAGATGGTGTTCGGATGGACGCTAGTTCGATTGCAACTGGAACATATAAATGAACATTTCAATGTGCGCCGAGATGAGGAATGTTTTACTATACCAACCGACAGGCACTTGCACTACTGAAATTTGATTAAGTTCTGTGAATAGGGTTTCTTCCACAGCATTGATAGATCACTGCCAGATAGCTACAGTGGAGGATGACATAATCAGTGTCTGGGTGTCCCGGGTGTTTGAGTGTCCGACTCAGAGTTCGAGCCAACGAGCAAAAAGGTTACATTAGTGAGGATGGTTAGCATGATTCGTTTAACAAAATACCTGATTTTGGCTTATCTTGGTACATGTGATGCTCGAGAACCCATAAAACTTTAAGGTAAAAAAGTTTATTTGGTGAGTGGGCCGCCGCTCTAACCCTAACACTGTTACACCGCATGAAGTTCTATCGTCGTCGATCGGTCATCTGCATCAAGCTCGGGCAACAATACTGCATGTATGATCCCCTTCTGAGCTAATAGTCTTCATTCTTAGATCTTGTGACATCCAATTGCAGTCAATATCAAGCACGAGGCTTCCAGTTGGAGTGTAGCTTCAGTCTATATTTCCAGACTCACTGTATGAACTCTCCACCTTTCTTTGAGGGTTTATTATGTCGTCCATGGGGTCATAGGAGTGACAGCACTGGCATGCATCGCATTCCTGAGCATGCACGGGACTAAGAGGAGATGGCAGTCGTGAACCTAGATGAGGTTGCCTGGTTGCAGCATGCTGGAGATGCGATTGCGGATGCTCGGTTGGCAACTGTGGGTTGGGTGAAATGGCTAGATGTATGAGTGTAGGACGCACGAGTATGGTAGATAGATGCACAGTAAGATGAATATATATACGTCGATATCATCAGATTAAACATGCTTGGACAAAGTATAAACGAACGAACGCACCCGCTCATAGCACTCATGATTAGCATCTGCATTTGCATGTTCTGTCGGTATATAGTCCTTCCAGCGCAGAGATCGAGCAATGTACGACTGTACTCACCCAGCTTCGTCACTGGGTATACTGTTTGTTCAGTCGTAGTGAAGAGCCGTTGGTAGATGAGTAGTCGTTGCCGTCATTGCGATCGTCGAGCTCGTGCTGTGCGTCTCGATTGCAGGAAGATCATTCGAAAATCTGACAACTGAATATTGAGTGACGTGGTGGCACTGCAATAGGGCTAAATCGCTGTTGAAAAATTTGAATGGCGTGGATATGATAGCATCATGGGTTACTGAAGTCATGCAGGTGCTGCCGGCAGACGTTCGCAGCGAGCGCGTTGCAGGTCTGCATCCCAACCTGCTCAGAGAGTTGGATGTGATGCGGTCGGCACCGTCACAACGTGTTGATAAAGAAAAGTTAACGTACTAGTAAAAATGCGAGAAAGAGATATGTCTGGCGGATGGAAGCAGAGTTAAGGTGATCGAGTGTTGTTTCGAATATGAACGGGATACGCGGGAACATGATGGAACCTGCATCGGTGAGAGATGGCTTAAGGCTGAGAGGATCATTGAGGGATTTTCGCAAGCGGTGTCTTTTCTGAAGATCGTGTTATTATTGGGCGAAAGCAAGATGAGCTAGCTAGATAGTTAGTGGTGATTAGCGAAAATGCTAAAGCGGATTGGCATCACATGGAGAAGATAGTCAGGCAAACTCACTGAAACAGCACACCACAACTACGTCACTCCACTAGTATCCATCGTGTGCTTGTACCCATAATACTTGGATTAAAAATGATAGCGTAGGAATGGATGAGGCCTCGAAAAATGGGTACAGGTATGCTCGGAAGGCCATTATTCGGAATTTAAACTTCAAACAGGTTCGGACCAAATTCGGACGCGTCTGAACTAGTTCTTCCGACTCGAAGCTTCCGGCGAAGGCAGAACGGTTATCGACATATGTATTATCGATCAGTCGTCCATCCGCAGTTTCGAATTGATGCAAAGACGGAGGAGCACCTTGCTCCCAGTGCGGTTCAAGTGGGTGAGGAAATTTCATACAACTACAAAATCCTTAACACATTTGCAAAAATTAACACAGCGAGTGGCGTCAACATCTCGCAACGCCGTCGTCAGTTTATGTATTCGGCATACTGTGGCCACAAGTGCTACCTGCTAGCTATCGAGCAAAGCAAATTCAAAATTATTAAGCATGTAGAACGGATGGGCATAAATTGAGTGCACATATATCATACCAGCAGGTGACATATCACGAATAGGTAGGACGTTTCCTCTTATAACTGGATGCAGTCAATGATAATTTTGTGAGCTATATAAGCCCCCCCCCTCCCCCCCGCCATGGTCATGACGCAACGGGTCACTACCATGCCAATGCACGAAAACGCACATTAGCTGGCAAAAGATGGACACCCATTAACCATATCTGTAGAGAATGTTTAATGCCAAGTAACAGACAAGGAGATATGAATAGAGAATACAGACGTTGTATAGGCGGTAGTTTGACTCGTCACAAATCTTGTCGCGAAAGTAGCGAATTCCGACCCAAGAACCCATAGAAACAAAAAGAACGCTGGAGAGAGGCCCCAAACTCCAAAATGAGGCAAGCGCAAAAGAAGATAGCGGAAGTGCACAAAGCATATAGATACGAGATCCTTCCGGCGCTATAATTGGCAGAGTTCGTCGCCCCGACTTCAGATCGCCGTTGACGTCGGCAAAATCCTGCGCATGGATTGTCAGAAGTATGATAAGCGCGCTACAGTAAAGTGCTTTGATGCTCGTTCCGTCGAGCGAAGATTCCCTTGCTAGAATAGAGATCTTGTCAGTGACCTATTATCCCTTAAATGAAGAATGGCTTACACAGAATCAACAAAGAACCGAGTTCAAATGTCACATAACCTGCTGCGTTGCACAAATTCCTGAAAATGGGATGGTCGCCGAGATGGAGATCATCATGGACGATGATAAGCACAGCGAACACTGCGCTAGTTATGACGGCATTCAAGCTGAAAAGGGATGAAAGGCCCAGGCAGAACAACATGAGTCCCCAACGCAAGGCACGAGAATCCTTGGCGCTGATGCGCCCGGACGGTACAGGGCGCCATGGTTTGTTTAAGACATCTTCATGGGCAGAGTAGGATTGGTTAGACGCATTGAATTGAAAGAGATGGAACCAGAGCCAGCAGAGAGCGTAAGATAGAGCTAGCAGGTTGTGGCGAGGAGATACAACAGTTGCAAACACCATCTACCGCAAAAAAAAAATCAGCGTCGTGCAGTGATAGTTATCGCCGAAATAGATACCACAGGAAAAATTATTGTCTTGAAGTCAGATCTCGTGAAAAGCCAAGCAGTCTCAAAGTGACGCAGAGCACGGTGCAAAGTTGTTGCTGCGAAGTAAGACATGGGTGATTTGCAGTCTTGTGCTGTCCAGCATCATTATATAGTTCGCAAGGACGGCCAAGCTGAATTTCTCGGTTCCAGTTGTTTCATTTCCCATGAGGGATGACAGGCAGGCATGGATGACCCGAAGTTTATCACCAGTGTCGTATTGCATGCTGTGTTTGCAGTCATACTAGCCTCGTTTAAAAGTATTCATTGAGAAGGAAATTACTGTTACGGTTAAGTTACGTGTAGAAACTAGAGTAATCACAGTCAGCGATATGTGAGTAACAACGATAATATACCTCAACATGGTGGGAGAACAACGTTGTTTGTTTTGATGATGCGATTGCTTTGACCCCTCAAGGCGCCAGTCTCGGTGCGGTTGACCGCAAACGAAATTCGGGTCATTCAGAGGTGGGCCCGGGAGTCGTGCACGAGTGTCGGCCCTTGATAGCCACTCTAATATTGTTTGCGGCGAATGTACGACAGAAGATAGGCTTACGAGAGGTACAGCACGGAGCCATGGAATGGTGTCCGGATGGACGCTAGTTCGATTGCAACCGGAACATATAAATGAACGTTTCGATGTGCGCCGAGATGAGGAATGTTTCGTTATACAAACCGACAAGCGCTTGCACTACTAAAATTTGATGAAGTTCTGTGAATAGGGTTTCTTCCACAGCATTGATAGATCCCTGCCAGATAGCTACAGTGGAGGATGACATACTCAGTGTGTCCCGGGTTTTCGAGTGTCCGAGTTCGAGCCAACGAGCAAAAAGGTTACATTGGTGAGGATGGTTAGCATGGGTCCATGTAACAAGATACCTGGTTTGGGGCTTATCTTGGCACATGTGATGATACAGAAACGCGTTCTCGAGACTAGAACCACGCAGCTTCATTCAGTCAACTTGAAGTCAACGTGTTTGTATGTATTTGGTGAGTGGACCGCCACCGGTGCCTGCTCTAACCACTGTTACCGTCTGCGTGAAGTTCTATCGTCGTCGATCGGACAACCTCGTCGGCAACAATACAGCATGTATTATCTCCTTTTGAGCTGATAGTCTTCATTCTTAGGATCCCATTGCAGTCGATATCAAGCACGAGGCTCCCAATTGGAGTGTAGCTTCAGTCTATATTGCCACAGACTGTCTATGGGGCCTTTTGATAGACACGAACTTTATATCCACAAGGTGATGCCGGAAAAACCGAAGGGCCATTACAAGTTTGGTTATCGCCCTTACGAGGCAGGCCCGAGCCGGACCCCGTTATTGGCCCGAGTGGGCTAGATAAATGTCAACAGTAAGGCCGAGCCACGGCTTTGGCTCACGAAGATTGATCGGCCTGTCGATGACCGCTCACCCTTAGACACATCGCCTCTGCTTACCCACAAAATCTCCTCGATCGAGGATGTAAACTCTTACTCGGTTCTGACTGTGTTCGCGGAAACTCCGCACAATCCCTCCCCCTCTCCGAGTGTCTTTCGATTTTTCTAGATGCCTCTACCTTGTTTATTGGTGCCTTTTTGTGCTGTTAGTTGGGCGTAGGGTTGGAGTCTTCCTCCCTTCAGCATGTACCTGGTCACGGGCCAATCATCCTGAGGACGGATTTGTCCTTGTCCTTGCCCACACCCCAGGAAGGCCTTTATGATGTCTCCCTCCTCATCTATATCCTCTTTCTTCGTTCCCTTACCACGCCAAAGCCTAGAAAGTACTGTTCCCGAATCCCGACTCACTTTGTCTCCTCCACTTCTCCGCTTTCAGCATTTCGGGCCCGGTGGTCCTTCGTATAATCCGCCAGTAATCAAAAGATCTTTGGTGGGGGATCACACAAGCGACCTTCCCTAGCTGTGACCGAGATTGTTCCTAAAGGAAATATCATAGTCACAACTGGGAAAAACAGTAGTTGCCCAACTCCCGCATATAATCATATTTTCGGCCTGTGAAAGCGCCAGCGCCCAAACGCTTTTACCCTCGCATATTCATGGTTCCCCCTGCAAGAAGTCTTGTGTCGCAGTTCCACGACGAGAGTGACTTACAAGATGAGACACGACGAAAGAGTGAGTTCACAGATCGAAAAGACAAAAAACGAAGTAGGACTCGAGCGAGGAGTTGAAATCGGAAACGACATACACAGCATCGACATTCATTCAGTGGAGCTCGGATGAATAGGGCAGGTTAGTAAGTAAAGGCTGTTATTATTTCCCGATCTGACAGAGCAATATCATATACTCTTGCGGACCAGATCAGGCTAATAACATCGTCGACTACATAATTGGCTAAGGACCTATCCGACTCCATTTGCGTGAAGCATTTTCCAATGACGCTACCAGGTTTAGCCTGGGCTGTGCATACAGAATATCGCACCTTTCTGGCTAGTGAGCAGGTGCAGATAAGTAACGACCTACTAGATTTCAGACATAAACTAAAAGGCTAGGGTGCTAGTACGTACTCTGGAAAAGCAAAGAGATGGGTAATGAACAACCCGACTCAGTTGTTTAAACGTTTAAGTTTTAAGTGCGAAGCTTTAGGTGGCGACTACCGTGTAGAAAAATCGTCACTGTTCACATTGACGTCCTGTTCGTAACCAAGAGGTTTGCCGCCGCTGTTCCTACTACTCGGGCGGGTCAGAAGCAAATTTGCAGCTGACGATTTGGAGGTGTGCAAGGCCTTGTTATTACCGTTACAATCCATGTACCTTGTTCTTGTCAATGTTTGTTACCTATGTGGAGAACCGCGCCAACTTGAATGCATCACTCACAAAAATTGGCCTAGACTACTACATTCACCTAAAATGAGCGTTGTACTCCGAATGTCAATGGTACATGTATACTGTTTTCATGACTTGTACAAAAACTGGTACATATGTACATATTCGTGAGTGTACAATTCTATATAGAAAGCAAGACTCTTCCTTCCATTCTGGTCTGACTAGGCAAACTAGTACTTAATATTATACACACGACAGCAGAAGTCAAAAACGTTTTGAGTAGGAAAAAGGAGAAGCATGATGCGCGTTTCCGCGGGAAAAAAACGCAGCTTCACACGAAGCAAGACATAGACAATGATGTAACTTTCTATAATGGTAGTCATCGCAATGAGAATCGTGCATCACAGGCAAGAAGGAAACGGTCTTACATACAGCAATAGCTGTGGATTTCACAATGGTCGCTTGGGAAGCAGCTTGACAATTCTGTTCTGCTTGACGATATGCGCATCCTTCCCGAAATAGCGGGCGGACTCAAAGGACCACTGCAGCGTACCGGTAATCCAGTTCTGCAGTCCTTCGACGTACTTAGCCACATCCTTGTCGACTTCTTCTCCCCACGAGGGGAGAACAGCACGGGTTTCTTCGAAGCGTTGGAGGGAGATATTGCATAGCTGGGCGCAGTAGTCAATAGCGCCTTGCAGGTCGAGACCTTTTTTGACAATGAGCACAGCAACCAAATTATGGGTGCTATGACGAGATTGCTCTACGTTATAGGAGAAAATATCCTGTCAGCAGCGATATCAGTAGTGCCCCAACTTCGACGACAGAATGAGGTATTACATTTGACCAAGAAATGAAGTCATTGGCAGCCTCCTCCAGCGCCATGATGACTGGATGCGAGACTACTTCGTCGGGAAGATCAATCTGACAGGCGAACTCGATAAAGGCAAAGCAAGGCTTGCAGCCGCTCAAGTTGCGCCTAAATTCGATGTAAGATTCAACATCATCGATATGTCCCTTGACGCGGTTCTCCGCCTCCTTGGCCGCGGAGATAAACCATAAGTCCATTGTATGAATAAAGCGCTCTGTGCAGCCAGGGCCGCCAGTCTCCTTAAAGCGACTGAAGTATCTTAAAACCGTGATATGGTTAGAACGTGTGCGCGACGAGAAAAAATAGAATAGACATACGATTTGCACATCTTTCCACTAGGCCTTTCCGTCTGGAAGTTGACGGGATCGCGGTACGCAGATATGCAGCAGTCACGCATTCCCCATGCATCATTGACATCGAGCGACCTTTCGATCTCGAGCCAGTCATCCAATTTCCATGACCAGCCCAGGAAGTCCGCGCAGACTTGGAGATGGAAAGCATCCGCATCAGGGTAACAAGATGAAACGAAGTAACCTGGGCGCAATATCGTAGTATATTTGGTAACATCGGGCTCTACTAGATGGCCTTCGCTACCAAGCCATTGTGCACAAGCGCGAGATACTTGATCACAGTGAGGGTTTAGTCGCATGGGGTAGGGGCAATTGCTGAAGAAGTCAGGTAAAATAAACTCTGTGGGCTCGGTGTCAGAAGGAGTGACGGTGCAAGTTGCGGTAGAAGTCATGGAGGTTGTCAGACTCGTGAACGCCGAGATGAGGGAATGGAGAAATCAGAGACCCGAGTTATGAGACAAAGACTCTGAAATATGTCACTCTTTATACGATGCCGATCTTGCTAGCGGATGTGTCGTGTTGGCTCGGACTACTGCGTGATTTTTGAAATAAGACTCTGAAATATGTACTCTTTATACGATGCCGATCTTGCTAGCGGGTGTGTCGTGTTAGCTCGGAATACTGCGTGATTTTTGAAATAAAACTCTGAAATATGTCACTCTTTTACGATGCCGATCTTGCTAGCGGGTGTGTCGTGTTGGCTCGGAATACTGCGTGATTTTTGAAATAAGGGTCCACCGGTCAGATTGAAAGAAAGCGGGGGTGTAAACTCACCTGTTCTATGTGTCACCTGTGACTAGTCCTCGAATTATAGCAAGGTTTGAATCGCGCAGGGTGAAACATTACTGAGTGTCGCCCCTGCAGCTTTGATATCGCTAACAAAAGTATCAAACTCGCGCTATTCCATAGGTAGGATGTACAAATGATGACTTTTCTCGTTAGTGTTGTTCGCAATTGTTTCGTATGAGTAGATCTCTTCTATGAATATGACGCTTACTTCAAGCATTTTCCTTCTGCATTCCCCTTCCGAAAGTCATTCGTGATAGAAATAGTCAAGATGATCAAATGTCAAACACGAGGACAACGAACTTGGTACATCTGATCATTGACCTGCATGTAAGTTGAGATCGACGGACCCAAGACGGACCCATCTAAGATCTTCAAGTTGCGTGGGAAGGGTAGAATTGTTCCGCCATAGCTCGGAGAGTCGGAGACTACCGCTCAGTCATAACGCCAATAGGCATCCAGCAGTGAGCACCGTGGCACGTCTATCACAGTACTTGCTATAGTAACACAATGACCATGCAATACGGCGCTGCTATATAGCTGTTGTCCGGTCTTAAAGGTCCACTTGTCATATATGACCCTGGGGATCCCCGGATCAAGATTTGTATGACATATGCTCTATCTTCCTCCATTTATGTAATAACTCATCTGTATACAATGCATTGGTTCATCTGCTCATCGTTGGACTGCCGATTCAGACAATTCCCCAAGGTACCTCAGTGCGTTCATGAAGAGATTACCAATGCTGCAGTACCGACATAGTCGCAGTACGACTAATGAGTCCTAGGCCTGACCGGTGACCCCCTGTGGTTGCTACGGAAGCTGGCTACTAGCATGCTGTTCCCAAGCCGACACTGGTGTCATAAAATAGTTTCGACAAGTATATATCTGGTATATGAGGTTGTAAGCGTTATCTTAGCGCCCTGTACGGGGCCGCAGGTGTACCGGTACATACCCTCACGTACAAGTATTAGATGGTGATCACGATCAAATCATTCATCGTCGTCGATGCATCATGAAACTCCAAGTACAACGCGAAAAACATGACATGCCCATAGTATAGCTAGAACAAACGAAACGAGAAAAGCAAACAGATAGCCCTACAAGAAGCATTGATTTGAGTGCTGGTAAGAAAAGCGAGTCAGCATGTGTTATTCACGAAGACGAGGGTGACTTACAAGGTGAGACACGACGAAAGAGTGAGTTCACAGATCGAAAAAAAAAACAAAAAACGAAGTAGGACTCGAGCGAGGAATTGAAATCGGAAACGACATACAACATACGAACAAAGGACATATGGATGTGGTGATGTGAGCTTGGCATGTGCACTGAGCATGTAAAGTGGATCAGCTGGGTGCATATATGCACTGAGCGAGCCAAGTAGACGTGTTGGTTTGGGTTGTTGAAGTAGTTGATTTGGTGTGGTTTGATTTGAGTGAGTGAGTGATAAAGTGGTGTGGCGTAGTGTAGCCATATGCCATGATGTGGTGTGTGAATGTTAGCTTGCGGATATAGTGTATAAATGAGAGCGCGACGTCGGGAGTGCGGCGTCCACGCTTGACGCCCTGTGCAGCGTCTGAACCAAACGCATCGAGCAACGTCCACCGAATTTCCCTGGTTGCGATGTGTAGCTTGGGAATCCACCATGCGTGGTTCGGGAAATTGCCATGCGTAGTTCGGGATCTCCCCATAACCTCGAGCAGCGAGATCACCTGATAAGCCTCCCATAATCCAACCTCGTCTCCCGCTTCTCCCCGCCCTCCTTCTTCGGAAACGCATTCCAGAACCTAAGCGTCTCATCCCCAGCACCCGTTACGATCGTCTCACCTAGAAACATGAATCAGCGTCTCATCCCAGCACCAACCCCGGCACCCGAGCATCTCCATCTCCAGGGCCGGACCTGAGTGACATCAAAGAAAAGCCGACTCACCATCTGGGCTCATAGCAAGATACAAAACCCGATGCGTATGCCCCGTCAAAGACGCCACCATATTCAGCGTCGGGTATTTCCAGATACAGATTTGGTTTTGGGCTGTGGTGCTGCTGAAACCATGGGTGCTGACGAGTTCATGGGAGGTTAGGGACCAGATAAGGTTGCAGACCTGTGTCAATCGAAGTTTAGTTTTTAAAGCGGAGTGAATAGAAATAGGCAAGGAAAGAAGGGGGAAAAGAAAAACACACCTGACTCCCAGTATCAAGCTCACTGAGCATCGTCCCATTAAACGTATTCCAAAAGCGAATATGTTTATCCTGCGTCCCTCCTCCAGTCGCAAGCACTCCGCTCACGTGTGGATCCCAGGCAAGTGCTTTGACTGCTGCTGTGTGTTCGTGGAATTTCCAGAGTGGTGCATCTCCGCTTCCGCTTCCTCCTGCATCTTCCACACTCCCTGATCCCGACGTTGAACTTCCAGCAACAGAAGCACGTTTCGAACCTCGTAGATCCCATATACACACTTTGTTGTCGTTCCCCCCACTTGCCAACGGCCCCCCATCCCTCGCCCATTTCAACCCACAAACTTCCTGTCTGTGCCCTGCACACCGCTTGAACGGACGCTGAGAGGGCTCTCGGACGTCTCGATGGTGCACCATACGGTCTCGCGATCCCGACGAGAGGATATGCGAATTCCAAGCCAGAGCACCGATGCGTTGAGTGTGGGCATTCTTATATAAGCGTTGTAGTTGGAGAGTATTAGCGTCGTAGATGTGCATTCTACCTGAGAGAGTTCCGATAGCAAGCAGCGTACCCTATCAAAGCATCGAATCAAGAATGATTAATTAGAAGGGGGGGTATACGGACCTTTTGGACCCATGAGACAGAGCTAACTGTATCGTTTGAGCCTGCTAGATCGCATAGTTTTGAAACTGCTGCGTTATGTGCTGTCCATAGATACACACAGCTGCCTAGTCCAACACCAAGTACATTCGTATTGCTCCAATCCACGAGATTGAGGTAAAAATCATCTGCCAGTTCTGGTGCGTCGAGAACGCGATAGGGTGTTTTGCAGACACTGCGGAGTTGTCTTCGGGGGGACTCCAGGAGTTGTCGAGATTCTGCTCGGACGGGACTCATGGAATAGGCCTCGTCAGTTGGGGTGTCTAGTCTGCGAGTTGGTGTGCTGGGGTTTGCTGATGTCGCCGGTGATGTGTAGTGAAATATACGTTTACGGGTCGGTGTACTAGGTGGGAGGGTTGTTGTTGCACTTGAAGAGGTTGTAGGTCGCTGGGGTGAGGTGGGTCGACGTGGGGAAGGGGGGGTTACTTCTGTGTGGAGTATGGATGTAAATATTGCGTTTGCTTGTTCTACAGACGTGTTAGCTGGCCATTCCAAGTACCACCAAGGTGACTGACCCTTCAATGCATCTGATTCTGTTGGTATAATTCGAGATTTTGAAGGAGTTGAAGGACCACTTTCGTCCATCAAGTGATAGCTCGTTCGCATATCTCCAGCATCCCTTGAAGGCACAAATCTGTCCCCATACATTTCGCGCATCGTAATAGGCGACTCTGGCGTCGCGTCCTTTGTTGTCGAGGATGTGGCGGTATAGAAAATTGGGTTGACCCGCTGTCGGTTTCTTCGTGGACCGTCTTCTTCGTTGTCTTGATGTGTCGCGCGTAGTCGCTTGCCAAAAGGGGAGTTTTTGAGTCCGGACATTAAGCAATTGGCTTGATCTAGTCAACGTGATCGTCAACGAGCAGGGTCCACGGCGAGCATCCAACAACCCCCAAGGCTTGTAGTAGTCAAAACCCGAACACAAGGCACAATCAATTCAGGTAAAATTACATAATCAACTCAAACAGCGGAGTTTGAACGTGCGCCCAGTGACACTGTGAGGCCGCTACTAGGCTATAATACTATCCACCTGTTATCATCAAGTACTGTTGCGCAATGCGGACGACGTCGTAATTCAGGAGGCAAGTATTAAAAGGAGTCAAACCAACTTCGTCTCTTACTCGTACATCAACGTATCAACCATGGAACCTTCCAGCTGAGTTCACCCTCATCATCTTCAAGTATGCGGCACAACCACATTTTGTTCCCATGATTGAACTGATTAGATAGCACTGAAAGTGGCGTACCAGTTTTGTGTGGGCTTGGACAGTTGGAGTCAGATAGGGAGCCTGGACTGAGACGATTGGAGTGCATGTACAGGCATGTGGAGTACTGTACTTGGCCGAATACTTTCAAAGACTGACGCAAAAAAGGATCGATCTAGACCATCGGTTATGATATTTAGGACTCACCGGTCACCTATAAATGTCCTTCTCGAGGTCGAAGCTGCGGCGATGTTCGGATGTTGACTGTGCATTCTACCAAACTCCACACTTGTATGGAGTTGGTAGTCTTAACAGCCTCAATGCTAACTAGTAGGGCGGGTGTTCTAGACTCTACGTCATAAAGAAACCAATACTAAACAGTACTACAGCAATGTGCAATATCCCACCTTCCTTAAGTGCTTCATGACCGGGCGATTCGTATATAAGGGAGAGAGGTACATCACCTCCTTCACCTAGTACCTTTCGTTCAATTCCTCCACCCCTCTTTCCGTCGATCATATAGTTCTTATCCAAATGTGGAATGCATTGACCTCTTTCACTTATTCAAGGAAACGCGGCGCATCATCGAACAACTGCTCCCTGACACTCATAATACGGGAGTGGGATACAGTCCCTTGGAAGCAAGTCAGACATCCCCTTGTGGGCACACTCATCGTTTCTGCATCTTCTGACAATCATGCTTATCTTCGGCGGCTCTCAGATCGAACCATCATCTCCTTCCAGCGCTCAGCCTTGTGGACACCAAATGTCACTATCTACGCACTAGATAGCGAGCGCATTCTGAGTGGAGGTCAGAATGAGATGATATCAGATTGGGCAGTGCCAGAGGATGCTTTGCCAGTGAAACTGGCATCAGTGGCATGTTTCCGTTGATTCCCTGCCCTTTTACCATCTCATCTCGCTACCAAGGCCCAAGTTTCTATTTCAAAGGTGTGTTTCTGTGCTTGACTCTGATAACACGAATCGAGCGTGCTTCGTGACACAGATTCTCGCACTAAACACAAAGCCCGTCATCATACAGCCCTCTTTAACCCTGAATTCTACGAGCGGCACCATATTTGCAAACCGCAGCAAGGCAAAATTGGATCAATTGCTATGGGAGGAAGCCCTTCTGGATGCGCAAAAGGTACAATGACATCTGCTCAGGTAGTGTATTAACTGACGCCTACTTTGGTGGTACATAGGTCATTGAACTCGAGCCTTTGTCTCATGTTGGACATCAGTTGAAGCACATGGCACTTCATGGCACACAGCGCTATGTTGAAGCAATTGAGGCCTTCCAGATGATGCTCGCAAAATTGGCTAGTACTCACAGCATGCAAATATGAAGTAAGTTCTATGTAACACATATTTTCAGATGCTCAACTCTTTCCTCAGAGCTGCATGGCAAGTCTGTCAGTCCTTCTGAAGCAGATGGTGCCATTTGAAAGGTCATAAATGCTCAGCTTGACCCTGCACCACTTCACCTGCTTGACACGACTACCAGGATCTTATGTGATCGAGAAGCACAGATAAACGCCTTCAAAATGACCACAGAGTACAAGCAGCTTCGATTATCTATTATGAAGCATGCAGACCTCCCGATGGGGCATATCACAGACATAGTGGCGATGTACTTCCGTTATGTCATGTTATCCCATCGATGGGGTGAGAACGAGCCGCTGTTGCATGACATCCAAGACAAGATCGTGTACAAGCTGAATGCAGCCGGTCTCATCAAGTTGCAGTCATTTTGCAAAGTTGTTCTTCAAGCAGGATTTCACTGGGCCTGGGTTGACACGTGCTGCATCGATCAGAAAAACCATGTCGAGCTCCAAAAATCACTCAACTCCGCATTTGCCTGGTATCACAATTCTGCGCTCACGGTCGTCTACCTCTCGGATGTTCCGTCTTCGTCCAAGGCTGGCGCACTGGCTAAGAGCGCCTGGAACACCCGAGGATGGACTGTTCCGGAATTCCTCGCTCCTAAAGTCATTCACTTCTACCAACAGGATTGGACTCCATACCTCGATAATCTCTCTTTCAACCATAAGGAGTCTGTGGAGATCATGCACGAATTGGAGGATGCGACAGGCATAGATGCATGCACTCTTGTTGCCTTTCAACCAGGCATGAAAGATGCCCGAGAGAAGTTACAATGGGCGTCTACGCGTGTCACCACTGTGCCAGAAGACATTGCATACTCATTGTTTGGTATCTTTGGCATCCAGTTACCCATCCTTTATGGCGAAAATGCGCAAAATGCACTCGGGCGACTCCTGCAAGAGATCGTGGCTCGTTCATGGGACATCACTATCCTGGACTGGGTTGGACAACCATCCAAGTTCAATAGTTGTCTTCCAGCCGACATCACCGCATACGCAGCTCCGCCATGTGTCCTACCATATTTATCTGAAGATGAGATCCAGACCGCAGTTTCTTCGCTACGACACACTGTAGCTATGGATAAAGCTTTGAAACTTTACAACCAGCTTAACAACATGAGCTATCCTGGCTTTGCAAATTGCAGGCTGCGTCTGCCTTGCATCATATGATCTGTCACTGAAGTCAGGCGGAGGCCTGGTGCAGCCGAAGGGACATTGTTCTCATACGGAGTCAAAGCAGACACTTGATGATCTGCTGATCACCACCGAAGAGAGGCTTGCTCAATTTTCGCGGCTCAGACCAACTCAACAAACATTCTTACTTGTCTGCCCTTGGGATCGTCGCCTCCTCGAGCTGCCCGACTTCACAGATTCGGACGATACACAAAGCCCAGGAGGTTGGTCTGAGCTCGAGTCTCTTGACAGCTCGCCTGGAGAAGAGGAATTGACTAATTCGGAATCTTACTCACAAGCATTGCGATTGATCGCTCGCCTCGGACAGCCGTTTGATGCTTTTTTGCTGGCCCAGCAGCGCAGTGGAGCATACAAAAGGATCACATCAGATTGTGATATCATTGCTCAAGTCAAAGACATGACCTCTGTGCACAGCATGATGGACATCAGGGGCCAGGTGAAATTGATGCGGCCCTGCCGCGCCTGCTGCAGTCGTGACACGCCTGTGACGTGGCACTGACGCGGCACTGTAACAAATTCTTAGGTACAGATCATGTTCAAACAACTTCATATTGTTACAGTCATCCGTAACACCTACACCAGCCCCTGCTCTGCTAGACTCCCGACGTGGCAGCACACCGCCTGTACTTAGAAAGACAGCGGTCTGGACCGCTGTGACACCGCCCCTGGCCTAGACGGCCTTGTACCTGACCCATGGAGGCTGTGCGCCTCATGGTCACCCTAGATCAGCGCATGTATCCCTCATGCCGCTTCATGAAGATCCGGAGCGCCTCTTGGCACCTCATGTACTTAAGCGCAGTCGCATTTGGCGCTGCATGCTTGATCAGAGGTTATACCTCATGTATCTTATCTGTCCTCATGGACTCTTATCATAGATCCCAGATATACTATAGATACAGACTGAGCTTGAACACTTACATGTAGCACATATAAGTAGACAGATTATTGTACTGAGATCGTTACTTTAATCTACTTGGTCCAACCCCAGAACTAGCCTTGTCTAATACACTTGGTTTTACTCTGAAATCTGCTCAATCAAGTCCTCCAACTTAGTTGTCTAGACCACACTTCTAAGTCGCTCCCCACGCCTTAGCCGTATCCGCTAGCCCTGTATCTCGATGAGCACCGTCTTACCGAGATAACTGGAGGAATCCTTGACGTTCCGTCAAGTCGCCGAACACCCTCAACCTTGGTGGGCTCACTCGAGCCGTCGTTGAGAAGACCTATCCAAGTTCACACACGCCGACCAACGGTCAGCGTAACACATATGTCATTCCAAACACTTTGAATCTTCATTAATGATCAACATGTGAGTGTCTGCCTGCATACAGGCTCTATAGTGCTGTATTCACTTCTCACCAAATTTACAGTGCTTGTCCTCTGTGTTCCCACTACTAGTATGCATCTTGCACATCAGTCCTGTATTGTTGTATTACCTCTAATGTGTTCATCTATGTTGGTTTTCAGATGCAGTGTCAAGTGTTGTCTCACTGCATCAAGCCTCAACGTCACCTGTCAAGTTCAATCTACTCTCTATACTCTGCACCACCACGTCAAGCTACTCAAGCCCCAACCATGGCATTGCCAGAAGCCTCATTTAGGCTGGGTCAAGCACCACTCACACCACGACAAGTTCTCCAAAACATCTTCGCAGTCTCTGTACTAATATCAACATTCACACTCTATGCCACGTCAAGGCCTACTATCAGTGCCGCGTCAACCATAGCACATACTGTGTCAGTGCCGTGTCACATGCGCGTCAGTGCCACGTCAAACCTTATCCATGCCGCATCACTGCCGCGTCAACCTCGTCACTGCCACGTCAAACCTCATCGCTGCCGCATCACATGCGCGTCATGCCGCATCAAACCTCGTCACTGCCGCGTCACCCGCATGTCACGCTGCGTCAAACTTCAGTCATGCCGCATCACAACTAGCATGCCATGTCAAACCTCATCACCTCAACTGTCACACTGTTAGGTATATTTTATTTTAGATCTGTCATAATAATTGATATTCTAACAGTGTTCCTTTTCATTCTGACAGAATTAGACGTTGTACACTGTAATTGTCCATAGGCAGTAATAAATTTATCTTACCAAGCATTCTTTTCTTTTGTCTCCTATGCCCTAACCTTATCGCGCTTTTGTAAATCGTATCATGGCCTTTGTGAGTGCTTTGAAATATGGAGTACACTTGTTATAACCATCCTTTAGGAATTAATCAAACATATATTCAACTTTTTCTATCCCAATGAGACAGGGAATCAAAATTATCCAGATCGGCCGGGTCCACTGCTGAGTGTTGGAGACCTCATACCCTGCTATGACCGTTCAGGTGCATCATCCGACATATTCTCCTTGTGAACTCAGATTTAATAAATAGAACAGGCAATGTAATAGCTTATCTTCCTGACCTCCATGCAGACCACTCAGCCCTCACATGTCACTACACAGCTCCATCTCAAATGCGCCACCCCTCCCTCGACCGCTGAAACACCACTCACAGGAGTTATTTGATGTCTGCACAGACACAAAGTGTATACCACACCGGCGTCCCCAAAGTGCTAGTCCTTCTGCAGCCTGAGCAAATCAACGCTGTGGTCCGGATCGATCAACCAACTCACTACGTCCCAAATCCGACAGTGGTGACCAGGTCTCCACAGATGATTTATGGGACCCATGGCCGGACAATGACTTTGAAAGGTTATTCACGTGGGAGGAAGTGTTAAGAACTAATAATATTAGTGAACATTGGGCTTGTCAGCCAGGAGGAGGAGACAAGAGGGGGTCAGAGTCAGCACTCGCATGGTTGCAAGGCAAAAAGACAAGATGTGTTTGCCTGGGTGTCATTATTTGTGATGAACCTACCTGTGAGGTAGTCACACGTCCACAGACCCGCAGGCTGGTATCATGGGACAACTCAATGCATTGTGCCTTTGTGGTAGTCAGCTCAAGCATATCGACTGCGGCATCACATCAGTGTTGTATTCATTCAAAGGAGGTGTCTACTACATTCACAAGGGCATTCACCACCATCCAAAACAAACTCATATCTTGCATCTATCTCGTGACAAGCGGACAAGATTTGAACAAATTGTCTTCAAAAATCCTGCTGCGGGCCCTGCAGCATTGATTGCTGGTCATAACAGCCTTACTGGTACCCGTGATTCTGTTGCCGCGATCTCCACAGTGCTTCTCAACCAGGACCGTGTCAAGGCCCAGCTGCAAGGACTCCAGGGCAAGTCCACTCGGAACTTTGTTGATGACTTTGCAGAATTCCAGAAGAACCATCCAGGATATGTTTTGTATTCTCAATTCGAAGCAGTGACTGACTTTATCGAGGACGAGGCTGTGAATGGCATTGTTTCAGACACAGCACATGGGTTTTGGTCCTCATCCAAGGATCTTCTTATAATTAGTTTGACATATTCTGCTTTGCTCGCATGCTGGGTACCCGGACTCATGACCTATGCAAATGGAGGTTCAGCCGAGCACTACTGATTACATTTTCTTGTCCTTTTCAACACCATGGCAGATGAATGTGAGAAGCATGGATGTGAAGTCAATGATGAACTGTTTGGCAATGTAAGAATTGAGTTACTGGTACATATTGATCATTCTGACATTCACTGATCCAGGTCGTTGACTTCAGTGAGGCTGAATGAGTTGGGTTTACTCAAGCATTCATTATGTTCTGGACCAATCGTGAGGATTCACACTCTCAGGCTGAACTTGAAGATGCAGCAGGAGCACTCCTCAAAGGCTGTCAGCAGCATTACTGGTCTCAGGTCACACATGTCAAAAAAATCAGTGGAGTTATTGACCCTGCCAAAGTGGACAACTTTCAGAGTCATGCCCTGGCCCTGCTGTTGGTCTTAGATATGGACACTTTCAAGCAAAAGGTTGCATCCCTTTTACACGACTATCCCAAGATAAAGCCATGGCTAGAGTGGTGGCTTCATGACAGCCATGCCCAGATGCTGTTTCCTCCATTTCAGAAGATGAAAACGGGTCTATTCCAGGCAATGCCAAACTCTACTAATGCAGAAGAAGTGATGCATGCAAAGCTATATGCCACAGTTGGCAAGCACTACAACTTGATGGAGGGGCTGCTTTGCTTGCAGGTTTTTATGGAAAGTTTTCAACTACGTGCAGCTGGCTGAAGTGGTATGTCGTATATTATCAGTGTGAATTTGATATTAAGCACCCCTTGTTTCAATCAGTGTGTGCTCCCATTCACTACGGAGCAGCCAAGAGCTGGCAAACCAATCTGCAAATACATGGTCGTACTCATCCAGAAAGAGCGCCACGATCACAATGGTTCAAGTCCAAAAAAAATGATGGATGCCCTCCTGATACCTCACGACAGCTACTGAGAACCCATTCAAAATCTCGCGACAAGCAACAGGCATCCAAAGAAGACTTAGATTCCAATTCTGATGATTCGCTTGACTCCAACATCTCTAACCATCCACTGAGCTCACGCCCCAGTTATCCCTGGTCTCAAAACTTGTGCTGGCTTGATACCTGCCTGGAGCTCATGTTCATTACTGTTACGACTGGGATTGGTTGAGCTGTCTTAGTCCAAATGGACTGTCTACTTTATCAAGTAAGACGGACGTGGGTCTTGTCTTGAATAAGAGGTCAAAGGTTTCAGGGCTGAGGTGAGTGTAGGCGACTCCCTCAGAATAGTGGTTCTTAGATAGCAAGGTTGGAGACCTTGCTAAAGGACTAGTTTCCAGGTAAAACCCAGTAGATTAAAGTGCAGAATACAATCGGTATGCTATGTGTCTATATAGCAAGTGTTCAAGTGGAGCTTGTAAATGGTGTATCAAGATAGAAGGTGGACAGCCCGCTTGGCGAAGGATAAGAGATAAGAGATAACAAACATAGTGCGGACAGCCTGCTTGATAAGAGATAAGGGCTATGCATGGTGATGGTTACAGGCACGGAAAGTGAGCTTGGCGATTATGTGAGTAAGGGTCTGGAACGTAATCGGTCATTCAGTAACAGATGTGACAAAGGACCACTGTCCAGTAACGAAGGAAAAGTTAGGGGAATAAGTATACCGTAACAATTACCATACAACCTCACTTTTATACCGTCTTCCAGCCACGTTTCCTTGGAATCCGCAAGGAACATCCTTTATGGGCTCTGAATCAGGTCATGAAAGTTCATATGAGCATTGATCAGACATCTAATGCATGTCGTATCTTGACAACTCAACGTGATGGGTTTTGCAAGAACCTGAGGGCCACAAAAATCATCAAGGATATGACACGTGCAGACGGTGTATTTGTAAGTGTGCAGTTGTATTTCGCAAATCAGAGTTCCACTAATAGTAGTACCTTACACTAGGGCTGGCTAGGAAGGGCATTCCGACTACTGCTGCATAAGATGCCACCTGAGGAGACATACCTTGCTTGCACTTTCTTTGAGGCACAGATCATAGACCTGCGATTTTGCTCTGGCACCTCAGGTGGACCAATGCACTGGCAAATACCACACCAACCACACCCAAAGTGTCATTTTCAGCTCGATGTCAGACTCTCAGCTCAATACAAGGGCGATCTAGCTGCTTGGTTTCGAGATCTCATTTGTGTGAACAAGGAGGCCACTTCTAAGACTTATTGCTGGCAAACTTTGGATGCACAGGTTTTATGTGACGGCTCCCCCAATTTCATCACTTTGTATCTTGGAATTCCTGTGATGTTGATAGTCAAGTTTGGTGATGTCCTCCATCGCGATAACAAATGGAACATTCCCAAGCACATAAGGCCTCTCACCAAAGAAGCCGAAGAACAGCATTCCCTTGTTTATGATGTGGTTGGCCTTGCCTTTTGTGACCCTACACCAAAGCTGGCACACTTTATTACTCGCTACTCACTGGACGGCAAGAGGGTCTACCATTATGATGACCTTTGAACATCAAATAGCAGCCACAGAACGTTTGCACCATATTCATGTCGAACGTGACCTGCAGTCACCAAGTTCAATTCCTACCATTTCTTTGTCTCGCCCTGGAGTGTCTTCCATCAATCCAGACAATCTTATTTGGCTCAAAAATTCTGCAACTACACAGAATATAGAATATGAGCAGGTGGTAACACTGAATACAGGCAGTAATTCGAAGAACAAAGCACCACCCCAACACCAACGTTCTCGCACAAAAATGAAAAAACTTCAGATCATGTTACCAGTATTGGAAACTGAAGATCGGCCATCCATAAACAAGGGTGAAAAGCCATCTGACCAGGCCAGTCTACCCAAGCTGATCGAAGATCCATTGGTCCTTCAGGCATCTGGCAACGAAAAGGAAACACTGTCCACATCTGAGATAAAGAAATCATTAGAGCTGGATGACGGAGAGAGTGAAGCATCTGACTATACATTTCATTGTAGGTGTGGGGCTTGTGGCAATGGCCATGAAGTTGCAGGTGGTCAGAAGACAATCCGATGTGATCTGTGTGAAAATTGGTCACACATTGCTTGTCAGAGAGGTGGCCGAGCCAGCAATCTTCATCCAAAGGCAGCATTTTATTGTGATGGATGCTCGACACAGGAGTCAAAAGCAACACCACCGACCTGCAAGTAAGTTTAAACAACTGTGCCTCTCACATAAACTGACATCCATGACTCAGGAGCAGCAGGAAAGCCACGACAAAGAAGAAAATGACTCCACTTCACACACGTCTGATGTTTGTCTTTTGATCTCCAACCATAGCGAGATATGGCTGATCACTCACTTATAGTGCTGGCAAAGGAGCTCTGGCACGTCTTGGAAAGTATTGGTATCCTGTGCGGCTGATTCAGTCCTATGACACTGTTAGTCTCCCTGCTAGTGCACGCAACCGAGTATGCTGGCGGGTGGTCTGGTGGCGTGGCTGCAGATTCCCATTAAGTTTGGGATCACCTCCCGGTGATGTTGAGCAAGGAGATCTTGTGGATGAACTTTGGCAGGACCAAGCTAAGAGACGTGAGATTCACATGAGTGACAGTGACTGGTTATACTCGCTGTCCTCTTGACACGAAGTATTGTGTAGCTCGGAGAATGGATCCACTCTTGGGATACCCCTTGCAAAGAAGACTTGATTCAAAACTTTATGTCAGCGAAAGTATCAAAAGAATTGAACGACATTCTACTACCACATATTGCTTCACTTCAGAATCTCCTTGACAGTCTGGACTTGAACCAACATAGTGCAGAGGCATACCCCATGATAGACTACATCTTGTGATCGAAGAAGAAGCTAGATGGTGTGGGTGCATACAGCATACCGTTTTGTGGTGACATCTCATCTCATGAGTATGCCAAAATTGCATGTTGGTTCTTGGAGAATGTACCTGGTGCTTCCAGTCAAGTCAAAAAATGGCTTGGTGGCATGCCTTTGGTGCATGCGTTCACTCTCGTTGTTGCTCATTGAAAGGCCAGTGATTTCGAAAAACGCATCAAAGCTCAAAACAAAGAATGGGATGATAGCATGCTGTTGAAGATGGCTTGGGCTGATCTCATGATAAGCTATCCTACCAACAGCTTCGTGGCTGACATCGACCTCAAGTGTTTGACCACACTGGAAGCAAGGATGTTTGAAGATTCCAAAGAAGCAGGACCTGCAGGCAACCAGCAGTGGGGTTTGGATGCTGGCCAACATCACAGGCGATGGAATGTGTATCTCGGAATTCCTGATGAATGGGTTTCTGGAAGAGATTATAGCGAGAGTGAACTTGAAGTGAGGAAGACATTACCTGCTGCGTTCAATAGATATCTAACTTATGTGATTGTCAGCACGGCCCCTTATTCAGTGATAACTCTGATGCTACATCTTTGGGGTCTGCAGATGAGTTATCTGAAGCTGTCATTCCTTCTCCGCCAGCTGAAGAAGTCTGCCCGTTAAACGTTGATGTGCTCCACAGGCTTGAAGGGTCCAGAGAGGGAGGAAAAGAAAATAGTCATTGGCTTATGTACCTAGTTGTACATGTTCTATGGCAATAAAATAACAAAGGAATGTCATGAACTCATCCAACTTGATCTGGAAGTCAAATGTAGAACATATAGGAATGGTGCGTCAGTGGCCACGTCAAGGCTCGTCAGTGCCGCGTCACATGTGCGTCACGCCGTGTCACTGCCATGTCACGACCGCGGCAGGCACAGCAGGACCGCATCAAAATAGCTACGCCCAGACTCATCAGGACTCTAGAAATCTTATAGTATTGTATGTCTTTTTTGAACATCAGGCAACTAATTCAGCCTTGTCTTATATGCCTACTTATGTAAAACTGGGCAGGGAACACAATCTTGCAATTGAACTCCCTCCTACCAGTGATCACATGCAAACACTCACTTGCATAGTGAACAAGTAGATACCAGATGAGTAGCAGCAAAGTTACTATGAAATAAAGTGTACAAACAGTCCCTAGCTATAGTGAATAATTATGTCTGTGCCCTGCACACCGCTTGAACGGACAGTGAGAGGCCTCTCAGACGTCTCGATGGTGCACCATACGGTCTCGCAATCCTGACGAGAGGATATGCGAATTCCAAGCCAGAGCACTGATGCATTGAGTATGGGCATTCTTATATAAGCATTGTAGTTGGAGAGTATTAGCGTCGTAGATGTGCATTCTACCTGAGAGAGTTCTGATAGCAAGCAACGTACCCTATCAAAGCATTGAATCACGAGTAATTAATTAAAAGGGGAGATGTGATGGCGGTGAGAAGCGATAAGCTTTCAGAGATGTCACAAGGGTAAGGAATTCAGATGTTCAAGTAACCAGATACAAGATAGGATTCAAGAGCGCCAACTGTTACAATACTAGGTAGGTTTCTTATATACAGTAAGATATTCAGTGGCTCGTGATTATACTAACAGACATATGATTTCTCATGTTTCAGATATCGTACGTGGCAGGGGGCTTAGTAGCTCGCACTTAGTCAGTGATCAGCCTGGACCAGTCCATCCGTCACATACCCCCCTTCAGAGGTCGTCCTACGACCTCTACTTCTTTGGGATGCGTCCCTTGACCTTCGCGCGCGCGGCCTCTTGGCTGCTTCAGTAGCTTCACCATCCGTCATCTTGGCGTCATCATCGTTGGGGGGTGCAGGTTGTTCTGGCGCGGATGACTGAGGAGGAGGAGGGATATTGGTGTTAAGGGATGGTGAGGGTGCGCGGCTATGAGTGGTATTGGAAGGCCCGGCCATGGCGTTATTAGTGTTTGGGCCGGTCCTCGAAGGTGCAAATGGTCTGAACACTTCCTTGTCCTCACGACGCTGACGTTTAGCCTGTCTTTCAGCCACACCTTTCTCTCGCCACTTCCTCTGCTTATGGAGGCGGTCGAGGTTGTCCCACAACGCCTCATCCATCGACTCCGTGTGGACAGGAGTCCAACCACTTGCCTCCTGCCTCTTCTCTAGGGTCACGGATGTTGGGGGCAGCACACCTGGTGGCCTCGATGCCAACCAGCTCAGGCCAACGTGGGTGGGCAACCCTTGATATGTACCCCGGCAGTTGTCGTCCAACACCATGGCAACCTGGATGCCATTCTCAGTGTTGCTGTTGAATGCCACGGTGAACTCGTCGTAGCCGATGGGGGAATGAATAGTGGTAGGGTCAATGCCTCCTCATAGATCAGTGTCGTGCTGAAGGTAGAGTTTGATTTGGTCTAGGGTGAGGATGAGGGTGACACCTGGCTGGTAGCGGTCGGGTATGGCAAAGTGTCCATTTCCCAGGGCTTCGGAATAGTGGGACTGGATTGGGGTTGGACATGGGTGGTTGTCGTTGAGTGGTCGATGTGGTAGAGGGTGAAGTCGTGGTTGGTGAGTCGGGTGGAGGGGTGAAGGCTATATAGTCCAGCTCAGAGCCAAGACAGCCTAGAAACACCTGCAGGTCATCGGTGGGTGGCAACCCATTACCCTCTGTCAACTCTGAGACATTCCCAATGTCCAGGATGTCGAAATACTCCTGCAGCAGCGGCAAGATGATCGACTCGGTCGTAGGGCAGCCATGTCACATCCCCAGACTTCCACTTTACCTCAAAAACGGTGTCTGACTGGGTCCCTTTGTGGGACAGGATTTTCTCCACCGCCCATTCTCATTCTTCCTCTTCAAACTCAGCGACCTGGTTGTCCAATTGTCCAGGAAAGAGCCTGTTGTCGTTCGGCAGGTGGACGCAGAGGTATGATGAGTGTAACATGTCGTGAATCCCACGCTGTTTTATTCAATTAGGTAATTCCAGTCTAAACGAATTGTTACCAAAGTCTTCCAGGATTCGGTAAGGTCCCACGAATTTAGGTAGGAACTTTCTAGCCAAGCCTTTCAGGAAGCTGATGTTCTTGGTCGACAGATATACCAAGTCTCCTTTCTGCAATGGGCATGGGCGTCTACACCAGTTCGCATCCTTCGTTTGCTTCACTCTGGCGGCTATCATGGAATCATGTGCGGACATTATGGTATGTTTCAACTTCAGCACGTATGCTCTAACTCCCGGATATTCAGAGGGCTCTGGGTGGTTCCAGATCATCGGTCTCAGTACCCTCCCGTAGTTGGTGAAGAACGGTGAGTATCCTGTACTTTCTGAACTCGCTATATTGATTGCAAATTCTATTGCTGGCAGTCTCGACACCCAGTCCTTCTGACTCAGGGAGATGCACGACCTAAGCATTTGTGTCACGGTTCGGTTCGCCCGTTCAGTTGCCCCATCCATTTTGGGGTGGTAAGCACTCGACATCTTTTGTTTCACGCCAATCAGTTTCTGGAAGTGAGTCCAGAATCCGCTGGTGAATAGGATGTCCCGGTCACTGACAATTGCTTTAGGGAGTCCGTGTAATTTGTATACCTCCGAGAATACGAGTTTGGCGACCTCTCGCACCGTGTAAGTGGTTCGGCTAGGCACGAGGTGAACCATCCCGGTGAGTAAGTCAATTACGACAGTCACTGAGTCATACTCAGTGTCTCTGTTCTTAGATATGGGCAACAGCCCCACAAAATCTATTCCTATTGCCTCCCAAGGGTGGGAGGGCACTGTTAGTGAGTTCAACAGCCCATAGGGCTGTTGATTGGACAGCTTACTCCGTTGACAGGTTGTGCAGGACTCGCAATAGGCATGGACATCCTGCACCATTGTTTTCCACCATACGTGGTTGCAAAGATAGGTGAGCGTCTTACGTGCTCCCAAGTGAGCTAACAAGGAGTGCGCCTGGCTGATGACTGTCTCTTGTAGCCTTCGTTCCTCGACTTTGAGGTCCGGTACACACGTAACAGTTCTGTCTTTGAGTTTTATTCTTATAATTCCATCTTTTACTTCAAAGTTTTTGAATGCCTTGGGTGAGTCCAATATGTTCTTGAAGAACGGGTCCAGATGGTACTGATGTCTTATGTCTCCCATCAGCTCCTCCTCTGGATATACCGGTAGCGGTATCCCTATTAACGGCTGCTCTGTAAGTCCACCTTCTAGGGTGATGTTAGAGCCACTGCTAACAGGTTCCACGGGGCCAGATTGGTGAGCGTCTACGCTCTTCCCCCCCTTCTTTTGTTCTCCTGGGCCCAGGAGGACGAAACGATCTTTCACGCATTGGGCAAACTCAGCCCCAGTCTCAGGACGTCCTGACTCCGCCGGCGCCACCTTTGGACATCCCTTTCTGGGTGCAGGTGCGATTACCTCAACCTCCGGTACTGCCAGGACCCCCTTCCTTACAGCCTTCTTCGTCATGCTGTCAGATCCCATGACAAATGGGTCTGCTGTCACAGGCTGGCCCAGCGTGCTCGCAACGCGTTGGGCCACACGTGCACTCCTATGAGGCTCGGTGGCCAACGCCTCCTCGCCCACAATCAGAGGCATCGACGCCAGGTGAGCCACTTTGGCAAAGGTATTGCCAATGTCGTGTTCCACGTACTCACTAGGAGTGCACACAGTCCCAGGCATGTCAAACACGTACATCCTCGATAGTGCATCCGGCAGCAGGTTCTCGATGCCCGGTAAGTACTTTACCTCGAAGTCAAACTCGCCTATTTTCTCAATCCACCTCGCTTGTCTGCCAGATAGATTGTGCTGGTTCAGTAGATGAATCAGCCCCTTGTGGTCCATGAGCCACACAAACCTAGCGCCCTGTAAGATGTCCCTATGCCTCAACATCATTTCAACACCCACTAACATTTCCTGTTCATGAACAGGATAGTTGCATTGGGCCAGGCTCAGCTTGGCCGAATAAAAGGCCGCCACCTTGGCAGTGCGCCAGTCAGCACCTTGAACGACCACACCTCCTATCCTGCCTAGGCATGCATCCGTCATCATGTAGATGGTGGGTGCCTCTGTGCCATAGACCAAGGGCACACGACAATGGGGCGCGCAGGTCGCCATGTACTGCTTAATCGTCTCGAAGGCGCATTGCTGGGCGTAGTCCCACTTAAAAGGTACAGCGTCCCCAGTCACCTCAGACAGCATGCCTAACGGGATACGGACTCGATAGATATCATCCGCCAAGTACCCTACGGAACCGATGAACCCACGACAAAGGTCGCGGTTCATCGGCATTTTCCAGTTCAGGACGTTGTCGACCTTCTCCAGGTCCATTCGTATGCCATCCCTTCCAACTATCCTACCCAGGATCTCAACATCATTGCACAGGAACTGGGTCTTCTTTTGACTTAGGTACAGTTTCTCCTGGTCCAATATCTTTAGAACGGTTTTGACATGCTCAATGTGCTTATGTAGGGTATCCAAATATATGATGATGTCATCCAAGTATACATCCATCCACTTCCCGAGGAACTCGCCAAACAACTGGTTCATCAACGCTTGGTAAGTCGCGGGGGTGTTGCAATCGCCCTGCTGGAGAACGTGACTGACCATGTTCCCATCCAGGGTAGTCATGGCCATGCAGTGCACATGTTCCGGCACCACTCTTATTTGTTCATAGGTGTCCTGTCCATCCAGGACAGACTTGAACTTCTTTCCCACAACCCGGCGCAGTATGCCCTCCATGTCCGGCAAAGGTGAAGTCAATTTCCTGGTGTTCTTGTTCCACTCACGCAAGTCCACTACAGTGCGAAGTCTATCCGACCCCGGCTTCCTAATGAATAGCATGGGGATGGTGTTTCCCGCACTGGTGACTTGCCAGCAACCCGATGCCAGGTAAGAGCGTTGTTTATCCACCCACTGCGGTCTCATCGGTTCTGGGCAGCGCGACGGCCGCCAGGGGTAAATTTTCCCTTTGTCTATCAGCGGGATGGTGTGATTTATAGCGCGCAATGGAGGTAAGCCCGTTTCACTTGCTTTAGCACATAACGGTCTGGCTAACTCATTCAACTGCGCTCGAACCTTATCCAGGTTCTCTTCGTAGATTTCCGACATGCGGGATTCCAAGGTCATGACTTGCTCGCCCTTCATAGGCTGCTGGTCGACACTCCCGATCACAACTCTAGGTGGGTTAAGTCCAATCATTACTTTATGTTGGAATAGAAACGGAGTTCCCAGCACTAAGTCATAATTTTGCAGGTTAATAATGTCAAAGTATCGCTTCGAATCGATCGACTGGTACTTTGGTTGACCTTCGACCGAGATCCCTGGACAGCTAGCTGCACGACGATAGGTTTAGCGAGCTTGATGCGAGGTATTTTTAGCTGATCTGCCAATGTTACTGACATAAAATCTGACAGCGAGCCGGAGTCAATCAACGCTCGTGCCGGCTGTCCATTGATATGGACGGTGACTACCAAGGGCTTCGGTATCACGCGTTTGAAGTCCTTGGCTACTGCAGCCGTCCTATGTATTGCAGGGTAAGTTCCTGCTGGGATCTGCTGCCCATTAAGCTCGACTACGAATAGGGTGCATCTTTGCACATGACCTTCACGTTGGGCGGGGGCGTGTAGATCCTCCATGCCACTTCATCTATCTGACTCTCAGCCAACATCATCAGCCCTCTTTCGAGCAACTGAAGGATGTTGTATTCTGGTGCATTTCTTGCCAGCTCATTGCATAGCTTCCCATATGCTCGGTTCAGCCTAGACTTGAACCAACGCGCTGAAGGTACAACAATTCAGATGGTGAGTCTGAACAATGTTGGGTCTTGCAGAACCTAGCTGCTATTCGACCCTGAAGGGTTTCTGGACCAGGCTCAAGGCTCAGAGGAGAGGAAATGTCATAAAAACTGCTCAAGACTCAGACAGACTCATACTGGTAACTGGTGAAAAGATAACTTGATTATGTAAGCTACAAAGTGCCAGCATAAGGTAAGGTAAAGACAGTCTCTCCAAGCCTAGCCAGAAATGAATCCCTACAGCGCCACCTCAAACATTTCATGCAGCAACAGATGGACGGGTATCGGGACCCAAAAGGCTTTGGCATAGTCCCGAACCTCATAGGATCCATCATGCAATCATAAGCATTCGAAGTGTTCCGGGTGTGAGTAATATACTAAGTCCTTTTCATAGGGTCCATTGGCTTGCAGAATTTCGGCTGCTCTTGGTCCCAGCACTTCTCCCATCACGGAGCCTTGGGACTTCGTCCTCAACGTCCGTATTTCGCCCAGTGAGTAACCCTGTAGTCTCCCCACATGCTTGGAATACCAACCTTCCAAGCAGAATAATGGATTCAACAGCAGTTGTGTATATATTGTCAGCTCGGGGTCACGCCTATCCTCTCAGTCCATGATAGCATGTTCAAAGTCCGACACGCAATACACCAAGAACCGTTCTGGGTCCGGTACTTTTTTGTTGTCATCTCCCAGGTAGTGCCCAGACCCCAAGTTCAACAAGAACATGGCTCGTTCAGCCAACGGGTCCCCCATCATATCTGGCGCTGGCTTGGGGTTCCGTGCTGGTGAGTCTGCTTCATATCCTATTGACATTGATGCACATGCTAACTCAGATAGGTCGTTTGACGTTAGTGGGTCATCCAGTGACCTGATATGATCAGAGTCAGCTAGACCCACATTCATCCCATATTAGTGCATGGTAGGAGGTGAGCCTTTGTTACTTCCAGCCCTTACTGTCGTCTTCTGCGGACAATTTCTGGATATGTGTCCTGGCTGATGACATACATAGCAGAGCCCTTCAGCGGCGTGACGCTCTTTTTCTGCCGGGCTGAGCTTGTCAGGTTTCCTTCTGGAAGGTGAGTTCTTAGACTTCCCTTCATCCCTCCGCTGACCACCAGCGTCCTTAGGTTGCCCATAGTTCTGGGTTTGACTGTCTCCCCCAGCTCGACCATTATGCCGGTGATCACCTCGTCTATCCTTGCGCTCATGCGGCTTGGGTTGGGACCCTGCATCTCCCTTCGACCCTTTGGGGTTGGGATTGCCCCCACCATTGCTGTCCTTCGCTCGTCACTCCCTTGATCGAGTGGGTACTGAATGCGCAATCTCTATGATCTCAGCCACACTCTGGACTTCACGAAAAGAGGAGGACTCCGGATTAAGTTCCTTTTTCCAGAGTTCCATTTGGATACTAGGGTTGGGACCGGTCCAAAGGTGAGTCACTTGCTGCCTTTCTGCTACATCTCCTATCATATTCCATAGCTCACTTAGTTCATAGATATATTCCCTAACGGTCTTCTCATTCTGATAACTCCGGTTGAGTTTTTCCCTTTGCTTCATTCTAAAGTCGATAGGGAAACAGTGGTTGAATAATTCGGTAAAGAATCTCCTGAGCCTCCAACGGTATGGGTCTCCCGACACCTCTCGCGTGTAGAACTCACGCACTCGCCCTTTCAGGTAATGAGCTAGGATGAACACTCTCCTTTTCCTCTCCACTTGCCCGTCTTTGACATATGTGGTCCCTTCCATCAAGAATTGATGGAACGCTCGGGAGTCCAGAGAGCCATTGTAGTTCACAGGTGGGATGGGTTTTAAAGTGTTTTTCTTATTCTTATGACTACATTTCTTCTTAGTGCGTTTCCGCGAGGACTTTGTACTGGAGTCGTCCGATGATGACTCACTGGACTCAGAGGATTCAGAGGAGGATTCGGATGAGCTCGAGTCACTAGAGTCCTCGCTGTCACTCGGGTCATGCGAGGTGTGTTTCTTCTTTCTCTTTGTTTTCTTACTCTTACTCTTCTTTGAGTTTTTCAGCCTACCGAGGGCCTGTCCAATATAGCTCCGAGGTGCCACCTCCTGGATGGGTTCCATCGCCTGTGGCGTGGATCTAGCCAGTGGGGGGCTGGACACCCTTTCTAGCACCTGGTTCACCATACCATCTATGGGGTTGGATGGTTTCTTTCGACCTTTTCTCCCACCGCTACCCTCGTTTAAGGCAAGCCTCGCTTCCAACTCTTGGATGCGGGCTTCATACTGTTTAGATACTTTTTCCTTAATAGCTTTTACAGCAGATTCGGCTCTAGCATGGGGCACATACTCCCCCTTATCCCGGGGAGCCAAGATCAAGCTATCATCTTCCCGAGATTCGTCGAGGGATCGGAGAACCTCTTGTTGCTCCTCACACTCGGCTTCCTCATACTCTCGGGCCAGACGGAAGGTCTCTAGTGCCACCCTTTGGGCATCAAGGTCCACTTCTCCGTCTTCTAGCTCGACATCACCCCAGTTTCGGGGGTCAGGAGCTTTTCCCTTGTCCCGGGAGGTACCCTCCCCTCTGGACTCAGTACTTTCTCTGTTGAGGTTCAAGGTGCGCTGCCTGGCCTCAATTTTCTTATGATCATTTTCAGTTAGCTCATTCTCCGCTAACTTTACCAGGTTTTCTTGTTCCTGGCTCAACTCAGAGGGAGCTTGCCTCTCTTCAGAGGCTTCGTGTGACAGGACCCTTTTCCCACGCTTCCCTTGAATGTTTGTCCATTTACTAGGCTGTTCGTCACCAGACTCGGCGGATTTCTCACTGGACGTTAGATCAGACTCATCGTGCAGATCAAAGGTGACCCTGGGTCTCTTATATTCTTCTCTACTGACTTCTGAGTTTACAGATGTTTCTACGGTGTCTGCCCTTGCCAAAGCCAACTTTCTGGGCTTCGGACCTGAAGGTTTCAATGCCCCGATCAGGGTCGCCTCAAGTGCGCCAGGCATCGAGGGAATACACGTCAACACCACATCGCTATACAAGCGGATGGGGGTGTCAACAGAATACGCAGGGGAAGACACCCGTGGCATTGCTTCCCCCGGAGGGGCAGAGATGGTAGATAGAGAGGACTCACTATTAGTGCGAGGCAGTGCGGCTGCCTTCGCGTTCAGGGTCGATTGGTCATTAGGCGCTTGACGTGCACGAGACTGGGTTCGGTAACGAGTAGTTGACATAGTTGTATTGTTTGATAATGATAATGTTGCCTAGATTCAAAACAACGGGTTGGCCAAACCAGAGTTCCCAAATCAAAGGCGAGTGTAAGAGTTAAGCTTGTTGAAGGTTAAAAAATATGTGATGGCGGTGAGAAGTGATAAGCTTTCAGAGATGTCACAAGGGTAAGGAATTCAGATGTTCAAGTAACCAGATACAAGATAGGATTCAAGAGCGCCAACTGTTACAATACTAGGTAGGTTTCTTATATACAGTAAGATATCCAGTGGCTCGTGATTATACTAACAGACATATGATTCTCATGTTTCAGATACCGTACGTGGCAGGGGGCTTAGTAGCTCGCACTTAGTCAGTGATCAGCCTGGACCAGTCCATCCGTCACAGGAGATATATGGACCTTTTGGACCCATGAAACGGAGCTAACTGTATCATTTGAAACTGCTGTGTTATGTGCTGTCCATAGATACACGCAGCTCCCTAGTCCAACACCAAGTACATTCATATTGCTCCAATCCACGAGGTTGAGGTAAAAATAATCTGCCAGTTCTGGTGCGTTGAGAACACGATAGGGCGTTTTGCAGACACTGCGGAGTTGTCTTCGGGGGGACTCGAGGAGTTGTCAAGATTCTGCTTGGACAGGACTCACAGAATGGGCCTCGTCTGTTGGGGTGTCTAGTCTGCAAGTTGGTGTGCTGGGGTTTGCTGATGTTGCTGGTGAAGTGTAGTGAAATATATGTTTACGGGTGGGTGTACTAAGTGGAGGGTTGTTGTTGCACTTGAAGAGGTTGTAGGTCACTGGGGTGAGGTGGGTCGACGTGGAGAAGGGGGGGTTACTTCTGTGTGGAGTATGGATGTAAATATTGTGTTTGCTTGTTCTATGGACGTGTTAGCTGGCCATCCCAAGTACAACCAAGGTGACTGACCCTTCAATGCATCTGATTCTGTTGGTATAATTCAAGATTTTGAAGGAGTTGAAGGACCACTTTCATCCATCAAGTGATAGCTCGTTTGCATATCTCCAGCATCCCTTGAACAACTCTGGCGTCGCGTCCTTTGTTGTCGAGGATGTGGCAGTATAGAAAATTGGGTTGACCTGCTGTCGGTTTCTTCGTGGACCGTCTTCTTCATTGTCTTGATGTGTCGCGCATAGTTGCTTGCCAAAAGGGGAGTTTTTGAGTCCGGACAGTAAGCAATTGGCTTGATCTAGTCAACGTGATCGTCAACGAGCAGGGTCCACGGCGAGCATCCAACAACCCCCAAGGCTTAGGGTTATGTCCGACATAGGGTGTTCAACCCCAAAGGACAATAAAATATGAATTAGAAACCCCCCCCCCCAAGGCTTGTAGTAGTCAAAGCCCAAGCATAGCAGAGTTTGAACGTGCCAGTCAGTGACACTGAGGCGGTTAGTGTTCCATGGATAACTGTCTGATGGGTTATCCACCGGTGAGTATGGTGGATATCCACCGCCGGCAAAATCGGCCCAATGGTTCTGGGCGCTGCAAAATTTTACATTCTACCATGTGTTTCGCAAAATTTGGGTCGATTTACAAGAATAGATCAATCCTATATTCTATGTCATGTCCCAGTCTGCTTCGGTCAAGACCTTATCTTGCATGACAGTGCTTGCCGGTGGAAGAGTGATGGTATTCCTCGGTGCTGTAGGTGCCAGATCCTTGTCAGCAAGCACATCAACTAGCCTCCTGGAGTCAAGATTGATGACACTGGCGGCATCGAAAGTCTCGCCATCAAAAGAATCCACCTTTTTTGAGCCATCTTCAGCTATATCCTCAGGGTCACTGACATCCAACTCTGAGTTGTCATTGTCCATGTCTGGCTCATTAGGTGCTTCATCTGCAAAATCATCGTCCACGTCAGAATTTTCACTGTTGTCATCGTCGTTGTCTCCATTCCCTCGCTTGCGCTTGCCACTAAAAATGGTCGATGTCATATCACGCCATTTGACAGTTGGTTTCTTTTTTGGAGGCGGTGCCTAGCAGTGACTCGTCCATGAGTTGCAAACAAAAGGAAAAATTGATGTAAACTCACAGAGGGATCATATCTGTACCAACTACGGATTTGGACTGTCCTAACGAGAGTTTTTACCTGCTGCCGACTGCGAAGCAGCGAGTTGAGCCATGTGAATGTTGAGCCAGTCCACTCATCAGCCATTGAGTTGGGTACAAGCGAGAAAATTCGGACAGCGAGCCTCTGGTTGGACTATGATCAGCTTCGAGACAATATAATCACATTTTCCGACATACCGCAAGTGGTTGAGCATCCCCAGATCGATCTTTGTCCAGATAACTCCACCATTCATATGCTGTCTCGTCAGTTCGAAGTTCGCGATCGGAAGGGTAAACCTTTTTGATGTATTTTTCAATGAGGTCTTTCAAGTGAGTGTTTGCCTCTGAGATACTCAGGTTTGCGATGGGAGCCTTTCGTTTCTCGTATTCAATACAGAGTATCGAAAGTAGAAACTTTCCCATACGACGAACTGAATGTGGGAGTTCTTGGTCCTGGGGATGATTTGTCTGGCCTCTGATCCTGATACGAGCAATGATGAGTGGGTTCAAGTCCCAGAGGATATCTGCCCCTTGGAACTCTTTCAATGATGTCAGTTAAACAGCAAGTAACTTGATGTTAGATATAGAAAACTTACGAGGATCAAGAAGAAAGCCAGTTAAATACACATCAGATGGTGCATCATTTACCATTTGATTGAATTGGTAATTGACAACTCATCAAATCTCCTCTGTGACCTCAGTTGGCAAGCCAGTGATATCTTCAGTGATAATTTGGTGGATCGTTGCGGTGACAGCAAGCCAGAAAAGATACACATCTGACACAGTCGAGTGAGTAGACTCAAGGCATGTTATAGCCTTTGCAATCGGAGCAAGTACTGTAAGAAGTTGTCGAAGTTCCACTTCAAACTTGTCGGATGCAAAATGATCCTCGAGAAAGCAATTGTTGACTTCCTGCAAGGTACTTCTTAGCATCTAAAAACCATAGAAAGCACACTACATACTGGTATGTTGATGACCTGTTCAGTGCACAATTGTCGGATAGGCTTCAGACAACGTCGAAGTGACTCTCCAGAATAATAAATAGTTCCGAAACGTGTCTTTCCAATTGACACAAGTCCTCTCTTGATTTTTAAATCTTTACGACGATGACGGAGATGAGCACTAGCAAAGTTCAAGTTCTTGAAGTACTTGATCGTTCGACATATCTTCTTGATCACCTCAAGTTCAAAGTTAGTAATTTACGGACCAAAGAGTCAGATGAGAGGTGACTTACAGGTCGAAAGAATTTGATATTACCAATATCTTTGCACAGCGAGCTCATACGATGACACGAGTCAGGGAGAATGATAATCCAACTGAATTCTTCTTGTAGGAGTGAACGAGCTAATGTCATATTGCCAGTGTTGTCAGAAGCCACTCCCCCAAAATGTTCAGCTCCAATGCGTAGCATGACCTGTAAGCGGTGTTAGTTCGGAACTTCTATCATTACGAGATCCTTGTAGCTCACCTTTCACAGCACTTCGTGTATCTTTGCCCCAGTATGTGATTCTTCTGAAGACTCATCACCTTCCACCAAAAACACCCAATGCACTGGAGTGATCACATGTATGGTATAAACAGACTGGGGCATCTTTGTAGTATTTCCATCGAAAGTGATGGTAAGGTCATCGCAGGTACGAAGGTGTTGCAGTTGTAAAGATTCGATGCAAGCTGCCTCATTGGGGATTTGTGTTTCGGTGAGTATGGCACAAGATGCTGGTTCATAGTCAGGATTTCCATGTTTCCACATTTCTTTCCACTCCTTTGAATCGACTTTTGATGGTGGAATACCACCAACACAGATTAGCTTCAGGACGTCGAAGTCAAGCTGGTCTTTGAGTGCCGAAATGTGTGCCTTGTGCTGCGATGGATATATTGATTTTTGTTTCAGTGGTGCATGTGACGACATGGTGGACTTGGAAGATGTGGATGTGAGAAGTTTGCATTCAGCATTTAATGGGCTCTGGCCTTTGACACGATCACCCAAGGATTCCTTGGCCATAGCAGTGCGAACATGATCCCGCAGTGTTAAATTGATTTTGTCCAGTTTTCCGCATTGTAATGCGTGTCCAAATACTCGTGTCTTCCAGCGAGGTGCAGCCCAGGTCATTGTGCATCCATATTTGGCTCCAGCACACCGGACAATCATCTTTTCGGGGTTACTTTGGAGGTATGTATTGACCGAGATAAGATCCATCAGAGGATCAACCTTTGCACCACCTTTCCCCTTTGCAGGGCTTGGCTCGGCATCTCTGTACAGGTGCATGACAGACACATTGGACTCAATAATCTTGGTCTTCTTCTTCTTTGATCCCTTGGGTATGTCCAGACGGTCATTTGACTGATGTGTTGGATGTGAGGACTTTGGTAACTATATAGCAGGTCAGTAATTCAGTTTCACTGACAAGAAAAGCAAATCTAATTTACAGCCTTTCCAGCTGCGACGATGAGGCCTCGTGCAGCTTCAAGGGTGTCATTCACCCACTTCTCGAGGATGATATCACCTGGATATTTTTCCATCCATGTTTCGAACACATCCACTACAGCTTCTATCTCTGGACCTCGCTCAACAAGTTTTAGGCCATCAACACGATTACCAAACTCAACCTCTAGCTCTCGATTGACAGCACCAACCTCACCAATGTCTGCAGTCCAATCAGCATCCGGGCTGAAGTTAGAGAAATTGTACTTGGACTCCTTTGGAACAGGAATGTCTGTTGGCAGTGCCTCAAGACAGAGTCGAAGCTCAACTAATTGATCCTTGAGATGCGGCTGCATGTAATGGAGGATGGAAAACTTAAAATTCACACTATTTCGATTATTTTCTGAGTTGATGTTCGACCAAACAAACATTGTCTTGAGTCTTGACGTTGCATGAAGTTCCGCACGGCCAAAATAAGTAAGCTTGAATCCTAGTTCGAGGCTTTAAAGCTTCGAGCTTGTAGACCCAGTATTTAAGCTTTTAAGTCTATTTAATGTATATTTAATACAACCCCATACACCTACACGATTTTCTGAGTTATCCACGTTATCCACCTATGAATTTTGGCCTTGGGTTATCCACCAAGTTATCCATGTGGATAACGAGGTGGATATCTACATTGGTGGATAACTAAATAGTTTTCCACAGAACACTAGAGGCGGTCGCCGGCATCAGAATCTTTATACTAGGCCATAATACTATCCACCTGCTATCGTCAAGTACTGCTGCGGATGACGTCGTAATCCAGGAGGCAAGTATTAAAAGGAGTCAAACTAACTTCATCTCTTACTCACACTCATCAACCATGGAACCTTCCATTTCATTTGGATTTAACCTTTCAGCTGAGCTCGCCCTCATCATCTTCAAGTATGTGGCACAACCACATTTTGCTCAATATGCACCTTACACCAAAGACCCATACTCGTCTGCCCTTTCACTATGCCAAGTCTCCAAAATTGTCAGGTGCACTGTGCTGCCTGAACTTCTGCACACAGTATTATTGCCAGAAGCTCACCACCTAATCGCTTTCGTACGGGCTCTGCGTATGCAGAAAACATATCTCGATCAACAACATGGTCTAGCTTTTGATTATGCATCTTGCGTGCACAAGATGTCGATTGGAGAGTTTTGGTCGCCTGTGCAACATTCAGCTTATACATTCCTTCCCCCTTCTATGGCTGAGCTTGACCGGGAGGTCGACATCAGTCTGTTGGCTCCAGTGATCCTTGGTGCATCGTCCCTTGTGGCAATCGCCTTTGAGAGTTTAGATCTTCTTTTAAGGTCCCTCAAAAAGACGTGTCACTCCGATGTTGGCCACAGAAATTACCCACTTCCTTGGAGCACGAAAAGTTTGACATTATCGAGTTATCTATCTGACTCATGGTGGATGTTTGTGGTGTCTGTCCATGGTCGTGCTTTCCTCGCTTCCATCCAACACTTCACCCTATGCCTTTCCGCATCCTTCGAAAAATGTCTGCCCTTCCAGTGCAACTGCATTAGCGAAATTGAATATCAATATTATAAACCTTTCTACATGCTGCCTGTGTGCATCGCGCGTGCTCCTTTCAAAGGACTACAAACATTCTCACTGGCCATTCTGCACATCAAGCTCCCGGTCACTCACCGCACGCCTGAGGCCCAGGAGATATGGGTAAAGCTAATCACATTCCCTGCTTCCATGCTCCTGGACCCTTGTACACCAGAGGAAATGGAGTCGTTTATTGTGACTGCAGCGGGATATGCTCCCTATTTTCCACTCCCAGTGTTCCTTTCTTACAAGTTGACCGAACTTTGATGGCTCACTGGCATGTGTGTTAGACGGATTGAAGGTAATCACAGGCTCACAATAGGTTTGTATCACAGTTTATTATTTAACTTGTTTTGGCATCAACACGAACTTCTTAGTATTCAGAATCCAATGCACCGCATATGTCATTTACAGCCATCTAACTTCTGCCGCGAGAGCAGTCGCCTGAAGTTGCAACACGCCAATGGTAAGAAACACATTTGTGAGCCATGTAATTCTGAGCGTTGCGCAATGTGTTCAGGCAGAGGTTATGATGGTTGTCAACCGACCACAGCCTTTAGCTTACCCCAACGGGGACACGAGGAGAATAAATTAACCTTTCTTCCATGATTCAGGATGTTTTCCCTTGAAACTGAGCGTGCACTTGGATCTGACTCGAAAATCTCAGATGGTGATCATGGTGATTACAGCGTACCAGAAACAAGAAAAGTACTAGTTCTGGCGCTGTCGTAAACAAGATACGGTGCATGTGCCATGTGGTGCAGTACAAAGATACCATGATTGAACTGATTAGAGAGCACTGAAAGTGGCGTACCGGTTTTGTGTGGGCTCGGACAGTTGGAGTCAGATAGAGAGCCTGGACTGAGACAATTGGAGTGCATGTACAGGCATGTGGAGTGCTGTACTTGGCCGAATACTTTGAAAGATTGACGCAAAAAAGGATCGATCTGGACTATCGGTTATATGTAAGGGGGTAAAAGCCTCCCGTGGCAAAGTGGAGCGAAATTAGTGCTAGAATGGAAAAGAGTACATACGTGATCGCATGTGACGAGCGACGTGCGGTGGACAAGTGAAAGTAGCCTGTGACAGACAGGACATTGATGGTCACCACCCATTGGTATGAATGAGTTAAAGAAGAAGTTCAGAGTTCAAGCTTTCAAATTTCAAGTCATGGACGAGTGGACCATCAACAAAACAACACATAGCATATATGATCATATATGGTCTTGTGAAGCTTACATTACCACGCACGTCTGTTTACCATATTATATGGCCTTGCAGCGATCTTGTATGAGTGTAGCAGACAGGTGAATTTCTTATAATATCAAGCCAGTGTTATGGAGACTTGCATGGATGTGGGCAGACTGGTGGTGACTTGCATGGCCGGCAACAGGCTGATGGTTACCTGTATGATAATTAAAAGACTTTCGTGGGTTTACATTCATTACTGCTGCAAGGCCAAGTCTAAAATCATGTTCATCGACTCTCACTTGAATTTCAGTGTTGTACACGACAATCAGTTGCTAGAGCTCTGCATACCCTTCATACTCATCCATAGCATCGTCTTCACCATCCTCCGGTCCGACCTTGTCATTAGCCTCCTCAAGACCATCCCCTTGTTCTTCATCTTCTTCGTCGGTCGCCTCTTCTTCCTCGTCAAGGCCCCCATACCCATACTCATCCATCTCGGACTCGATATTGTCTTTGTCTTCATCGCCAGTAGCTTGATTTTGTGCAGTAGTACTAGCAGACCTGGCACTGAGCTGTGCCCCCTGATTGATGCCACTTTCCAAGTCTTCAAAGTCTTCCTTGCTGTCATCTCGAGTGATTTCATCTAGAGGGTCGCGGTCCTCCAAGAAAACTGCAGTCGACTCGCGAGTAGACTTGTGGCCAACCCCACCACCGCGGAACCTCATCATCATGTCTCTGTCGACGAATCTGAATCACGAAGGTCAGTGACAGTCACTGACAGATGTCAGGAGTACAAAAATAGCATACATATTAACATAGAAAAATTTCCAGTCTTTGTCTTTGTCGTGTAGCGGACGAGCAATTGAGGGTGGCAGTTAGTGATGTTCCGGCCCGGCTTTGGCTCAAAGCCCCTGGCTTTGGCTTGGCCTGAGGGGGCTCAGGCTCACCATATTTCAAGCCAAGGCCATGAGCCAAAGCCGGCCAAAAGCCACGGCTTGAGCCAAACAAAGCCGCGGCTCTTTTGCTATCAGTGCGACATTATATATTGTAGTGCAATAGAACTACGGAACAAGCAACATGGAGCAGACCTAGTCTGTCTCAAAGTCAGACACCTCATCATCAGCATCGTCATCAGCATTGTCTTCCGCATCATCAAGCATGATATCCCAACTATCCTCGTCATCACCATCATCACCTGCAGTCTTCGAGTCACTCCCAGCTTCCAATTCAGCATCATCAAGCTCCTCTAACTCCATGAGGGATGACGGTCCAGGCTCTCGAAAGAGAAGGTCATGTCGTATCAAACACTTGACAATTTGAAGAGCTTCGACAATATCTCCTTTGAGCCTGTTCCACCATTTAGTGACAGTGATGCTGCCTTGTGAAAATGCACGCTCGCTGGAGATGGATGATGACATGATAGATAGGTAGTCTCGTGCGAGTGAAGCCCACACTGGATATCTCGGTGTGTTGATCTTAAACAAAATCATTAGCGTGAATATTTTAAGTAGTATAAGGCACACACGTACCCCCACCATTGAATGATGGTCATGCCAGCTGGTAGAGCGGCCTCGATAGTCTCAATATAACTCATAAACTCGGCCCTCCATGGCCGCAATGGATCGCCGATAGAAGCAAGTGTGGGGTTCGCAGACGGGTCGTCCTCTGAATCGCTAAGTACTTCTCGGATGAGAGACTTGAGGCCGCCCCACTTTACTTTTCTTGGATGCAGGCTGTGACAACAATGGTGATGTACCTTCTTCATTCAACTCGAGATAACGAGCTTTGAACTGGCAGCAGAATCAGACCTATGCATGAAGTTGAAATTTGATTGACGCACCACTTTCTCTGCAGTTGTAAGCACTTCATCATGTAAATCTTCTGGCCAGTGCCACTTGAAATACACCATTTTCCCCACTGGATCAAGTACTGCATTTGTAAAAATCAGACCAATTATCCAACATTAACTAGACAACGTCTTACACATTGCCATGATATATGCAGGCGACTTCGTCGTCTTCTCATAATATTTGTCTACCTTCGCGGCCGCTGCTTGGAGTGATGTAGCTAGGGATCTGCACGGGTACGGGTAACCCGCGCAGGTCACGGGTACAGGTACTACTGGGGTATGGGTACGGGTCGGGATTCTAAGACCCACGCTCTTACCCGTACCCCAGCTATACCCGTGCCTTCGGTAATTTTACCTCTCGTCCTCGCACACTCCTCAACTGCAACCGTCATCAACGTCTTCGCTCGCCATGCCACTATCAACATCTTCGCACCCAGCATTCCCGCGTGCACGCTACAACCGGCACCACCACCAACACCGGCACCTAACGCGCCTTCCCAAGTCCACCAACTCCACGTTCACAGCGCGCGCGCCCGAAACGCATCAACAAGTGTTGACGCGATGCAAATGCACGTGGACGACACGCAAAGACGAAAGGACAAGAGAATCGAAGAAGGGAGAAGGGATGGTATAGAGATGAAGGAGGAAAGAGGAACTCGAGGAGACGAGACTTTGGGCATGCTGGAAGTGAGTACTCACATTGAAGACTCTACCCCCAGCAACAACAACAATGTCATATGCGTCACGTCGCCGGTGCCTATCTTTGTGCACCCAGCACTCGCACCACCACCAGCACTCGCACCACCACCAGCTTTCATGCCAACACCACCATCCATGACGCCAACACCACCATCCGCGTCACCTTCGCCATCATTCACACCACCATCTTTGTCATTCGCGCCGGCACTAGCACATACCCCAGCGACACCATCACCAATGACCACTACGCCATTCCCAACGCGACGGATGCCATGCACGAATGCCCAGCGCACGCCCCTCCTCCTTCTTGTGCCATCCACATATGTTCGAGTCACATCAGCATTCGCTGACGTGTGCTGGACATATGTGCTAAGCACTGGCGGATCTATGACCCGCGGGTACACCCTTGATGGGTTGTACCCCGGGTCCTTACTTCGCTACCCACTGTGCAACCCGTACCCTTGCTGCAGGTGTGGGTTTACCTCGGGGTGCGGGTGCGGGTTGACCTGCCAACACCCGGGGTTCACCCATGCGGATCCCTAGATGTAGCAAACCTCAAATATTTCGGCCTTTCAGCGCGGGAGGACCAGGCCTTGTGAAGTGTTTCGAGTGCCGGAATTGCCAGATGGAGTGTTGAGCCACATTCTGATGAGAACGCTTGCTGCGCCACATCAGCATACTGAAAGATTAAGATTAGAAACAAGCATAGGCAAATTAGAAATTGACATACTGAAAGGAGATCCGCGAATTGGCCAGCGTGTGTCCATTCAGCCATCAAGAGTTGTAGAAAGTCGATCTTCATGTGTTTGGTCAAATTGCGCTCTTGACGACCTATCTCGTACACGAAAGTGTCAACATGCTATAGTGATAGTGAGTTTCAACAAATAAAAAGTTCAACGATACAAAATACATACCTCCTTGTTTGCCTCAGCACGATTAAGCATGATATACGTCGACAACCACCGAACTTTCATGTCAATTAATAGTTGGGTCGGCTGGGACACTCCTGCTTTGATCTGTACACTCCTGTACATCTCCTTTCGTTTTGCAGATGACCGTTCCTACAGGACAGTAATACTTTAGTATACTTTAGTGCGTTATGATGCCGACAAGCGTACCTTGACACAAATACTGTGAATAAGACCAATCTCATCCCGAGTGGTCGGTTCATGACCTTTCGGGTCATGTGGATTGTAATGCGGCGCTTTGCTGTATGTAGCAATCAAGGTTTGCGTGGCTAGATTTAATGACGTGAGCCAGGCAGCTATATAAAAGAGTTAGTGTCGCAGTAGTGAGTTGACAATGACAGGACTTACTTGATTTTGCACTCGGTCCAGGGAAACACTTTGTGGTGTTTAACCTCATAAAGCCGCGCAAATTCTTCCATTGTTGTCCCATTGTTTGCGGCATTGTCACACGTTACATGCCCAAGCTATAGTAAGATATGAGTGTGATATAGTCTGTAGGAGTAAACTGAACTGACCTTATGTGTAATCCCGACATGATCAAGAATCTTAAATAAGGCACCAGCAAGTCGTTTGCCATTATGTGCGTTATTGACCTTTGTGAACCCAAGGAGCGAACTTTGAATTTCCCATTGCATCGGTGCCTTCTCCTCAATCCAGTGCCCTGTGACGGCAAAAAAACCATCAACATTGCCTGCCTGCCACGCGTCACAGGTGGCATTGACATTGCCCTTGACAGTGGTGCTCTACAAAGCCTAATTATACAAAGTACAATCAATAGACAAAACATTACTCACATTCAGCGTGTTCCTGAGCCTCGTAAGGTGGTTTTTGAACATCCTCATGATTTTGGCACGAGTCGCCTTCCTACCCAGAATCTTGACTCCATTGGTTGCACGAGAAGCAATGTCAACCATCTCTTTGAACTTGGGGTGTTCAAGTGCTTGGATGGGCTAGAAAAAAAGATGTCAGTCGTGATGTTGAATAGAGGGAAGCAGGCATACTTGATCAGTGGCTACAAGCCATTCAATGGCAGCTTGCTTAAACAACTTATCAGAGTATGGTATGACTCATTCGTCAAGCTTGCATTCGGTGAGATGGGCATTGATTCGTTGCTGCGCAGCGTTCTCCTTGCGAGCCTTGATGTCACCAGGTAACATGGACTCAAATGAATGTTCACTTGCCCACTTCCGATACTTGCCGCCAAAATGTGCCTCGGCATGACGACGAAGGGTAGTGGCTTCGTTGACGAGAATACATTTTTTCCTACAAATGATTGAGTGAGTAAGTACTATGACAGTGCAAAGGCAAACTTACGGGCAAATATTGCACTTTCTGTGCTTCTTCACTTTGCCATTGGCGCCAGTGTGTTTGAACGCTGCACCGAAGAAGTCGTCAATGTCGGCAGTTTTGCCTTCCTGAGATGACCCTGGGTCTGCGATAAAGACGTCGACATCAACAAGAACCCCATCTTCATCAACTAACTCTGGGGACTTCTCTGGGGACTTGCGCTTCCTTCTAGCACGCTTAGGGTTGACACGAGTGTTCTCGCACTCCATATCACCAGATTCATCGTCATCGAGGGTATCATCGAGGGCATCATCAGGACACACACGTTTGTTGGATGGGGGAGGCGCTAATTGTGTGGCTGGTACAGGCGCTGTGAGTGCAGCAGGCTGAGAAACCTCTGAAGCACGCTTGGCGGCCTCAGCTGCACGGAAATCGTTGATAGCTTTTGTGTGGGAGGGAAGAGCCGCTTTCTCCAAGTGTTGAAGGAGGGCAGCAGTGGGTTTGATTTTGTGTACGGGACGCACAACACATGGCTCGTCTTCGCCATCGGTGAGAACTGTGCCCGTCATGCCAGTCATTGCAGGCAGCTACACAGATAAAATACACACACATACCATTTATAAACGACTGAAGCTTGTTCAAGAATCCATCAAGCTCACGAAGCTGCAGCACAAAGTAGGACTTGAGAGGTGCATAGATTGCTGAAAACAGCACAATATGATATGGCGGGTGATGTCTGTTTTTCCATCACCGGGGTGAGTATTAGCGGAAGCTTTGACAGAAGACGACAATGGCGACTCACCGTGTCATTCTGACATACCCTACAGTATGATGGACTAGGAAGCAAGAACCAAAGAGAAGCAAGAAAATGACAAAAATAGAGTCGACAATCAGGTTCCTGCGCAGTACTTACATAATTCTAAGCCGCAGCTTGGGCCCACGGCTCAGGCTTCGCAGAATTGAAGCCTAGGCCAAAGCCCTTGTCAGGCCGTCACCTGGGCCTGGGCTTGGCCTGGCTCAATCTGGCCCGGCTTTGGCTGGCCCGGGGCTTGAAGCCGGGCCGGAACATCACTACCTGTACTAGTACTTGAACAATTATTATGTCATTTCAGTTACATCCAAGTGTGATCTAAGACCGGTAGCTACAATGACATGACTATATAATACTGGCCCAGACCTCAGCAAGTCCACACAAGCTGCCTAATGAATATAAGCTGCCCAATGCATACATGGGTCACCAGGCACCACATGGCGGTACATGGACCACATGACTGACTCGGACTGGCATGAATCTCATAGAGTATGTGTGCATAGCAGCGTCACACAACACTTGTGCCGCCTTGCGACAACTTGGGGAGCTTGTGGACCCTTATACGGGCAGGTGAAGTTAGGTATGGTAGGTGCCCTTTTGTTGATGACATAGTAATCAACTCAACGTAGCGGAGTTTGAACGTGCGCTCCTCGCATCCAAATCTTTATATCAAATATTATGACTACTATAATTAATAATTCTATCCACTAGGCCTGTGGTCGACTCTATTGCTGCGGAATTCAGGAGGCAAGTATTAAAGGAGTCAAACCAGGTTCGTCTCTCGCTCGGTCATGGAACCTCATACTCCCATATCATTTAGATTTAACGACCTTCCGACTGAGCTCGCCCTCATCATCTTCAAGCATGCGGCACAACCACCTTTTGCTCAACATGCCCCCTACACCCGAGATCCGTACTCATCTGCCCTTTCACTATGCCAGGTCTCCAAAATTGTCAGGCGCGCTGTGCTGCCTGAACTTCTGCACACAGTGTTATTGTCAACAGCTCGCCAACTACTCGCTTTCATATGGGCTCTGCGTATGCAGAAAAAATACATCGATCAACAACATGATCTAGCTTTTGATTACGCATCTTGCGTGGACATGATGTCGATCGGAGACTTTCGGGGGCCTTTGCAAAGCCCACCTATTCCCTACTTTCCCCTTCCTATGCCCGAGCTTGAATGCGAGCTCGATATCAGTCTGCTCGCTCTAGTCATTCTCGGTGCATCGTCCCTCGCAATCAACTTTAATAATCTAAATCTTCTTTCAAAATGCCTCAAACATGCGTGTAACTCCGACGTCGACTTAAATGTCGACCACAAAAATTCTTTGCTTCCTTGGCGCACGAGAAGTTTGACGTTATTGGGTATGTTCTTTCGTTCATGGTGGCCCTTCGTGGAGTCTGTCCATGGATATGCTTTCCTCGCTTCCATCCAACACCTCACCGTACTCGATTCTGCATCCTTCCAAGAATGCCTGCCCTTCCAGTGCAACTGTGTTAGCGAAATTGAAATTGAAGGTTCTGTATCCTATCTCCATCCTTTGTGCATCGTGCGTGCTCCTTTCAAAGGACTGCAAACATTCTCGTTGGCATTTCCGCACATCAAAATCAATCCGCACACCGACCCCCGGCCGGTCGCTCAATGTGCGCCTAAGGATTCAGATATATGGGTGAAGTTGGTCACGTTCCCTACTTCCGTGCTACCGGAGCCTTGTACACCAGAGGAAACAGAGTGGTTTATTAAGAATGGAGCGATGTTTACTTCATTCGTTCGATTTCTGCCACGGTTTTTCCTTGATGCCAGCTTGATATATTTTTGAGGCCTCACTGGCATGGGTGTCAGACAGACGGACTACGTACGCAATGGGTAACGGGTTGTATTACGTTACATAATTTGAACATAGTTGAAACTTTTATGACGATAGTACTTGCTCCGCAGTTATTCCTTGTCTTGTCAGCAACATGAAGTACTGCTGATGACGAGCAAATTGACGGTCACGCACAGATGTCTACTTAGTAGAGCTGATCACGGTGAAATTGACGGTCCAGCACGGGCTTACCCAAGTGACTTATTCCCAATGCACGTGTAGTCTTTGCCATCGTATAACATTTATATTTAAGTCACGCTTGACCTTGTGGTGGATAACAGCCTGTTGGACTGCCAGTGAGCCCTTGCATCATCCTCTGCCGACCTGCAGTGTGCACAGCATGATGGGCCTTCAGCTTCAGGGCTCTAGAAATCTTATAATTGTGTATGTCTTTTTCGAACATTGGAAATTCAATGGAAATTCAGCCTCATGTTATATTGCCTACTTAAAACTGGGCAGGAAACCGATCTCCCTCCTGCCAGTGAACACTCACTTGCATAGTGAACAAGTAGATACTAGATGAGTAGCAACCAAGTTGCTATACGAACAGTTCCCAGATATAGTGAATAACTAGCGTAATACGGAATATATGCAATAGGGCGTCCAGCGCTGCAGCAAAACCTATTCACAAGGATCTAACCCACGCCATGCAAGGACCCAAATTCAAGTGCTGCCCTTCACACTAGCAGCAGGAAAAACATTCCCCGCGATATCCTTGAACGCCCGATCATCTTTGTGTTTCTCCCTTCTTTCCTTAACAATCACCAGCAACGTGTGCTTCTTCCTCCTGTGCACTTTCAGATCATCCACGTCGCTATCAGAAGCTGAGGTTGTATTGAAACGGTTGAGCGCTCGCTTTATGAAGCCTGGAGGAGGGGTGGATTGCGATGATGCAGATGGCGAAGAAGATTGAGGGGAGAGGAGGTGTTTGTGCGAGCCGGAGATGAGGTGTTTGTGCAAGCCGGAGGGCACGACACCGTCTCTGTTAACACCATCTGTGTGCAAGACGGAGAGCGCGACAACACCCCTCTGAACACCATCTGTGTGCGAGATACTATAGGAGCGCCACCATGGGGATCAGGGCAGGTGATGGTACATGTAGCAAGCACGTCGAAGGGCTCATTGGCTGGAGGAGGGGTGGATCGTGATGACGCAGATGGCGAAAAAGATTGAGAGGGAGAGGAGGTGTTCGTGGGAAATGAGCGCGACAACACCCCTGTGAACACCATCTGTGTGCGACACGGAGAGTGTGACCACACTCCTCTGGACACCATCTGTGCGCGAGATACTATAGGAGCGCCACCACAGGGATTGGGATCAGAATGGATGATGGTGCCTGTGGCAACCGTGTCGACGGAGTCATTGGAGCTTGGAGGAGGGATGGATCGCGGTGACACAGATGGCGAAGATTGAGAGGGAGAGGAGGTGTTTGCACCAGACGGAGGGCGCCTGAACACTATCTCTGTGACAGATACTATAGGAGCGCCACCACAGGGATTGGGCTCAGAGCGGGTGATGGTATGTGTGGAAACCTTGTCGACAGACGTAGTGACGTGTGTAGTGCATGTGTCCTTAGGGGAAGGGCACGACCCCCTCAAATCAGAATATTTTCCCTCAACAAGATCAACTACAATCTCGTGGTCCGGCCGTACATCACTGGCGCTCGTTTTCTCGCTGGAAATACTGACCATGTTGGTGCGCCGCAGGGGGTCGAAACGTTGTGCGTCCATGGGGTTGTAACGTGTGTGACCCGTTTATACGTTTATACGGTAAGAGGATACAGGTCCTGGAACTATCTGATGGAAGCTAAGATTTTAAAATGCGAATGAGGGAAGCGAGTGATGACCTTCTCATGTTCGGGACAGAGGTATTTAAGCAAATACCTAGTGTACAAGCAATTGTGGACGATAAAGCATGGAAGCAAAGCAGGCGCCACTCACCATGCCACTAAAGTTTTTGTTCGTTGGCTTAGACATTTATTTTCGTGCTGCGGAGTTCACCCACAGCTCGTGAAGTATTTAATTCTTGGGTCTAAACAAAAAACGTGTCTTCCAACCGAGAGCTACGCGTTAAAACTTAGCATTGAAATATATGACTTGACAGGTCTGAGCACGCTTTTTATTGTATGGTCGTTGTGCTGACATGATATTCGTAGATACACCACGCACAATCAACGTACGAGCTCCGAAACGGCGCTCGGCTGTCATACGCGCAACTCGATGGGACAAAACCTGAGTTTGAGATAGGGAGAACGAGGAGGGTGGCGGTGCTAAGGGAGGCGCGGTTGATTGTGGTGAGCGTTAGGGATGCTATAGTATTGTCGTGATGCGATGCTTATTGTGTGATGTAGGTGGCACCTACTAAAAAGGCAACAGGTGATGGTCATCATGGTCAGGATGATATACTGGCGCAAAGAGACGACTTGCTCACCTGGAGTAACATGATTGCAAGGCGTCAATTGGACCAAAGAGTTCGACGATGCTCGTTATCGGGGTTTAATAGCAACTAGTATTTGTAGCATTAGCGTTATGTAGTGAATGTACATTTTATATTGTGACTTACACTTTTGTCCTTCGAAACATACCTGTCCACTTCTCATGTCCAAGTCCGTCACCTGTTTGCCTATAAATCAGTTGTAGTTGGAGATGATCTCCAGCCTTTCGGATCCTTGCTGATACATTATCGTTTATTGTAGCCTTGGGTTTGCAGACATCTCTATGGAAAAAACCACAAGGAATGTCACAAAACCGCTGCACAACAAAGCAGTCAAGCGCACGGCAGAGCGTAACGTCGGATGAGATTGAGAGTATTGGCAATTTCGTCAGTTCAAGAATTGTATAAAGAATGTCCAGGAAAGCTTTCGTCATCGCATAAACAAGCATCAACAACGCTACCTTGGACATCATTCCGAGCAAATTCCGAGTTCCTCCTCACAATATTCACTTTAGTCAAGCTCTTCATCAAGAACGAAATTTGAAAATGTTTGGTATTTCAAATATATGCGATCGCATCATCCGCCCCACTTTATCATTCCCATCCAGATGAAGAAACCCATTCCTAGGAGTAACTTGGGTGCGTCTCCCGACTCGGAGCCTCACTCCAGATAAGCCGAGCTGGCAAAGCACATCGCCGGCACTGAGGAGTTTGTCAGAAAGGCGCTTGCCAAGATATACCAAGGATTTCCTACCTAGAGAGCGAGTTGTTGGTAAGCAATAATTTATTTGAATTTGGCTGCATTTCTATTGATGTGAATATATCTATCCTCGCAATAACATCCACTCACACATCGTGAAGCGTGAGGGAGAGGCATAACTTACCAGATCCTCAAGCAGCTATATCAACTCCTTGTTCTCCAAGGTGAGGAATACAATCCTATCATTCCCCTGTAATTAACACGCCAATCTTCATTCACGCTAGTTGGGAAAGTTTTCATTTCGGGCTTGTTGCGATGGATGAAATCACAGTAAGTACTCATACCCAACTCCTATCTGTCACCAATTCGCTACCGGCCGGTAATAGGTAAAATGGAAAATTCAGACGCAGTGGCCGGTGATACTCTTTCCAGTTTTTGATTAGTTGCTCGATCTATCACCTGCAGGCTTCCGCTTACTCGGAGGTCGATGATATATTTGATTACAGACAATAACGAAGCCTACGCAAAGTTTGGGTGTATTGTCACATGGCCGGCCAATTGATAGGACTACACAATCTCACTTCGGTCCTCTGCTAGTATAACATGTCGACACTAGTACTCATCAACGTCACTTGGCTTTACCTTTGCCTTGCCTGTGTCGGAGTATATGATATCCTCAGTGCTTATGCGGGTGTTCGGACAGAAGAGCTGGGGCAAGAAGTATAGTGAGTACCTCCCATTTCGCCAACATTATGTATCATAATGTCTTCTCTGCTGGTGACATCTCGCATATCAAGGGTTTGGGTCGGCACATCATCGTCCTGAACTCTGTCAAGACTGCGATGGACGTGCTGGATAAATGGCCCTGATCGTCTTCCCTCCAGACCGAGGCTCTCTTCCCTACGCTGAGGCGCGCTTGCCAGGGAACCCCATAATAGCACGCTGTGATCCCTACCAGTCCGTGTATCTCATTTAACGGATTTAGTTGCCGAACGGTATATATCTCAACAACATGTTTCTCCCACCGTGGACGATACCGATGATGGGTACTACATTCTTTGATAATACCTAACGTTTGGTTGGTACCGCCCTTTCCGCATACCATGTTCTAGCAGAATATAATGCGAGCCAATTCCATGTTCAATAACTCGCAGAAATATGCTCACTTTTCGTAATTCGACCACGAACGCTTTTTCGCCAGAAGTCTGAGACAGCCTCGCATAATTTGTTTCGGCTCTGGGGGACGTGGGTATGGAGTTTTGTTGGTGCCATGCTAACTTTCTGCTCCCCATTATCTTTCCTGGTATACACAACACACAGAAGCGCCGATACACCGACCTATATTCTGATGTTGCTTGCTTTTCTTGTACACGTCTCCACCTTGCTGAAGCTTCGGTCCGGACGTCCACTGTGATCTCGCTGGCCGTGTTCGATATCTCCAAGGTCGTCGAAAACGGTATCAATGAGATCACACCCGAGGTTGATCCATCATCAGGCACGATCAGGTATGTTGCGTATCTTATCATGTTCGGCGCCAATCTGGATAGGCACACTCGCAGCCACCCCAAACCCTTCAAGTGTTCTTTACACCTCGCTCTGCGAAAGCCATAGCGCTCATTCAGCAGGATGTCAACTGCTAAGCACGTCAAGATGAAATACGCTTAGCTGAGGAAGGTAAGAAGTTTGTACTTTACATTACAGTGCGGGATCAAATGTAATGTCACATCGCGATATAATTGTATACATGTTCTTGTTCTATCTTGTTGACATTGCATGCTTTGGTATCAAAAACGGTCGGAGTCTACCTGACAATCAGCCTGTCTGGTATCTCCCATCCGATCGTCAAGAGTATGCCTAAGTACCTCGGTTCTTTGTTTAACAGCTGACGCCTCAGGCAGGTTTCACGCATGGTGGCTACCTCAGACGTCCTAATAGCTCGCGACAGACTTCTCGTGCTGAGTGTCAGCATGGGGAAGTTCATCCTCAAGCATCGTGTATAAGAACTTTCTAGTGCATTTTCCTTCCGTTTCGTTGTCCCTCATTGGAGCGTGTAGGACGGGATGCTGCTCCCAAACTCTATCGCGGTGTGAATCCTTCATCTTCCTATTCTATCCTGGCCTCTCTCTAAAGTTTGTTTCGAAGCACATTCCTATCCGCTGCGCCTGATTACGGTGAAACTTTCTCTCTGATTCAGTATCAACACGTTCTGAGTCTCATTCATAGGCGTCGCAAACAACAGAACATGGAACCTCAAGTTGGTCCTGATGATGTGACGGCCTACTTCGCGATTGCACGCCTTTGTATAGGCCTACACTGGTTGCTGTCTCATGTTGTCTCATGTCTTGTTATCAATGCTTACCTCATTCTATCGTGTCTTCCCTCATCAAACACAGCCTATGATAATGGAGTTCATGCCGATATTCATAGTGCTGCAGGTTCACAAACACAAAAGTCCGGACATTCACTTGAAGGCGATTGAGATTGAATGTGGATATCGAACATTTCCGTTGATCACCACACCGATCAAATATTGTCTCACCTTCTTAGTATATGGTTCGTGCTACATTCGCATTGTTCCTATGATGGTTCCCTCGCAATCGACTGTCTTACTTTCTGTACGTTTGGGCATGATCAAGACTTTTGTTATTTTTCGGACTAAGGTCGTTCCTTATTTGTTGTTTTCTGCGAGCAAGTACTAGGGAAATACATATATTTAAGTTTTTTTTGAGTTCAATCGTTGGTACTTGAATCAGTATCTACATGGAGATCGCATATTCTAAAAGCTAAAAAATACGCTGGAAGTGCAAGTTGATCATTGTGCTTACAGCACAAAAATAAACAATACAAAAACTTACCACGGTCCACAGTCCACAATAATTATACTATACATACCTTGCAACTGCCTGGCCAAGATACTGCTTGATCGATTCAAAAGTTAGCCAACCACCATAGGCTGAACCCAGCATAAGATATTGTTTGGGTCGGAGACTTCCATACGCATTCAAACTCCGACTGAACAAGGCAGTTGTCCCGCTGAGTCCGTTGCGCCGTTAACGCCAGCCGGCGCGACCAGAGGATGAATGTAAGCTGTGTCAAGCCATCCGCACACATACAACTAACAGTATGCAGAATCTCCTCAGGACACTCACCGAGAGCCAGGTCAAGCCCTCGTCTGACCTAAGGCTACTTCTGAGTGCTGTCAAGGACGCACGCGTGAGTCTTGCTGTTCCGTGCTGTGCCTGAAGCAGAAATAATGCATTAAATCGCTCTAGCGTCAAAGCTTCGATGCCAAGGTATCCGAACCATTCTATGATTCCCTCGAGGGACTGCTTCATGATCTGCGTACAGTGACTATGGTGTGTGTGTATGCGGATCAACGCTATCTTACCCCGCTGACATCATACACAGGATAATCACGACGCGGAGGCATTCCTTAAGCCAGTTTTAAAATCTGACGTTCCCGACTACTACGATGGTGCGTTTATATCTCCCGTCTCACCATACCTCGTCTCATACCATCCAGTGATCGTAAACCCCATGGACCTTCAAACCATGCTCAAGAAGGTCAAATCAAAGCAGTACAAGTCAAAGCGCGAGTTTGCAGATGATCTAGATCTGATATGGTCAAACTGTTTCACCTACAATGCGACTGAGGTATGTATCACCGTCGTGAAAACGCGTGGTG